CTGACGTATCCAAAGCTGATGATAACTCATGTCGTTTACCTTTCATATGATCGTGGTATAATTTTTTGAACATGTCACGTTGCCTAATCAGACCGTTGACCATCTTTGTTTGTCTATCTTGAGCTTCCGTTAACTCTGTAACTCTTTGTTTCAATGCTTCGATCTTATTTTCCATTTCACCACTTTCAAATTGTTCTTTCTGTCGTTCTAGTTCCTCTTGTTTATCTGTTAGTTCACGAATCATTCTTAAAAGCTTTTGGTTATTAGCTTGCAATTCTTGTATGTCACTGAAAGTCACTAATGTTTTTGAAATTATTCGTGAAGAGTTGACATCGGAAGTATTACTTGTATTTGCGGCGTGTGAAGCGTCGTGATCACCATTAAGAAGACTACCTCTGCTGTGCTCAATCTCCTTTAGCAAAAAGCAGACTTGTCTTCCTAAATCAGCAAGTTCCCCTTTGAGTCTATTATTTTCACGGGTATAATGATTTGCAATTTTAGAGGATTCATTATAGTCATCCCTGAGTCTATTACATTCTATAACCAGGGAATCAATTTGTTGTGTTAAAGCAGTGTTACTTTCCATTACCTCAACATATTCCGCCTTTTGTTTTTGTAGTAGTGGTACTTTCTCTTCTAGCTCTTGTACGATCTTATTAATAGTTATATTAAGTCGGCGGTTTTCTTCTTTTTCTTGAGCTAATTCCTCAGTAAGTTTCACAAGCTGTGAATATATCTGAGTCAACGACATGCCGGACTTCAAAAGTTTGCTTGCAGTAGCGGCAGATGGAGCCAAATCACTCAGGGCCATATCCAAATTCTGTGCGGCAGCAGCTTTCAATAAATCATTAGCATGTTCCAACTCATTCTTCAAGGATGATATTATTTCGTTTTTCTTCTCCATAAGTTCTTCATGATCTAGTTCAGCTTGTTTATATTTAGTTTCTAATTCACCATATTTTTCAGTGGCTTCATTCAGTAATTTCTGCAACTCAGTGATACCTTCTGTTAATTCAGAAGTCTTTGACTCTGCATCGTCATGCATAGTTTTGAACAAATCAGCAAGTTTTGTTTTAGCATCTAATTCTTTTTTATAGTTTTCTGACATTTTGTTCTCTATTTCTCTTTGTTCCATTAAGCGTTGGGTTAGATTTTCAGCACGGCTATTTAGGTTTTTCTTTATTTCGTTTAATTGTTCTATTGTTTCATTTGCTGCATTTAACTCTTCAACTTTCTCAGATAATTGAGTTTCTAAGCTCACCAGCCGGCTTGTATTATTTAATCTTACTGTTTGTAGTTCTGTGGTAAGTCGATTCACTTCATCTGTTAAGGAGGCTATCTGGGAATTAAGCAAAACCCTTTCCTGGTCGAGACGTTTTTCACGATATTGCAGTGAAAGTTCCTTGCTCTGGATTTCATCATTCAGGGCTAAGGCCTCGCATTTAGAATCAATGGCAGCGCGAAGTTGTTGAGATAGGGAAGCTTCATTTGCTGTCAGCCTCTCTATTTCGGCATCTCGCCGTTGTAGAATCCTTGTTAGGTCATTCCTTTCATCCACTGCTGCATCTCTTGCGCTTTTAAGCGATATCGACTCATTCTCTAATCGATAAACTCTTTCCCGAGTCTTTTCCAGTTCAGCATTGAGAGAACTGACATTCTTCTCAAGCTCTGTTATGGTTTCCTCGGCAACCAATAATTTCTTAGCAGCATCTTCATACTTAGTTGTTAATTCAAGGATTGTAGCTTCAGAAGCTGCAATTTTTTCATCTGAAATGTATTGATAAATTCTATTATGTCCTTTTTGTTATAGAAACTTAAATATTCATATGAATATACATCATGATATTAAAAAGGCAAAAATACTTGACAAAAATTATATAGATGTAATAGATTACACATCCATGATCATAATAATAACTAGGAGTTTTCCTAAAATAATATTTAGACAAGCTTCTAACAGATTTTAGGTTCTATATAAAGAATCAACACGACTAGCGTTTTACCCTATTATTATTATTTCTGTGACTTATGTATTGTTATATGTATATCTATTATTTCAGCAACCGTTATCACGGGCAGACCAAATCACAGTTGCTATAAAGTAATCGAAACATCTTGAGTATGTAGTTTTAAAAACAATAATATTAAGTGTAGTAATCCAAAAATATTACTAACATTTAAGTAATTTATTTTTATAGGATTAATTTCACTAACATAAAATAACTCTCATTAGAATACCTACTATTTAGATAACCAAATCTTAATTGTTAAATTGATAAACTGTTAAATACTAAATTGATTTTTCTTATTCCATTGAATGCAGCACCCTAAAAAATATAACAGTTACATTTCACAACTTATCTGACAAATGGCAGTAGTGAATGATAACCTAACAATTAAAAGCAGCTGTAATCTATTTTCTTTTCCTTTAACAAAACTCAGCAGATAACCTGAAATTTATATAATTTTATTTATGTACAAACACATTTAAATTTTTAATCCCTAATATTCGTCATATGATTTCAAGTGATAGAGGTATTTATCTATTCTTTTCTCTACAAATTCCCTTAAATAGCTAACTTGGCAAATTAATTTGACTTTTATATTCATAATTAATTCATATTTATTCTTCAGTAACCAATTATTATAACTTGTATGACTTAAATTTAAGTAGAAAAAATTATATGCCCTTTTAAATTATCCAAGAAGAATTTAAAATGCATCATTTATTTAAAAATAAAAAACCTCTAATGAAGTGTCTTCAAAAATATGGCTTGAATATATAGCAATGGCCTTTGCCCCTTTTTGTTCTATTACCCACTTCTTTTCAGGATATAAGATTATCAATATAAAATAATAGAAATTTCACTAAAATTCCGAACAGTAAATTTTTGTTCATAGCATTACTTTTGTATATGGAAGTAATTAATTAATGATATTTACAAGTAGTTTAAACTAAATTACTATCCTTATTGATCTCAAAATATTTATATTCTTTGAATTTGTTTATTTTCTTTGTTGCTTTAAAACTCTTAATATGCTTGTTTTGCAACGGTTCTTTAAAATTCACATCCATTTTTGTAAATTAAATATATTTGCCATTTTTTCTGTAACTGAATACATTCTGTTGCTAAGATGTAAGGTGAAGCAGTTTTGTGTAAAATAAGCTCAAGCTTGACCGACTTTCATAATATAGAGCACAAACAAAAAAAATACAGATTTTGTTGTACACAGAGGGAATGGGAAATAGTGATCTAACAGAAACATGTATAGACCTGCCAAAAGATCATGCACACAATCAAATTGAGTGCAGACGGCTCTTTAGATAATTTTCCTACAACTAGGTTTACTACATACAACATGAATCTAGGTTTAATCATGTTATACACATTATATCTTTTGAACGATCAGTGCATATTACAGTAACTACTCTAACACTTCTTTAAGATATGATTAGTTATTTACGAGGTGGACATGTAGATAATAATACATCCCAACCAACACTTTTAAGTACCAAAATAATCACTATTAATACAAAATATGTACCCGTTAGGATTATTTATATATGCTCATATGGAACTGCATATAAACCAATGTCTTTTCATTATTTTAGATCAGAAAACAATTCAAAAAAAGAATAAATAGAAATTTCAAAATGAATTGTATCTTGAAAATATATTATTTTACTTGAGCTAGTCACATTAACTTTAATTATTGTCTTTCAAGTCATATATATGAGAGGTAAAAGAAAAGGGTTAAGTCTTATGTATTTTCATAAACTGTTAGAAAATAAACAAAAAAAATATTAGTAATTGTTTAAAAAATAAATGCCTTATTTTGTGCTGTAAATAAAATAACGTAACCAAGACCATAAGCTGTAAAGGGTATTAACAAGTATTGGTGACATTACTTTGAAATATTATTATATTTTTGCTCTGTGTATGACAGTTGCACACTACAACAAAGTGTAACTTACATTGTGCCTTAAGAATAACCTATTATAATAAAAACAAACTTAAGTATTATAAGTATAAGCAACGAATATTATCGAGAAATATAAGTATGTTGAAAATACAGGAACTGGCCGGCGACTTACCTATTTGCGTTTTACTGGTTTCATGTAAGGCTTTGGAAGTCAAATATTCTTCAAATTTTTTGTCAATATATGAATTTATTTTATGAACCACGGGATTTGATATGGTAGCAAGTTCGGTTTCTGATAAAACATCGTGTAAATGATTTTTCCCACCGGCTTCCACACTGGCGGCTTCCATCTTTGTCACTGCAAAACGAACCCATTTCACAGATGAAAAAAAATGCACCATATGCATTTACGAAGTATTTTAATATTTAAAAAAAAAACACATACAAAAGATATTTGAAAGAAAGAAAGTAAGTTAAATTAAATAAAGGCTATATTTTTATTTAAAAATCATTATTCCATAAAACATAAATTTATATTCATGAATGTTTATTATTTGCATATTCAAGATAAATTAAAACCAAATTATAAATTAAAAAAATATTTTGTTTCATAGCTGATTCTTTTATAATAATGTAAATTAAAATTATCTTCTAGTTAAATATCATGTTTAATTAGGGATAAATAAAATTACATTTATAAAATTACATAAATAAATATTGGATAAGGTATTTTATAGTAATCAATTCTCCGATTTTTTATTTTATTTATAAATGAAACTGTTACTTTAAATGTAGGAACTTAAAAAAATAAGTTTAAAATTGTTTGGTGATAAAATACATGATTTTTTTGTAATTTACTTGAGATAAAAAAAAATAAACGAATATGAAATAAATTTAATATATTTATCTGCGGGGATTATTTTAATTTCTTCATTGGAAAACGGATTAATGTCGCTCTATATATCGTTCGTTTATGGACAAGTTCTTTTAGAAAAATATTGACACTGACGTATTTTGGTCATATATGTTGAATCTGTATATTATGGACAAATAGAAGTCTCAATTCGATATTGAAAATGGACTCAATGGAGGAAGAACAATGTTTACATCAATGTGCAAGCTATTTCCAGAGCCATAACATACAATTATTGTTTAAAGATTGTATAGTTCAACTTTGTTTACATAAACCTGAAAATCCTGTAACTTTTTTGCGACAATATTTTCAAAAATTAGAGAGAGTAAGTTTTGTTTTCAAGCAAAATCATCAAGAACACTTATTATTTGTAATATTAACGTGAATACTTCCTTCTCCTGATATATAACCTTACCTTAGAATTCGTTGTTTTTCCAACTCGTACATAGTGTTTTGGAGGAAAGAATTCAATTCATTTGATACTTATACTCGAGTTGACAGCTGACTCGAAATAGCACACTTAAAATCCTCTGAGAAGTGGTCTTTATTTAGGCTATAAATATTATCTCAAAACTATATTTAATATCTGCGTAAGTTTACAGTTTCAGTTGAAAATTGGATCATGACATTCTTTAAATTCTGCAGCTACATCTTTTAATTTATCTAGTGTACTTAAATTCTTCCAATTTTTCTCTATCTATTTCTGTGATTGTGATATTAGAATATAAAAGATGGTAAGAAATAGCATTCTACATAACAAATGTGTTTTAATAATATTAGTACTGTTTAATGTTAACCCAACAACAAATAGTGAAAATCACTTAACTCATATGTTTAGATTTACTAACAAATGTTATCTTCCAGAACATAATTATGGAGGAAATTGTTATACAATGTAATTATGTAACATCATCTACATACATTTTTTATTTTCTACCATTATATCAGGATATATAATTATTATTTTATTATAAAACACCAACACTATATAGGACTTTTTGTATTTTGCAATAGAAAAATCATAAGTATCTAACAATAGAGCTAATAAGAGCGGGAAATAATTTTCAAGGACTAGATAAATATGTGACTTATCTATAAGACAGTTGTTTTACTAGCACTTAACTGTGTTGAGAACTATAAAATCAGATGTTTTACTCACTGTATAAATCTACCGTTTCAGATTTTAAATATAAAATTGTTACAATACTCAAATGGCAAACTAGTTTTTACCAATTTAACAAGTTTATTAAACACAAAATAAAAGTAACAGTGGCATTTAAGAGATGTAGTCAAGTAAACACAAAGCAAAATATTTGGAAATATTACATATGTCTCTATAGCCTGTTTATTGTACAAGTCAAGGAAATAATATGTACAATAATGTTATAGGATCAGGTTAAAGCGGCAGCAGCAGCAGCGGCTTCATCTGAAGGTGAGGCAGATGGAGAGTTATCACCATTGCCGGTACCCGGCGGTCAATTGCCAAGACGACGAGGAGGTATCAGTGCCGAACCAGTCACCGAAGAAGATGCCACTAGCTATGTCAAAAAGGTGATATTTTCTTTAATACTTCATCATATTAAAAAGATTTACTGTTTAAATACATGTAACAAATATAGTGAACTTTACTACATTTGAATAACAAGCATTTATTGGCAATAGATCAATTATGTTAGTTCTAACTTTTATACTTTCATATCTATTAAATTCAACAATAAAAATGTTCTAGGTTGTGCCAAAGGACTATAAAACGATGGGTGCATTGTCGAGAGCGATTGCATCAAATGTTCTATTTACTCACTTAGATGAGTCTGAACGAGCTGATATGTTTGATGCCATGTTCCCTGTACAATGTCTACAGGGTGAAACTGTTATCAGACAAGGCGACGAGGGTGACAACTTCTACATTATAGATTCCGGAGAAGTTGAGGTAGATTAAATTATTTCTAACTTAATTTGAAGCCTAAAAAGATTTTAGGTTAACTTTTATGTTATTAAGATTAATTTATAAATTACTAGAAGACCCGGCGAACTTCGTTTCGCCCTATAATCAAGAAATATCTGTTACGTTTTTTTATTTATATTTTTGGAGTTTACCTATTAAAGCCATAAATCTCCGTGTTTTGAAGTGATTAGGAATGATTAATAGTTAATATGAGAGTTACACTGAGCTAGCAAAATAATAATTGTCAACGTTACTACTACACTTGATGCACAAACAATAACGATGGCCGACAACTGTGTAGGGAGTGAGAGAAGTCTAATTGTGTGAGAGAAACAGAAGACCGGCTTCGTTCTCATCCCTACTCCGTGCTGTTTACTGGGTCAGCAGTGACACCTGTAGATATCTGGCGGGGATAACTTATTAAATGACGATTGATCAGTTATCGACCGGAGATGAAAAATGATTAAATTACTAAAATAGCTATTAAAAAATAAGGGTTGATCGTAGAAGGGTGAAAATTTAGGATTGTATGTATTTTTGTACGTTGTATCATAAAAAAATAGTAATTAAAAATTTTGTCTAAAAAATAAAATAAAAAAATTTAGGGGTGGACTACCCCTAACATTTAGGGGGATGAAAAATAGATGTTGGCCGATTCTCATAGCTACCGAATGAGCACAAAAAATTTCATCAAAATCGGTCAGGTTGTTTCGGAGGAGTATGGGCACGAAAACTGTGACACGAGAATTTTATATATTAGATTTAAAGTTTGATGAAATTAATTACTAGTTTTAATACTGGAATCATAATATTCAATGTTAAATTCAATTATTCTTTTATTATATTAATATACAGATGTTCAACTCTTAATATGAATTACCTTCATTGACTAAATCCCTACTAATATTATATGTGCGAAAGAAACTCTGTCTGTCTGTTAAGCTTTCACGCCTAAACCACAGAACTGATTTTAATGAAATTTGGTACAGAGATGGAGTTGACCTTGAGAAAAACATAGGATAGTTTTTATTCCAGACTTGAAAGGTTCTCTTGGAAACGCGATATAACCGAACTCCACGCGGGCGAAGCTGCGGTCGGAAAGCTAGTATATCATAAAATGATCAAATTACAGGTCTTAGTGAATGGTGAACCAGTGACCACTATCGGGGAGGGTGGTAGTTTTGGTGAACTGGCACTCATATATGGAACTCCTCGAGCAGCTACAGTTCGTGCTCGTACACCGTTGAAGCTGTGGGGTCTGGATAGAGATTCATACAGACGGATCCTAATGGGATCCACAATCAGGAAGAGAAGAATGTATGACGAGTTTCTATCAAGAGTTTCCATATTAGGTGATGATTATATAATATATTTATTTTTAAGACTACTCTGTAGAAGGGTGATTTTGCTTTAGGGAGTAATATGTTGCTTGTGTAAATTCATAATTACCTAATAGTTGGCATAATATTAATAATAATTCATTGCTTGTATCATAGAATAATTATAAAGACATGAATAGAGGAAATCTCCTCCACTTCAACAACAATGGCTATAGTCGTAATGCTTGATCCACAAAATAGATTTTGTCGTTATTACAGGTCAGTTTTCTTAAAAATTATATTTGTTTTTGTGATTATAGAAAGCCTCGAAAAATGGGAGCGTTTGACTGTAGCTGATGCACTGGAACCAGTATCATTTAATGACGGGGAGACTATAGTGAGACAAGGCGAGCCTGGCAATGACTTCTATATTATTGTCGAAGGTATAAAATATTTACTTAAATAACTTTTTTTTTAATCATCATTGAATTTTCTTCATATAACAGTCATATTACAATGTATAATTTTATATTACATATTTTGGATATGCATATAGTTCTGGTCCTATAAAATCATATGTATATATTTTAGGGACGGCCGTGGTGTTGCAGCAGAGAGGAGGTTCGGGTGATCCGGTCGAGGTGGGGAGGCTGGGCCCGTCGGATTACTTCGGAGAGATAGCTTTGTTACTGGACCGACCTCGAGCCGCAACTGTGAGGGCGGACGGACCTCTCAAATGTGTCAAATTAGACCGAGCCAGGTACATATATATTTTTTATACATATAATAGGGACAAACGTGCGCCATCTGATCCTAAGTGCTCATATTCGTGGAGCCTGAAGGCTCTAGAGTGCGTTGCCAGCCTTACTAGGTAAAGGTCCATTCAATCGTACTGTCTTCCTCTTAATTTGCGTTCCTCAGCAAGATATTACTTTACACAGAAATATAATATACATTAAAAACATTAAGTTGTTATATGTGATTAAATTTAATAAGTGAAAATATTTATTTTAATGCATCCAATAATTTGTTGTCTAATTAGTTCCATTGGATGTTCCTTAAATATTATAACTAGACTCTTTAATGTGTGATCATGATAGAAAATGATTATTTTTTATCATTATTACTTTACATCAATTGAACTGTTTTAATATTAAACTGGTATTACATATAAAATAGTAATTATTCTTTGAAAAGCTATTCTTAATTACGAGTAATTTATTTAATTGTTGAGTTATTGTATGTTTAATTTCAAATTATTCTTTCAGATTCGAAAGGGTCCTGGGTCTTTGTGCCGATATATTGAAGCGAAACATCGCGCAGTACAATAGTTTCGTTTCGCTATCAGTGTAACACTAACCTAATGGATAAAAACGTGAATATTGTTGAGTTGTATGTTTTAATTTTAATACATATGTTATTTGTTTTGTCTCGCTTCTATGCAGCGATTCTATTTTGTGCAGAATTATGTTAATTTTCAACTTATTTAATTTTTTTTCATAATGTTAATAATAATGAAATGTTTTATGCGTTTATTACTTAAAAGTTAAATGTAAGATAAATACTTACTATCATATATCTCCTAACATGTTGTGTAATAGATGTAATATGGTTTTTATAACTTAATAAACTATTATTACGTTGTGATAAATAGTATGCGGTATTTTAATCTAGATTACAAATGATTACTAACGATTGTGTAACTTATTAACTTAAAGTATAGGAAAAACTTCATTTAACACTTGAAAATAATTTGATTATAATAGCACTCGTTAAAACTTGTTTATATAAAAAATAGAATTGCCAGTCACTCAACCACTTGTATCAGGTCATGAAAATAATAGTATTCAACAATTTTCAACTCATTTAATCTCATTTTTTTTTTACAACACTGTCAAATTAAATAATTGTCCAATTCATACTAACATTATAAAATAGATTATATGTATGTAAAAAGCTTCACAAATGTTGTTTTTATTAAATTATTATTAAAATGTTATTATTAATATAAGTTTGTTTTAAATCACCAATTTTTATTGTATGAATTTCAACAATTCAGTATTAAATTATTGTATTCTAAATAATGTCATACAGGTGTAACGTAATGTTTCATAAATAATTTGAAAGTCAAAATTGTTTGTCTAAATTTTCATATTGATAATTTGTTGTGTAGCAATCCTTATAATCCCATTGAAATCCTCATGAAGATGTGATCTCCAGAACTTACACCTTCCCCATACCAGAGCTGGATAATTAGGTGAAGTTATACCTTGAAAAATTCTAGCAATACTACGGCCAGTGAAATTACAGTCCTTGTATGTTGCTATTAGAGCTCTGACGTCTGATGTGATTCTCCCAACATCTAATGGTCTCTCTTCTAATTGTTTATTTTCTGGCATGTTATTTTCCCTTGTGAAGTAATCATTTATTATCAATTTCAGTTCATTAGATTTTGGCGCCAAATTTTCTTCGGAGAATGTTATTTGACCGCATGACTTATTGCAAAGTTTGTTAAAAGCCTGATGTATCTCTTCTAATTGAAACAACATATTTTTTTCCTGTACATGTACACTCTGATGCAAATCATCTAGAAGTTCATCTAGTTCTGTGGCTGATAGGTCACCAGGAGATTTTAATCTGAAGCCTAAAGTATGGAATTCAACTTTAAGATGAGACCTTTTCGATACTCCGTCTTTTACTATCCATTCGAGATTTTTCAGCTGATACTTAGTCATACCACTTTCCCACCCAATAGCCGCTGCTACCTCTATGACATTAAATTCTAGGACATTTAATTTTGTTACACTAGCAGCCTTCTTACTTTCTATTAGATATGCCATAGCGAGGGGTGGACAGGTTTTTGCGGCTTCTAAAATTTTTATGGGCCCACCATATGAAGAAATCTTGCACTTTGTGTAAGCATTATGCAGAACCTTTATATAATGTTTATGATGAAGTTCCACATAACATAAAAGTGTTGATATGTTTTCTGAAGGTAAGTCTAATTCTTCTACAGTTTCATCAATCGGTATACCTACTTCGTGACCCTGACACCTCGTTACATTGGTTACTTTTGAATTTTCAGTTTTTTCTGGAGAAATGCATTTACATGGTATAAATATTTTCTGCAAAAGTCGTCTTATAACAGGTCTATCAATTGAATTAGCGTAAATATGTTTCAATAGTTCGTCTTTATCGTCATTTTTGTTATTCATGAAAACATGACAAAATGCTGGTTTGCCATCTCTCCCAGCTCTGCCAACCTCTTGAACGTAAGACTCAAAACTCGGAGGCATATTGTAATGTATAATACAACGAATATCTGATTTGTTTATACCCATACCAAATGCCACTGTCGCAACTATGATTTTTAAGGTGCCATCCATGAAATGTTTTTGTATTTTCTTCCTTTGAGCAGCAGACATGCCAGCATGATATGCTTCCGCGATATAGGACATTCTCTTACGTTTTTTGTTTTCTTTTTCCATATTAATCTTACCAGGCTGGAAAAGACATGATCTTATCACAGCAGCTATTCTTTCACATTCATTTCTTCTTATACAGTAAACAATTATAGAACTAAATGAATTGATTTCTTCAGAAGCTAATAAAGATACGAGTGCTTTGTCTTTATCCTTTTCAAAAGATATGGATAGGTAGAGATTATCAGGCAGTGCGGGATTCGTTAAAACACCATTAAGACCATCGGGAACATTAATATGATTTATTACACTTTTAATTGTTGCTTGACTTGCTGTAGCTGTTAGTCCTAAGATACATTTCACATTTAATTTTTCCCTTAACACCCTACAAATCATTAAGTAACTGGGCCTAAAGTTATGGCTCCATTGAGATACACAATGAGCTTCATCGATACATGCAAATGCAATTTGTGGTAGGGACTTGAATAAACCTGCAAAACCACTTGAGGTGTCTCCTGCAATAAGTGCTTCTGGTGATATCAGAAGTATGTTAATTTCACCTTTTTTTATCAATTCCATAATCTTCTTTCTCTGAGTAGGACTTTGATTGGTGTGCAAACAACCAGCTTTAAGAAATTCTGGCATATTTAATACCTGATCTTCCATCAGTGAAACTAGTGGGGATATAACTAAAGTGATACATTTGTAATATTTGCTATAAATATATGCTGGAAGTTGGTAAACCAGGGATTTTCCACCCCCTGTGGATAATATTAATAATGTTGAAAGACCACAGAGTATGCGTTTAATAGCACATTCCTGACCAGAACGAAAACCGGAGTGTCCAAACATTTTAAGTACTTCATAAATCTCGTTTAAATTTTCATTACATTCAGTGTATATTGGTTTCACCTTGTCTGAGTTTTCAGGTGTTTCAGCTAGGAGCTGTAAGAAATGTTCTGGCACCTGACTTGCTTCATATACAAAATTACTTAATTGCTCCTCAATTTGTTCTGTTTTTTGATTCTCCTGACTACTAACAATTTTTTGCATGTCTTCTAATGTGGGCATACTACTTTCATCACAGTCTTCTAAAGGTAATAAGGAACTCCCTCTATGGGCAGTACAATATCTTGCCATATGGCCGGTTTGATTGCATTTAAAACAGGTCACTTTTCCTGATTCAGGAAACTCCATGCCAGCATGAAGTGCCTTCTTATCTTTCCAAAGCTGTTTCTTATATTTGGAATAGTTAATACTCTTCTTCCCTCTAACAAACACTTTTTTCTCTATATTGATTTTCACAAAATTGTCATTTAGTGTTCCATTCTGTACTTTTAATTCTAACTTATCAATTCCGTTTGAGATCTTGGGAGGAGACTTTTCTGTTTTAGGAGTTATAGTTTTTAAAATATCTGATACATTAGCATGTCTGGGGTTTACTTTCTCATTTAGACTGAATGCCACATATTCATTGATATCTGGAGGAAGTTCTTTGCCTTGTTCAGGTTTGTTAGTTATTTTGTCCTTTTTGGACCTTTTTGTGGTATTTTTCTGGTTTTTCTTTTGTTTAATAATTTCAACTTCTTCATTATCTATGTCCGTATCATCCTGTTGTTTGTTATTTGCAATTGCTTTAGTTGAGGGGTCTAATTTTTGTTTTTTAAGAGCTGGTTTAAGCTTACTGATAGCGATATCATCGTCCGATTCACTATTTTCCACATAGTCATATTGTTTATCTGCTATATTTGACAAACTTAAATTGGTCAATCCAAATTTTTCTGGTTTATTAACATCTATTGAATGTGATGTTAAAACAGGTTCAGTTTCTGACAAACCTGTAATACGATCACACCAACCTTTGTCGATTTGTCTCACAGGAATTTTCCTTGATAAATTTTTTGAATTTTCTGAAGGTATCAAAGCAGAATTTAATAATGGGCTTTCAAATTCCTTAGATGTTGTATTTGTGCTGATTTCAATAGAATCTATATTTCTCAATTCTGTGGCATTATTAATACTATTTTGGGAATCCTGAGTATTTTTTAGATCTTCAGTCTTTTTTTCATTTACAACTTCTTTAGTAATATTAATAGATTCATCAACTATACTTTTATTACTAATAGATTTCCTTGGGTTTCTTATAGAGAATTTTCGATTTAAAAATAATTTCTTAGATAAATTTTCTGTGAATGGACTTTTACTAACATCCTCCGTTTTAGGGTTAAGTATTCTTTGAAGTTCTTGAACACTCGGCAAAGATGGTATAAGAGGATCCTCGGAATCCGTCGTTTCCGAAGGACTTTCCAGTTTTTGGGGCTCAAGAGGTAAAATCAATTCATCGTCAAAATCACAAATTGAGAGTGAATTTTCTAATGCTGCACTCTTCAACTGAAAATACTTCTTATACGCATATTTAATGTTTGCTGGAGCTTCTTTTATATCAAACTTAGAAGGAGTTCGGTTATGCTCATGTTTGAACTGCTTCTCCCAGTTTTTTACAATTAATTTACTTTTTAAATAGGCTTTATCCTTTTTTATCGACTCTATTACATCCATTTTCCCTTACAAACCACAATACACATAAGTTATAAAAAATATATAATAAATAATATTTCAAAACAAACTAAAGATACAACTGCAGTTTTTCCCGCCATTAAGTGACATTAAATATTAGACAGCTGATTTGTGTTAAAACTCCATTCAAAATATTGTATCTTTATTATTTTAAGTTCACTTATTAAAAATGGAAATTTTATTTTTATTTATAATTATTATTACCTTTTATCTCTACAATTAACTAAAGAGAAATTAGAGAAGTTATTTAATATTAAAATAAACTTTTTTAAAATATATTAAATGTTAAATAATTTCTCGGGTCCAAATTAACACATCATAAAATTAATCCACGAACCTACATTTTTATGGAATTTAAAAACTATTTAAATAACCTAACATTTTTGTTCAAACACTTGTTAAACTGAGCAACATAATCTCGGCTAGTCAGATATGTTTTTTAAACATCTCATGTAAATTGATAAATACGGTTTTTTTTTATTTTATTTTTTTATCAACTGTCAATATAATTTATATCAAAAATTATTTTTACACGACATTGGCGAAATCTATAAGGAAGAATATTAATTGTGGTCTATAAACAATTTTTATTCTTTTCAAAAACCAGTCTCTAAGCTTGTAGATAGGAAAGGTCATGAAAAATTTTCAGCGTCAAGATATCTTTTCAATTTCTTACATATAATGAAATCTTATCTAACTGGAAGTCGCATGTACCTACATCAGTTTAAGTTAAAAAATAAATAAGAACTTCTGACCAAAAAAAAATAAAATAAAATGACTATTACATTTTTTTTATTATTCTTTGAAGGCGACATTATCTTAAAAATATATATTTATAAATTGTAACACATATGTACTCTCTTCAATACAAAAGCTTTTCCAGTTTATTTCACATCGGTTCAAATAAATTAAGTTAGTGTAATATCAAAATAACTTATATTCTTCAGGTAATATTTTTACAGCAGAATATATGAAGAAAAGTTTCTATATCATAATATTTAGGTTTTACTTCGAAGTGGTTTAAAAACCACGATCATACAACTTATAATCAGTTACATTCATTGTAGACATAAAGAACAAACTTGAAAACTGGGCTGTAAAATAATCCTATACATATAGAGCTTCTATGGTTATAATTTGAAATATGGGATCAATTTTAAACCGTATTAAAAAATACAAAATAGTTTTCTAAATATAAATTCTTGTGAAGAAATTAAGGTTGGTTATTTATATTATGGCCTTCATTCGTGTAAAGGCGTGCATAATATGTGAAGAAACTAAAAAGTAAATAATTAAATTTGGTTGCGTGTAAAACTGGGTAGACTACGAATTTTTATCGCTCATTACCATCAGTATCTACTTAATGATCACTCGAGCTCTGGCTCATAGAATAAAACATGTTATGATAAAGTATAACGCTGCAATTAACATAATTAACATCAAATTAATAATCATGAATTCAAAAAACAACGATAACAACTTTAAAGTACTTAATACTTGAATTTGATACGTATTGACTGTTTAATAATCTAAATTATTTTAGTCGAACTGTATAATTATCTTAATTAATAGGAACTCAAATATAACATCTTAACCATTCAGTGGCAAAGTTTCAAATTACGTATTTTATGATGTAGATGTAATTACTTAATTTTAGCAGAGTTATATTTATTTATTAATACCACTATTGAAGGGGTAAAAGGAGACTAAACTTGTCAGCATTCCATGGATTCATCTTGCGGGGGACGGGCCCATCGCGTTGCAGAGAGGGGTGCTTCAACAGTGCCTGGGACTAGCGACCCATGCGTTAAATGCTCTCCTCCACCGTACAAGCCTCTCGTCGTACCTAACCAAATTTGAAGAGTCCTATAAGGGCTATTTTCGAAGTACCGTCCAAGAAAGAATTGATGTTAGGTCTGCACAGGCTCAACTCTTTTAGTAGGTTATAGAGATTTAGCTGTTATACATCTCTCCCATAACTATTGCGTACAAATTTACAACGAACCTAGTAAATTCGTAATACTTGACCTTGATGCCATAGTCTTTGGCGATGTTGGTTTCCCATGTAACCGTAAGCTCTATTTTATTGATATCACAGAATCGATTTTATAAATCAATTGATGGTGATGGATTACTACAGAAATATTAAATTACTAATAAAAGGTATTATAAAATAAATAGAATGACAGATTTCATATTTATAGTACTGTGAGTGTTAAAAATGATAAAATTCTGTGATAAAAATTTAGTGTTCATAAAATTTACAAACATAGACAGATGATAATCTTATCTTTTGATAGATTATTGGAACTTGAGATTTCCTTACCTCTGATTGAGAAAATACCAAAAAAAAAAATATAATAGAGTCAACAAAAGTTTGTATTTATTTTATTTTAACAGGATTTGTATAACATTATCTTAAAAATAAATACTACCTACATTTCACGGCAGTCTAGGTTAAAAAACCTTTTTATAATATTTACAAATACTTAGCTAATTTTGTCACTGATTCACAAAAAAAAAATAATTAAATGATAAAAAAATGTACTTAGAATATTTTGTGTATACTTATTTATATATTTATACAATTGCCAATGTATTTCTTATAATAAAAACATGTTCATACATATTACGTCAAATTATAAATTGTCCGTATTGTTCGCGATACTCTTTCATTTTTCAACAGTCTCTTTTCAAATAATTAAAATAAAACTGGTGCAATATAATACATTAAGGAAAGGATAGACACATTTTGAGCATTTGTCTTTGGATTATTTTTATTTTATAACAAGAGGCCTGGGCTAAAGCCTTCGTCATATCCTTCTTAAACGGCCAGTATTTTTATCCAATTTTCCTATCACACCTTTGGGATCCGGTGACTTAGAACTCCAATCAGAAAGAATGCATTGCTGAAATTTATAATTCCCACAAGATATCTTTTCAAACGATTTATTTTCTGTTAAAAATACACAAGAACCCAAGATGTTATAAAACTCTGTGTGTAGACTGTCAATCCACTCTATCAAATCTTTATTAACTCTTCTCGTGTTTAATTTTGATATTTCCATTAATAACAACCTATTTTCACGACTAGGTATAAATGTGTTACCCTTTAAAATAAAATTATCAAAATATTTATAAGAATTTTGTGACCCCCCATGTATTAAACTAACTTCTTGTTGGGTTATTTCTTTACCAGAGAAATATTCCAGAGGAGTTATAAGAAACTTCGTAACAGCAATGGTACTCGTATTATCAAATAAGCCAACTCTCCAGACACCAGGCAATAATGGTGCTTTAATGTGAGGTTTGATAAAACTGGTTAAGTTATTTTCATCTCTGGATATTATATTTATATCTGCAATTACGCCAGCGGGATCCAACCACACTAGAGTCAAGTTTCCCATATTTTTATCCACATACGCAGAAAACTGATAAAGTAATACTGGTTCTGACCAAGGACCCAAAATATTTCCTAAATTCCGAAAAATCATTTCCTTCTGATCATAATCTGAGCTAACTTTAAATATTTTTATATATTCCATATCAAGATTCTCAGTGCCTAAATCGAGAAATTTCTTTGGTTTGTACCAAGTCTCCAGAAACACTTCCAAATCATTATTGATTATTGCTTTGTGCAGTATAAGGTTACCTTTGTAAACATCTGCATATTTATACAAATTAATTTCAATTATTTCTTTAATTTCAATATTGCAGTTTTCTTGAGCTAATATCTTTGAATTGTGGCGAATTATGCTCCCTCCATGTGAAAGTAAAGTGTCATCAGTGTTAGCAGTTAAATCTTCTATATCATATAAATTTTGCCAGTAAGCCTCTAAATTAGGGATTAAATAATGGTCTTTAAATCCTATATATTGCTCAACCCTCGTAATGATTTCTTGGTTGATTATAGGTTCAAATTTTCTAGCAAAAAACAACTGTCTACTCTGTGTGTTCTGAATCCTCGGCCAGTCTTCAGTTTTAAAGTCATTAGGTGAACAACCACACCAATCAACAACATGCTTGTACTGGCATTTGCAACCCAGTTTTCTTTTCCAATTTGTTACATGCAAATTATTATCCACATATGTATTGCAGAAGCGGGAATTCCTCAATACAGTGTGAAAATAAGATTCAGCTGGAAGTAATGTGTGTTCAAATATAACATCCAAGCCTGATAAAAGCTCGTCACGCTCGCCAACAACATAAGACACGAGCTCTGGAGACAATGCTATCCAGTCGCTACCTCCATCTATAACAATACCTTTCGGTAATTTTCTCTCACCCACCCTCCACATGTGTGTCTCACATTCTATGAAGGTTTTGTCGAGGCCCTGTTTTTTAATAAATCTCTGGACTTCACGTCCATGAGATTTAACAAAATTATAACCTTTGTTATCAGAGAGAAACTTCTCAAGTTCCTCTAAAGACTTTATGGGGAAATCACTTTCGCTTAAATTTATAACATAGTCCCATTCCCATCCATTCTTCAAAATATCTTTCATGGATGTCAATAACATTGTAAGAAGAGATGCTCCACCCCATATTGTAGAATATTGTTTTGTAGCTAATTTTATATTTGAAAATTGCTTCTCTAATACAGATAACTTACGATGTAAATAGTCTTGTCTCTGTAACAAAACAAACCTTATTACTAAACAAAAAAAAACAATTATTTATATATACTATTCAACTTCATAAAGTATTTTTTACCTTATCAACATGTATATAAAAATAGTGATTTTCTCTATACAAAGAATTAATTAATCTATGTACTTGTCTAAGTGCTCTCCCATTTAAGGTCAAGAGAAATACAACTCTGACTGATGTTTCTTTGTTCTCAGGAGTTTTTGGAATCTGTGCAACAAACTCTGTGAAATAAAAACAAAATTAGTAGTATTGATAAGCCCTAAAACCCCTATACTATTGAGTATGTAAACAACTTACTATCTAAGCCTGTCTCATAAACATTCATTGTCAGATAACCCCCACAGATCTTTGAACGATCTCCGGGACACTTCATGTCACAGGAACCATCTGTAGTCAGTGATGATGCAGTGGGAGTGGTATCACCACAGAAACACTCCGAACTATAACAATTAGGACATTTTCCATCATATCATAATATTCGATATAGAGAAAGTAAACTAAGATTATATCTAGAAAACAAAAATAAATATACTTTATAATGAGGCATACCATGCAATAGGTGTTTCAGCATCAAGTAGTAGTTACAATAACATTCTCTCAATTTTTTTGGGCTAAGTAGTATGAGAAGATTTTCATGACAATAATAGTAAAGGAATTAAAAAGCTTACCCATATTGCACTCCACCATAAAGAAAACCAGCCTGAACACAGATATCTAGGCAAAATGTCGGAGAATTAATATTAGCATAACTTCCATAAAATCCTGACAACAGCCTTAATTTCTTTTCATCTACAAAACAACCTAAGTGACGTCCATATTTCATAGTCTTAGAACTGCAATAATTTGGTAATTTTTTAGGATAGAAGCTGCCATTCTGTATAAGACAAGTCTTATTAACTATTTCCTGTTTACATTTTTGTGTCTTAGCTCGATGAATAGCTGATATCGCTTCCCGACTTTTAATATCACAGATGGGCTTAAAGTCTAACTCTTCGAGTCTCAATTGCGGTATTGGTTTGTTGTGTGATAGAGTTTTCGAACCGAAATCTTCATCGTCGCTAATATTAGAACCAAGCTTTCTCGCTGAAGCATCTCCGCCTTCGTTCCTTGCAACGGATGTATAACCATTTCTTTTAAGAAGATTGTCGTGAATTGAAGGAAAAAAGAATATTGATATGAAGAGTTGAGCAAAAAACGTTGTCAAAACAATTATCGCTAAGTATTTAGCATATTTGTAAAATATCCTCCGAAAACTCGCCATCACTATTTATACATATTATGATATTATTAAAAATATCGTAAGAAAATATTTTTTTTTACTATTCCATGTTAAAAAACAATATTTATAATGTTTTATTTATATAACTTCATGCACTACTTTCAAGTAAGTACACTATATTTGAAATAAAATTTAACAGCATTTAATAAACGACTAATCTGTCATGTTGCTTTTGAGACTTTGATTTTGACAAGCGATGTAGCCATTCTTTAATTAACCAAGATATTGAATGACTACTAAGTAGATTGCGTTATTTTTACAAATTACAATATAACGTGCAACATTAGTTAACTGTACTACAAGAAAGCGTACTGTCCTATCTATGAATAAAATCGGAGAGAAATGATTTATTTAAGATAAAAAGCTTAAAATGAAATATACGCGGAATATATTTTTAAATAATTTTTGAAATACATGAACAACTTCAAAAAAATCATAAATTTTAAATCATTATCTAGAAAAGTTACAATCTGATGCTATTTCTTTATTTTTAGAATAATTAAAAAATCGATTATAATTTGAGTGGCCCTACCCAATGCAACAATAATATATTATATAATAAAAATGATTTCGCACTTTTTGTGCGATGTATATTTTCCATTTAATAGGACATAAACCTCATAAACTAAGCAAAACCAACTATGATTTGTCCACAAGATCTGGATGTTTTAGCCAAAATACATTTCAATAAACCTTGGTATTCTGAATGGTCTTCATCAATGATTATTAAATTTCGTCGTTATGTATTCATTCAACCAAATATTCCTCATAGACTTTGGTTCTTCCTTTGCAAAGAAGCCGACAGCTTTATTTCACCTATAATAAGTCGATTAAGGATTTTCCACGGTAGCATTTTAATTTACTTGATTAAAATTAGAATGTTGGATAACTCCTTTTGTAAATACCGCTTGATTGTAAATTTCTCATATCTTATTTTTTGTCCAAAACAAATTATCTCTTATATTATGTTCTCCCTAATAATAATATCCAGCCAATTAGCGTTGAGTATTTTTTAAAGTTTGGTTTGTTGTCCTTTTGTCTGGTTTCTGTGTAATTTTTTTTTAATCTAATAACTAAAAATTTGTGTAGTTGCCTAAACAATTTACTATATTTTAACTAAGTCATTGGATATTATTTATATACTTTTTATTGTTCTAGGTGCTGGTAAAAATATAGCAAGAGACTTGTTTAAAAGGCAATAAGAAATAAATTACTAAATAAACGCCTTTATTCCATTCGACAAACTGCTTAGTGTTTTCTTTACCAACTCCTCCAACAAATAAAAACGTTGACATTGATATAATACTCCCCGATTCCACTGCGAAGCAAGACATCATATTAAAAAATATATACTATAAGCAGTAATTGTGAAATGTCAATATGCGCGGACTGTCAAAACTTAAAAAAACGAGGGTTTTTAATTAATTAATTCTATACTGAGTATAAATATATTAAGGACTATAGTTAATGGTATATGTGAAGTTAGAGCCACAGACTGTTGTTATTATATTTAAAAGAATATTTCATTGAAATATATCCTTCCTGAAACTTAAAAACGAAATGTCCAGGAACTTTTTGAACCTTAAATATGAAGACACAATTCAGTGTTCGTTTTTCTGTAGTGACAATCTTTCTAGCGATCAGTGGGATCAACTTTGTGATAATATAAACAATACAATAAACCAGATATCAAAAGAATATATATGGCATAGAGACAAATTTTCCGTTAATTTTCCCATTTTAGATAACAATAAAAGTGGTAATTATCATCTTGTTAGTCAAAGACGTTTAATTATAAATAAAACTAGTATTTTCGGATGTAGTATCGCGTTTTTATTCCTTTAACGAGATTTTATTTTTCTGCGTCATCTGCAGTATGTAGATTGATATTAATTTTATCCGAAAATATTAGTTTCATTTAAAAGAATACTCGCGAAAGTCATAAATATCATGATGTGTTATATATTATACTTTTAATGACTTAATTATTTTTTTTAAAGATATTCCTCATCTATCAAGTACAACATGTTTTGGCGACAACCTAGAAGATGAATGGTTCATTGTATATATAGTATTACAAATAACAGAAATATACCAGAATCTGGTTGTCCAACTTGAAGATAATGATGGTGATTTCATACTTATTGAAGCCGCTGATTATTTGCCCGCTTGGGCCAATCCAGATACAACTGAAAATAGAGTAAGTGTAAAATTCTACTATTTGTTACCAAATTTTAAGAGAAATATTTTATTTGAAAACTTCCTAATTGAATAAACATAATTTCAGGTATTTCTTCACAATAAACAGATCCATATTATACCTCCTGATCTAGCCGCAACTAATTCAAGCCTCGATATAGCTGATGCTATCAATTTAGTTGCCCAAAACCCAAACATCACTAAGGCTTCTGAAGAAATACAGAATGCTATGATAAGAAAAGTGGAAGGTTACCCTCAAAAGATTCATAATAATTGTCATAATGCTATTTTAAAATTACCTTTAGATATAGCTGCTGTAATAAGTTTGGAACCAACTTTAATATCACCTATAGTCCATACATATTGTAACTTAGATGCCCTAGAAGCGAGGCAGTGTAAAGACATTAAATTTGACAACTGTGTAAATGTTAAAGTGAAATTCACTAAATATTTATATGCTATGCTCTTGCATTCTCCATTACTTAGTACAATTAAATACAAAGTATTGGAAAGTGACAAAAAAGGTCAAATGGGTTTAAAAATAGCGTCCGGTTATAATATCATATTGAAACAGTCTTCGAAAGAACCTTTTTCTACTATGGAATATCAAAGATTTTTAGAAAGCCTTACTAAAAATGGATTCTTTAAAGACAGCTTAGAAGGTTCAGTACAATATAAACAATTACTAGAAAAAGCTAACAGCTATTTCTTGAATATGGAAAGTCCTATAACTTCTAATGCATGCCATACTATTGAAAACATAAAATCTAGAAGTGACTTTGAAAGTATGAAGACGTTCCTTAGAAATGAAAGCGACTCAGGTGTTTTAAAAGATGATGATGCTTCATGGCTTACTATTCACCCTGATGAATTGAATAATCTGTTAAACTACCAATATGGAAAGAAAAGTCATGTAAAAAATGATAACGTTACTCCACATCTTATAACATCGGAGTTATCGAGCTTCCTTAAAAAGACATCGGATTATGAAGGGATAGAACAAATAAATGATGATGAAGACAGTGATGATGATGAAATAGACTTTGATAGCAAAGAATTTGTTACATGCCTTGAAAAAATGCTCAACATTGTCTCAAACAACGATGAAGGAAATTGTGATGAACAAGATATGAGTGATGATGAATATTCAGATATGGAACATTTGAATCAAGATTTAGAACTGGCTGCAAAATTAAAAACGTCAGATGGAGAAAATCTAAAAGATGATAAAAGTGTTGCAAAAAATTTGGTACAAAGTATTAAAGAGGAAGGCTTGTGTGGACCTTCAAGTGTAGTTTTAAGGACTATTGGAATCAAAAAAAGTGATGTTCTAGACTCTGATGATGATGATGAATAAGTGATAATGTTTTATTGTATACAATAACTTTTTAAAGATAAGAATTGTTCTTACTTAATAATTCATGTAGGTGATAAATAAAGTTATATTTATGTAAAACATGATAAAAACCTTTTATTCAAAATATACAAACACCAATATATTACTCTTGATCAAATTATAAAACTATAAAACAATATATATTTAACGGAATGTTGAATTTATAGATGAGCGTATGTCCCACCAGCGACAACTAATGTCTCTCCAGTCATATAACTGGAGTCATCTGATACAAGAAAAGCTACTGCTGCAGCTATCTCAGAGGGTTGACCGAACCTTTTCATGGGTACTATAGATAAACTCTTCTCTTTACCTATTTCATTGGATGTTATCTGTAAAAAATAATGTGAATTATATATAGAGACAAGTTAATTTCTCAGATGTTTGAAGTAGAGATGACGAACACAACACAGATCGTTATAGAACAATTGAAATAAGTAAATCGCAATGTGTTCTAAATGGGTTTTCTAAAATGTTCGAAATTCAAAAACTAGACAATCTACTACAACAACTAGTTACAAAAATATGCGTAAGGAAAATATTTTTAATCACGAAAGGAGATGTATAGAAAATAAATATGCTTTATAAATTGTGGCTAGTGAATGGTAAATATCTAGTTTTGCAGATACGTCAGGACCGATAATACCTTTTGTTATTTTTTTCACAAATAGTATATTAAACATAAATTGTTCCTCATTAACACATATAGAGAACTATATAATAATTTTAGCAAAATTTTCTTTGACAAAATAAGTGTGACTTATGGCCAGTCATTTTAACATTATGGACCCTTATTTCTTTTTGATTTCTTTTATCCGATTTTCATTTAATTTTGGTGCTTCAATGACCACATTCAACTAAATAGTTCTTTTTCATATGTATATTAAAGTTTCGTGTGTAATGTGACGTCACATTGGTCACGTGATTCCCAAAGAATTCCAACTAAGTTGTATTTTTCAATAAAAAAATAAGTGGAATACTTTCAAAGGCTTTGAATATTGGTGCTCAATAATCAAATAGTATTTTAAATAAAAAAGTATATACCGCAGATGCAAATTTTGTGTCAACAATTCCAGGTGCTACACAGTTTACTCTTATATTTTCATGGACAACTTCACCGGCTATTGCCTTAGCCAAGCCAATGATTGCAGTTTTACTTATACTGTATGGTCCTAAGGGCTGAAAATAAAAATGAAAAAATATATAAATACTTTTACCTTAATGATGGAAGAGTGAAATATTATAGTTAAATATATAAAAATACATTAAAAGTTTTTTAATCAACAATAAAGGTTTTATAACATTTTCAATGCAATATTTTGATAATATAGTTTATTAAATATAATATTAACATTTAAATATTATTAGGGCTTTTGAAAAATTTAATGTCAGTTAAGTTAATGAAAGCAAAAACCTAAATATTTTGGTACGAACTTCCATAGCTTGATATCCGGCGATTGAAGAAATGAACACAATATTTCCACCTCCACGCTTCTGTAGTTCCGGAAAGGCTTCTTTTGCCAATAACCATGAACATTTAAGGTTCACATCAAATATTTTGTCCCAAACTTTCTCATCTGTCTTAAATTAAATTAATTGAAAATTATAAGAAAGACTATGATAAAAATGATACTATAATTTTTCAAAATAATTTTAATCAAACTAAATTTTTGGAACCATTTTCAAAATAATATTTGGTATTGTCAAGGCCAGGTATACATTTATTTTATCTGGCTATTTAAAGACTAAACATTTAAATATTAGTTTCCTGTAATGATACAACTTATTACTAAAACATATTTACCTCCAATATTGGTGACACAGCTGGGTTAACAGCAGCATTTGAAACGAGAATATCAATCCCACCAAATTTACTGCTGGCCTGTGATTTGATACACTAAGTTATTTTTTAACTTTTACATTACACATTATTCTTAAAATGTTAATGAAAATACAAACAACTTAGAACTTTTTCCTAATTATATAGTTAGAGAAGTATTCATAATTTAAACTAGACAACAACAAAGGGTATATTTGAAAATTTACTATAATGGATTATTTAGTTACTCACGAATTCAAATAATTTTTTTCTGTGATCTGCATTACCAACATGACATACAAGTCCTTCTACATTTATTCCATCTTTTCGTAAGCTGTCTGTTGCCTTCTTAACGTTATCTTCCTTTCTACTGCTTATAATTACTGAGGCACCTTCATCGCCCAAGCGCTTGGCGATAGCATATCCAATCCTGCAATTAAATAGATATATATTATTGTTTTGTTGCACTGCGACATTCTATTTGTATACATAAACAAAATTAAACAAATGAAGAACATATAAATTCACCCCTCTGTAGATGCGGTAACTATGGCTACTTTTCCCTTCAATCGGTTACTGTGGAAGCTATTGGCTCTAACAGCATGGGGAAATAATTTTGGAAGCACATTCTGTGAAGCAACTAATCTTGGGCTAAACATTTTAGGTTTCTTTGAGTACAGTTGCAATCACAGGTCCAATGTTCACTATTCGTAATTAAATGACGTTATAAAACTTGCACGTAAATTATTGTACTTAAAAGAAATAGAGGAACGAAACGTACAATTTTATAAAATGTTCAGGTTCGATAAATGCCTACTAAAACTAATATCCTTATTTAATAAAATTAAATAAATATGTGTATTTTTTTATTTACTTGTAGCAATATTGATCGCATCGCAATAATTAAAATGCCGAAATGGCTTTCAAATATTTAACAGTTATCATAATAATAATGTACAATCAGAATCCTCTATAAATAAATGTATAAAATAAATTAAATTCAAGAGCTTGTAGAAAAATTCTTTTCGATATTGGATTCGATTGAGAGAACTTACAACTTAACAACTTTATGTTAAAAAGAATACAATTATTATCACCGAAAGGCCATACCTAATTAATAAATTCAAACTATATTTATTTTAAAATTATAAAATCCTAATAGTTAGAACTGGTAACTAACTAGTTGGATTATATTTTATAAAAATGAAAACAGTGGCATTACATTCTTTAAATTCTATGAGTCGTTTCTTGCTAGGATGTTTTTAAATCAATTAATTAATATATTTTTATTTAATACTAACTACTAGATTAACTTATTCAATAGCCAATTTACGGTTGACAATATTTAATCAGAACTTATTATTTGCGACTCTCATTTTAATGATTAAAAAATATATATATCCACTGTCATTACCAAAGCTTATGTCAAATCAAATCATTACATATGTCATATTCTATAACTTTCCAACAATATTAACGAAATAATCTCATATGCTTGTTCAAAGGATATTGTTTTATTTTGATTAAAGGTAAAACGATTAAAAAACCTTTCTTTTTATAGTAATTTCACACCCAATGTCAGGTTTGTCCTTTATAAGTCAGTACGGCGACGACGAGGATTCACAATCAGATGAAAACGACAACTGTAAAATACAGAAGTGAGATTTAGCTTTATTGGATTAATTTAAAAAGTTTTATCTTCAACAAGTCTTATATATCATTCATTTAATCTATAAATATTTCATTGTAATATCATATATGGCTTTATGAAAATATAAACTAATGCTTTAATGATTAAAGGATCAAATTACCAACACCAAATTTAAGTGAAGTCCCTGTGGTGTCTACTGAAGAACACATTGACGACCCAAGTCTGCATGGAGGAAGACTTAGATCTTTTCCCCATGTAAGAGGAAATTGGGCAAGCTTTGTTTACATTGAATGTCAGTATTCTTTGTCTAAGTTACGAAGCATGGAAATCAATCTGCCACTGTATGTCCTATATGTTTCTTAATTTTATTTTATATTTGCAGATCCAGAACAGGATCACTTGTATAAAACTATAAATAACTTATCAAAACTTGTGTCATCGCTAAACATTTCATGTAATACATGTGAGGGTATCCATTTGAGTCTTTCTAAAACTTTTACAATACAATACCATATGATAAGACCTCTATCAGCTGCTCTCCAAGAAGTTGTTGGTGATATTGAAAGGTATTTACATATAATCCATATAAATTTTTTTGTTTTTTATGGTGAGTTTGCATAATTTTTGTTATTATTTCAGCTTTGAATTATATTTTGATAGTGTTGAAGTTTATTGTAATGAGGAAAAAACTAGAACATTTATTGCATTAAAAGCAGACATTTATAGCAGCAAGATTTTGGCAAATATAACTGACAAAATAGATGGTATTTTAGAAGATTATAAACTACCAAAATTCTATCAGGTATGCTACTAACTAATTATTAATATAATATGTTATAATATTTTTATTTATAAGTTCGTTTTTTAATTATAGTATGCTATTTTAGGATCCATCATTTCATATGAGCATTTTGAGTGTAAATGGTAATAAGAAGAATGAAATACTTAGCATTATAGAAGATTTAAATAAATTATTAATAAGTGAAGAAGATACTTTATTGGAAGCGGTTGCTATTGAAAAAGTAATTTTCAAGACGGGAAATAAATATTTTCAGTACTTTCTAAAGAATAATAATGGAGTTTAAAAGTAAAGTCTATATTAACCCAAATTTTAAAGGAAATCCACAAATATCTACAGCTCCATTGCAATACAAAACAGCTTATGTGAATAGACATTTTTCTCAAGAAACATCACAAAATCAAATACATCAAAAACAAGACGATGTTAACAATAGAAAAATATATGTGAATCCAAATTTTATAGCTCCCACCAATTCATATGACAACATCCGAACAAATATTTCACATAATTATGTACAAAATTTTGCACCTAACACCTATAGCGTAAGTAATATAGAACAAAAACAATCATTTGTCAATGATAACTTGAAAATTAAAAACTCATTCTATAGTATAAGTTTGTCGCAAAATTCAGAAAAACCTTTTGCTAAAAAAAATCTTAATATTACAGAAACTTTAACTAATTCTTTAGAAGCTCCATTGACAAAATCTCGTTACAGCCTAGTAAGGAAGTCAAAACCAGTATCAAAGAGTATAGCAATAACAAGCAATAGTTATAAAGACAATACACTACATAATACTTACAATAACTTACCTCACGCTTCTACAAGTGTTTCTATGACTGCCAAAGTTGTAAATTCATATTGTCAGAAATTGAATTTAACAACTAACGTCCCTCAAAAGGTTACAAAAATCAAAGTAAGCAAATACAAAACTGTACCAATTAGTAGTTACCTGAAAGTAAGTTCTCAGGTGTTAATGAACAATAAAATAAAACAACTGCCTTCATTAAATGTAAGTACTAAGATACAAGGAAAGGGAGCAAAAATATGTTCCTCATTTGTTCTGGATAATAAAAATCGTTATAAGTTTGTGAAATCAAGGGTTTCAGTTTCAATAGTGGATAATGTTAAAACAACTCCTATGAAAGTCAAGAAGAATGTATATTTAAATAATTCAAAGATAACCGTGACGAAGGCGAAATTTAAAGTCAATAATATACCCTGCAGATTGTTTACTAAATATGGTAAATGTTTAAGAAAAGATTATGGTAAATGCGAATTTTTACACGATAAGAAACATGTTGCGCTTTGTCGAAAATTCATTAAAGGTATCTGTCACGACAAAAATTGCACTCTATCTCATGAGTTATCAACGAAAAAGATGCCTACTTGCTATTTTTATTTGAGAGGTATATGCACCAAACAAAATTGCCCCTATTTACATGTTAAACTTAATGAAAAAACTAAGATATGTCAAGATTTCATCAAAGGTTACTGTGAGAAGGGAGATAATTGTCCATTCAGACATGTGAAGATTCAAGAATCAAAGACTCCCAGGAAAAGTAAACTAAAGGCCGGTCCAAAAAATCTACAGCCTAAAGGAATGAAGCTAAAAGATATACAAAATAAAATAGTTTATAGGAAAAATGTAAATAAATCAAGTGAAGAGAAAATAGATATAAAGGAAAAAAGTGATAGCGATCATAGGTATTATGACGACGTTGTAAACAACGAAAGTACTTGTGAGATTATAAAGCCCACCAGATGTAAGTTAGGTGTCTTGCCTTCTTTCATACAACTATAGTGATTTAAAGTTAATTATTTTTTACATGATTCTTTAACTAGGTTAAGTAGCTGTTATGAATTTGTAAATATATATTTTTGTAATGGATAGGTTTTACAAATAAAATATTTCTTTAAATAATTTTAATGTGTTTGTTTAACCTTAATTATGAAACTCTAATATATTACATCATATCAAAGAGCATATAATTAGTTTTCGACTATTTCTTGAACCACTTTGGCATCTTGCTTTGTTTTGATGATGAAGGTTGGTTTCCGTTTTGAGGATTGTTTGATGATTCCTCTAACTTCCTTCTGTTAGGTGCACTGAAAAATATAGATATTTTTTCATAGTAAAAACAGAGTTATTATAATGTTGATTAATTTATATTAATTTTCCTTCAAAGATATGTGAGCAACTTTTAGCGTACATACCGATATTTTGATGCCAATATACTTGCTGCATCACTTGTAGTCTTTTTTAAGTATATTTCTTCTTTCAAGTATGGTTCCACAGCACCCCCTTCCATCCATTTAAAGTGCATATGAACACAAGGCACAAATTTAGCTTCAAGTAATGTCATTTTAGGATCCAACATTTCTTTTAATGGAGTTGTAACTGTAAATATATAGATAAATGTGTTTACATAACTTTTTCTTGAAAGAAAACCTAAAAAGCTATTTGATTTTAATACTAACATATATGAAATGGCTTGTCAGAGTGATGTAGGTGCTCTCTAACAAAGTTTTGAACATCTTGCACTGTGTTTGTTGGTGTAAACACACCTTGAAGAATAATATTGTCAGGAAATTGAATTCTCACGACAACATTTTTATATGTATTAAGCTTTTGAAGTGATGTCTGAAAACAAAGTGATATTATTATAAAGTAAGATTAATCTTAGTCATGCAAATGTATCATTCATAAATTTTATGGATACAATTATATGAGTACATATTTCTTTTCCAGTAAAGTGACGTTTGAACTAAAAAATAACTACTGGGATAGTTAAAACTATAATTCAAGTAGCATTTGAAACATTAATGTATTGCTGTTTTATAATATTATATTTATAAAAAATTGTGTTTTACATACATTCAGTTAAATATATTATAATGTATTAGGACTTTGGATTTGAAGAATGCCTTTTATAAGATTTTCATTTCTAATTATAAAGAAGATTCTAATGCACTCTGGTATAACAACTTAGTATGAATTCTGTGCTCTGTCAATCATTAATTTCATATTTGGTTAGATAGAGAGGGGCTTGGACGGTAAAGATGAGCGTTTAATGCCCCCAAAACCTAAATCTGGGTCTCCCTGCGACGGAACGAACCCGGCACCCGCACGGCAAACACATGAGATGCTGAAAAATTTGGTCTTGTCTATTCACCTGTTGTGCGATTTCATCTCGTTTTGTTGTAGTAAGCATTGGAGTATTTTCTAGTTCGATACGACGTTGTTGTAATTCATGATACATCTTTCGCACTTCTTCAATTGATAACTCATAAAAGTCATCCGGTAAGTCTGATATTTCATCTTCCTTGACATCTGGCTGCATAAATGCTATAGCTTTTTGAGATCCTACCTGAAAGTAGGTTTTTCTCAATTCAAAATTTAACTAAGATATAAAAAACTATGAGATTTGTTGTGGTATGACATACAAAAGTAACTTCTTCTTCAATCCTAAGACGTCTCTCAAGGTTTTCTTGAGTTATAACTGGCTTGGTAGGTTCTGGTTTTTCTTCTTTTATAGCTTTTCCACAATGTTGTGGTTCACTTGTGTCCATGTTTTCATCATTGGAGCTTTCAAGTGATTGGGCCGGAAGAACTGCCTTTGTTTCTTTTTCTTTTTGAATCAATTTAATGGGATCAAATGTTTTTTGAGTATCTTTATCTATTTGTACACCTGACGGACCTGCATCTTTATCATTAACTTTATTTTCTTGTAATTTTTTTTCATCGCTCATCAATTCTTCTTTCTCAGGAATCCGTCTATAAACTGAGGATACATTTGCTTGTCTATAATAAAAACAATCTTTAAATTAGTCTGTAACAATACATTTCCTATGAAATATAAAGCATATTTTATGATAATGAAATACTAACGTAGCTTCCCCAGTTTTGTCTAATAATCGAAGTATTGCTCTGCCTGTAAGTAGTCCAAGCTGCCTTAAAGTCTTTTGTTTTAAAGCAGGTAGCCCTATTACTTCCTGTCTCATATATAAAATTGTTGGATTTTTAAATGAAGGTAGTTCATTTGGTGCTAATGATGTTATTAAGTCATAAAGAGACGTGTTGGGCGAAAAATCTCCCATTATTCTTTCACCTAAGGGAGTTTTACAATTTTAATAAATGAAAGTTACCAAAGTAGACAAACTGTAGAATTTAAATTAATACTAGGTAATTACCATCATTTAACATTAATCCAACTGTAACATTTGATTCCAGTCTTTTCCTTTCAGCTTCGACCATTTCAAGTAAAGCCTTGTTGGGCAAGTTGCAAAACCGAATGGTTGTTGTTAAATCCAGGATATGGTTATGGTGTTTTAGGTCATACTCAGTCGCTTCAAATCCGTGTTTTGCACAAACATCTTCTAAAACCTGATTTATTATTAGATATTAAAATAAAATATGAAAATCGTATGTACAACAAAATCTTTATTAAAGTTTTGTACCTGTAAGATATTTGTGTCTGCCGTACAGTGAACCTTCATTCTTCTTCCGTTTGGAGTAAGAACAATAATATCTCTGGACATTTTACAAATATGTTTATAACGTCAACTCTTAATTCACTCGTATTTTAATATAAATTATTGTGGAACATCATTTATGTCAACCGGCTGATTTGCAAATTTAAAGTTGTCAAATTGTGAACAAAATCACTTGTCATATTGACGTATGTTATTGATTCACAGTAAACATAAATGCTTATGATTTTAAATAATCACATCAGATCATGCGACTGAAGATCTTCGATAAAACAAATTTTGGGAAATAGGACCAAGAGCGATGGCATAAACAGGGTTTTTAAGGAGTTTATTCTTCAATTCAAAAAAGCTTTAGTACAAAAAGTACAAAAAAGCTAGAGTCTCGTTTTATACGCCAGTGTCCATTTGGCTGTAGTAGGTACTTTTTCGGCTTTTCGTTGGTACTTTTTCACCATGTTCATCTGTGGCTTGTTTATCATCTAGTCTGAGGTTAAAAGTTGGTAAACTATCCTTGTAAATTAAATTAAAAAGAAACTTCTTTAAATTATACAGCCTCCCAGCAAATACATTTACCACTAAAACTTAATTAAAAACATCTGAAAGTACAATACTTCACGGCTTGTTTTGGCAACGTATGTCTATACTTTTTTAATTTTTATAGATTGAAGTAAACAAAAAGAAATATTTTAAGACATTTTTATACTTAATAATCTGGTCTTCTAATTTGTTTCAATTTATTTTACGATGAATCTATAGCAAAAGCTGAACATCGTGAAGAAGCTGTTTTATCTAATTTTTAACGCAGACAATTTTTTTAATGTATCGGTTCCCGTATCGAATTAATATTTTATTCATCATTTTATTAATAATAATTCTACTAACGTTCAGCTTGGGGTGAATTTTTAAAACCACACTTATTTTTTCGTCTAATTTGACCGAATTACCATGTTTTTAATTATAAAGAGAATCCAAGGATAATGAAGAAGACCTATAGACCTAGGAGTTATGCTGAATATTTGTTTTAAAGTTTCGTCTTTGTGCATGTAATAATAAAAAAAAACTTAAGACAGCCCTTTTGAGAGATTTATTTGAACTCCACCATTAATGACTTTTGTAGGATTTTATTAAAAATTAATTAATAACTTCAGTTAAACAAGAAGTTTATAATTTATACTTAACTGAAAAACTGAATCATAAAAAGTATGCATATGTCGATCCAATTAAGTATAGATTTTTAAACAGAAAACAGTTTACTGAAGCAAATAAATCATGTTAATAAACTGAGAAAACAACATAAAAAAAAATTTTTTAGTGTGTCAAATTTATGATGTTGAAATAAATTTGAGCGTAGTGACGTAGATACTTCACTTAGATACTTTAATACAAATTAATATTAACAATGTATAAAAACCATACAAATATTGAAAGCAGGTCAAGAAATTGAGAAAAGAATTTTATAAACCGAAAAACAGGTTATCCAATTAAACAGATATCTGAACTACAGATATTTCAAACAAATAAAATTGTAATGGGAAAAAAAAACAAAATGCCTAAATTCCTTGTTGTTATTTTTAAAACATTTATATTTGTCAAAATGCTTATATTTGATATTTAATTTGATATACATACCTCTTCTTCTACCTGGCAATTTCCCAGCTCTAGCCAGGGTCTGCCTTACATGTTGTGAATAGTTTTGGCTAATTTTTTACGACCGGCCGCCTGCCTGACATCAACCCTCTTTGGGAACCCTGTTTTAATCAGTGATGTCTAGGGCCCGGATAAATATGTATTAAAAAATCTAAAATATGTACACAAAATATGGACGAAAAAATCAAAAATATGGAAAAAATATGGAGTATAAAATTAAATACTTTCATAATTAAACATTGTTTTACTATAAGAAAACGGTCTCTCGTGTACATCGTTAAGTTACACTTAAAAAACGATGAAAAAAAGTAGAGAAATATTTATTTCAACAAAAAATAACACTTTTATTCAACTTTCATCACACTAGCCTTATCAAATTGGTTGCAATACATAATGACGTGCTTCTTTAAATTATCAAAATGAATACTGACCATTTGGTCGACATATAGCATTACATCTGCTGATTGGTCACATCTCAAGTCACATGTTGGATGGGTGCATACTTAAACATGCTTAATTTTATAATTGTGTAAGCCATGTCTACAGCCCTCGAAACTTTCGCATAGAATTTTGTTAATTTTTTTTAGCGTATTAAATCCTTTATTTTTATCCAAAACATTAGTGGCGGGAACGTAAATTTTATGTATTTTTGTGAATATATGGATGATTGTGACATTTTCTTGTAAAATATGGACTTAACTTTGAAATATGGAAAAATTATTGAAAATAAAAGTTGGTTTTTCACAGTCTAAATATGTATGACAATCAATGTAAAAAACACATTCTAGACTGGAAATCGATTAAATTAAAAATATGTATTTACATATTAATCCGGGCCCTAGTGATGTCTAAATACTCTTAGAAAGTACATATGATTCGGAAAAATCACATTGGTACTTGCCAGGATCGATCCCGCGCCCTCGGCAACGAGAGGGGAGCCCTTTAACCACTAGGCCATCACTGACTTTTATTTTGATATACATACCTATATACTTTAAATAAATATTTCGGAATTGGATCAAAAAAATAATTTTGCTAGACGTTTTACTTAATGTGACTTATTTTTCATTATTAAGTCCATATAATTCTTTTATTTATAATTTGTTTTCATTATTATCATTTGGTGGTATTTTTATGAGCCTTTATAAACTGATCATGAAAAATGATTTCCTTAACCTAACTATGAAATGCGTTTGTTGCATTTTGAATAGAATTCTTTAATTTAAAACTATTTTGTATCTAAACTATTTTTAATAATAAATTAGCACAGTATTTGAGTTTGATTTAAATAATACCCACCTGGATTTATCCATTTCTGCTAGTAGATTCATAAGAAAATTTATTTTGTACGCAGTGGAACATGTGTCATGCTTATGTTTTACTTGTTTTGAACAATAATTTTTAAAAGAATATAAGTATGGCATCGTTTAAAAGTAATGATTGTGTAAACAAGGAACCGAAAATGTTTCTTCAGTCAGGGGTTTGTCAATAAACTACACAGTATTGTCCAAAAAATATATTTTATTGTAGTAGACAACACGAGGAGGCGCGCCCGGCGCCCAGCCCGCCCCGCGCGCGCTTCCCACAACAACTTCGCTATCTACGTCCATCTCTCTGTTTTAATAATTGGAATATTTTATTTAATAATTACAACTTTTGTTTTATCCGTCCACATTTTAACATTAGATATACCTAACTTCGTCTTGTATAACTTGGTGTAAGAACAGCCTTCAGGAATTGAAAAAGGGTGGCGCAAAATGCGCCTCACAGCACTGTTTCCATTTCTACACGCGTCCGCTCTCTAGAAACGTACAAATTAACGATCAATCATTTATTATCAACATGCAACATGAATTAACAAGTTTCAAATAACGAATGCGAATTCGTTTCACAAGAAATTCATTCATTCATTCGTTCGTTCATGAATGTGTATGACGAGACCTTGCGCGCAGATCGCCGCAGGAGAGCGGTCGCTCGAGGTCGGGCAGCAAATCGGCGGGAGCGTGTAGTGTCCGCGGCCGAGTCGCGTCATGAGCTCGCCCGGCGGCGAGCAACGCGGCGGCCGAGGCAAGGCGGCGCGGTGGAGGCTGCAGCCCGTGAGCCGCCAACGCCGCCGCCAGCTGACGAGCACGAGCCACCGCCGCGTCACGCTCGTGACGAGCTCGCCACACCTAACGAGCCAAAACAACGATATAGAACAAGCTTTAAAACCTCTTTATACATCATCACTGCTCGTCTCCATTTTAAATATAGAACAGGAATGCTAATCATCCATAATATTTTAGATTTTTGTAAAAAGACTCTACTGGCGTATCTATTGTTTTAAAACGTAGCATATACAATTTCAATATATTGTATAAAAGAAAAGTAAAAGAAAGGAATCTAAGTATTAAGATCGAGAAACTATGATCTAACCTGTGCAGCGCAGACGGCGGAACGGCAGTGCCCGCGCTTACCGGGACCGAAGCCCCGTGCTGCCGCTTCAACTACTGCCCCGTGGAAGGTTAATGATTGTCCTGATAAAACATATACACTTATTAATCTCTGCAAATTCCATAACTGAACAAAATATAATTTTGCTTCATATATTAAAACATATATTTCTTTTTTTAATAAAAATTTAAAACACATATTTAATATTGTAAATAAGTTAATTTTAAAGTAGGTACCTAAATTAACTTAAAATATGTGAATAAGTTTACATAATATGTATCTGAATATTATTAAAAAAAATACAGCATATTTAAATAGATGAAATCTCATATTCATAACTAGCGATGAAGCTATAAAAACAGTTTGTATCATAATAATATACTCGTAATTACCCATTGATAATGACACGAGGGCACAACACGCGCTGGCGCTAGACGCAGCCAGGTGCTCCCTCATGTATCTGAAGTACACGTGCTCCAGCAGCAGCAGTAGTGCTGCAAGCAGGATGCCCGCCATCAGCAGCAAGAACGCGGACAGGAACTGCTCCAACGCCAACGGATCAGATGATTTATGCTCTTGCTTGTTTGGCTTACACGTTCCCGTCATCCAGTATCTGTTAAGATTATAATAAAAATCATAAAAATGTCTATAATTCTATTCGTCATAAATACAAAACAAGAATATAATAAACAGGCAAATAAGCGTGATAGAGAAAGTTAATCTACCTTCGTAACCGCTCTAGGTCCCCGTTGGAGCGTAGATCGAGTAATCTTTTATTAAACATGCTCAGATATTTAGAATTTCTGGTAAATGCCAACCCATAACCCGACATCGCGTACCACGAGCCTACGGTTAATAATCGGCAGTCCTCATCCTACAAAAATATAAATGCTATTAAGTGACTTTCACCACAATTCATCTACTTTAGAAGATTATAAGTTATTTCGCTCTCATCTGCTTTGAATATAACTTACTTGAGAGACGAGGTAGTCCAACACTGTGCCATCATAGATAAACGCATCGAGATCCCCCGTCAAGACGCTCGTCACACCAGCACTCACAGTACTTCTGTTGTATCTAAAGAAAAAGAATACAATAAATCTGTTTCTTTCCTTTTTATTTAATTAACCATATAAGAATCTTACGAGGCCATATAAGCGTGGGGCTCGGGAAAGTATTTCGCGAGCGTAGCGTCAGTGTGGGACCAGGGTACTGTCCCGAACTTGAGTGCGGGTCGTTGTGTTAGAGGGCGGGCGATGCGAGGGTCGTCCAGCCCGCTCAGCTCATGGAATTCTTCTCGTGTGATCATGAACGCGGCTAAATTGGCCGTGTATATAGCGAGGAACACTACCGCGAACATCGCCCACATATTCGTCATAAACCGAGCTGTGAATCCTCTAGGCGAGTCCACGTGGACTGATGCCTGCGAATGTTTCATAAAATTTATTAGCATTGTTTATTTTCTTCTTTAGTTATTTGTGTAGTGGACTTGTTGATGTACCTGAAACAACACCGCCCATACGATCCAGTAAGTTCGACACAGCGAGAATCTGTTCTGAGGAATTCGTTTGGAATTAGTTCCCGTTGAGCAATCGAAACCGCTAGGTGATAACCATTCGAAAAAAAATATAGAAAATGTGGCGGCTTGAATGGCAACCGCTCCGACCAGCATCCAAGAAGCTGTGTCGAATGGTTCGAGGAATGCTGTCGGTGAAATAATACCAGTTCGCTTAGCAACCACTATGGCCACACCAGTTTCCATGAATGGCACACTAAAATCTACAACAGCTTCTCGATCTGAATTGATTATTAATGATGTTAAAACCTGCAAAACAATGTTTTAAATTGTGAACGTTTTTTTAACTATATACTACATACATATTTATTTGTAAGTTCATATGTTTGGTTCTCAGTAATGTAGTTTTAATGTTAGTTTGGTATCTTACCATATCAGTTTTTTTGTTTACAAGTTCCGCAATCAAGCCGTTCCATTTTCCATGGTGTAAGGTACCCCAACGGCCATCCTCTACTCGAACGAGTTCGTAAGTGAATCCCAGATGTTCCGCTAATTGTTGAAGCAAATCTATGCAAAATCCACTACAACATTGATACAACGAACTGTTTCTGTGTGCGGTCCCTGCTTCCAGTCTGTAATTGAATGATAAATGTGACATTTACTTGTGATAGGACCACTTATAGAATTTAATTTTTATGTTTCCTTACCCTGCTACTTCAATCTCAGGTGCGACCCTACATATGACTCCACGATCTAAAGAGCATCTCCCACTGACAGGGTCCGGTGGTGCCAGATTAATGTAAGGCGGTTCTTCTAGAAACGTTATACGCATATGGAATTTTTCTGGTACACCCTGCGGTGGTGTGTGTAACCCACCTGGCCAAACTATATCCTTAATTACCAACCGTTCCTTGGGATATGAATTCCAAGTTCCAATTTCTTCCCAAACAAGCTGCAATTATATTAACATTGTGAAATTCTATGATAAAGTTTTTGAAGAAATCTCTGTCGGGGAATACCTGTTCACCGAGTGTTGGTCTTAAATTCATTATTTTTAACTCGGCAGCCCGAAGTTCGCCATCTGGAGTAAATTCTATACTCGGTCTACCCGACTCTCCTTCCACGCTGACATTACGAAGATGCCGATAAAATCTTTCACCAGTAGACCATCGAGCTTCACCCGTGCCTACTCCGCTACAAGATAACCTAGTTCCCAGAGGATATCTAATGTTTTCTGGTTCAGACACATAGGACTCCACTCCGTAGGCGAAAACTTTAACAGCGGTTGCGATCTCAGATATAATTGACGAACTCGATGTGTCGAAGTGTACACCTGATTTAAAGATGAAAAATATTTAATATACCAATGAAAAAATAGGTATGAAAGAAATTAGTAGGTTACCTAGCATGCCAACAGGAAATTTGTTTGGCTGTTGCATAGAGCCCAGCACACTTTGGGTGACAATCCAAACGAAATTCTCTCCAGTGAGGTGAAGATCGCCAGCTGAAGACAGTATGTCAGCCGCCTCCTCTCTTGTCGCGTACAACAACATCACGCGCGCCTCACTCGTCACCAGCTCGTTTAAATCTGCCGGTTTTTTCACAACCACAGCATTGAGGATCGTAAATTTAAAGCGGTCCTGTAACAAGATTCATTAAATCAAATACTTGAATGATTGAACTATACTGGTACATCATTTAATACAAGATTTTAGTTTGATATTTATGTTAATTTGTTTTAAATCTAATTAATATAATTTAGGTGTTGACTCTGACAGTTGGTTTAAGTTTTATATTTATGAAAATGAATCGTACTTGAAGAGCCGAGACTCTCTCCCGCACGGCTTGTATGAAGTCGTCGTGACCAGCAATAGCTGATGTGACGACACTAAACTGATGCCATTTGTATCTCTCTAGTATAGAGAGCATAGCGGCCGTCTGGTGTTCGATAGTAGGCGCTAATTGCAACCGCAGTGACGCGTGTGACGCATGCTTTTCAAGACCGCTATTGTCAGCATTCCATGCAATGACCTGGAGAACCAATCAGTCTTTGGAAAATAGTAATAACTAAATAATACCGTCAAAAAGCAAATATAGGTATAGAAAAGGAAAGCGCAGTCGTTATGAAGCTTTACCGGTATGCCAAGATATCCGGCGAGTTGTAGAAAATATTGTGCAGAGGCAGTAGATCGCCCGTATTGTTCATGATTCATAAGATAAAGTATAGCAGATACGTTAACTGCTAAAAATTCCTTACATAGCGAGTCCAAGATAGCTGAAAGCATTTAATACATTTTATTACACTTTTATTTAGATCTACTTGTTGTATTAAATTGGCTAATTAATTATTTTTCCTAAGAACATGCCATTCATTCGTTTAGATATACATTTTATACGTTATATTTAAAATTAGTGTTTAAAATTTTGATTTTTTTATTTCGCCTAACGTTCATCGTCTACAGTTGGTATTAGAAGAAGAAGGAGGGGAAATGTAATAAAGAGAGAAAAGTGCACTATTTGGGTTTTAAAGACATTCACACGTACAGGGTCTGGGTATATAGATTAGAGTTTTGTTGGGAGACATAACTATATTACTAAACGACTTTCATGCGAAGTCAACTGCGAGTTGCTACTACATACAAAACTATTACTATTTCACCACTACATCAGATCGAAAGCTTAGAACTAATCAGTCACTTACACATGGGACTAGGCGTAAGGCCTTGCATCGAAAGCGTAACGTTTAGGCGCACTTGTGAAAATAGTTTAAGTTTGCGCGGCAGTTTGGACAGAGCGGCCTTCTCAGCTCTGGTATAATCGCGTGCACCGAAGGCCTTATGAGGCACGACGAGGGCTGCGGTGATGACGGAGGGTGCGCGAGGGGCCTGCGGGGCGGGGGAGGTGCGGGGTCGCCGCAGCCCGTCGCCGCCAATCCGTACCCCGCCCCCCCTGGCTGCCTCGCGCCCAGCACCCGTCACTCCGCCGCCGACCTTGATGCCAGCGCCACGCTCAGCCTCGCTCCACGCCAGCGCCCCCAGCGCAGCCAGCGCCATTAGCGCGGTACGCGCATGCATCTCCACTTTGATGCTTTAACAATATATGTATATAAGTAAATGTTGAATAATGTATTTTGATCAAGTATTCAAAGTAAGTTTCTACATGTGTGCACTTGATATGATTATCAGTTTTTACAGAATATATTGTTAAGGAGCAAAATAAATTCGGCTTATTGTTTTGCAAGTTATGTTTTAAATCTTAACGAAGATAATATTTGTTTATCTCATCACACTTTTTGTTAATTAGTGATACTCCAAATCTCCAAAAATATATTCTTATATAGATACTTGTGTATATATATTTTATAAGGATAGCACTGTATGCCTCAGAATAAAAGCAAATCTAAAAGAATGATTCGGTTATAATGACAAAACATACTTTTTATTTATATAGCAAAAAACACGAAGAGATAAATAATCGTGTACCTATTTACAGTAGGTACAAAAACACCTTTAAAAGTAGAAGTATCCATAACACGACAAACAACTGAAGAAATAAAATAAAAGTTTATTTATAAACACTATTATGAGTTTTTTGAGCTCCATTTACAGACTAACGTAAAAGTTCGCAGAAGACAGATCAGAAAAATGTGTTTAACTCCAACTCGTAAAAGTAGAAATCAAATAAAATTCTAAGAGCTGATAAGAGGATAACTCTCCAGTAAAGAATCTCGACTTCAAAGACGTTTCTAGATGACTGGGACTTTATTGAATTTTAAATAGCCATTCGAGAGTCTAGTATTGAGGAAGTATAGCATACCCTCTTAAGTATAACTCGAGGAATACTTTGTGAACGCTGATAGAACAAAAAAGAATAAAAGACATCATAAAAAGGTTATAAAAAAGTAAATATATTTTCTAATTTTATTAGGTTTCTGGAAAAAACGTAATAATGGTTTTATAAGACCATTTGCTTTTTAAGTTAGTTTGCTCGCTGAATTTTGTTTTATGTCCCAGACTGACAAACTAAATATGTAGGTATTTACCCACCCAACGAAAGAGCCGCCGTTCTTGAGATCTAAGTATTTGAAGAGTAAAAAGAAAAATAAGTAAGAATTAGAAATAGCAAAAGGATAAACAAAAAAGCTTACAATTGTGTAACATATGTAAACAAATAAAACATTTCATTTCACTCAAAGTGATTTTAAAAGCGTTTCAAAGTCGTCCGCTTTAATTGTAAGTTAGTTTCTTCAAATAAAGTTAGAAGTCAATATTGTTTTCGGGTTGTTGATAAAAGACAATAAACATGAAACAACAGTTAAAACGATATTTCATTATTTGAAGTTTGTTAGAACAAAAGGTAAAACGGACCACATACATTAAATATATTAATGAAGTTTTAGATTTGTGTTAAACACCTTCTATTTGTAGAAAGTTTAAATACAAAGTTATTCAACATTTTCATGTTTGTTCTACAGCTAAATTGTTGTATAGAGACACGTTAGCAAGATATTTTATTTGATTCATATTCCAAAGTTTAATACAAACAATCATTTATTAAAATATTTAGTTATCAGAAATTTAATTATCCAGTCATTCAATTTCAATATCAAAGTGAAAGTAGGCGTAAGCCTCTATAATTTCCTTCAGCCTGAAATAGGGTGAATGTGGATCGAAAGGATTCGAACTGTTCAATGACATAGGTACTTCAGTATAGACGAATTCAATTAATTTTATAAGAGCACGAAATAAAAAAGTGGAAAATCCAATTATACACCTATATTTATATTAAAACGAGAGAAAGCAATTCATTTAACCTATTACGTATGTTATAATATTAAAATTATCACACTATTGAAAGTGCTAATAAGTTTCTTGTCAATATTTGTAGTGGCTACTTGTTTGTAAATTAAAAATATTTATGTGCCACCGTCGATATTGAAGTCTGCGCTAGGTTCAATAAAGTCTAGATTCTAGAAGAGTAAACGTTAGTCGCTCCTATAACAGCCACCGAAGAGGTCGCTTACTGTCAGTCGTTTTATACCATTAAATATTATGATCACTGAATCATATGCCAATAAAATATAGTTACTATTATATTAACGTTTAAGACAACTTATTCAAACGTTCTACCTTTTTCGTCAAACTTCCGAAATTCTCTCTCAACGTCTATAAATTCATATGTTATCAATAATATCAATAGTTATTAATCTACTACAGTTCTGAGCTAATTAAGAAATATCGTATGAGTTAATAGGAAAGTTTGTCAATCAATTTATCGCTAGTGAGTAGTGGTGTAATTGATTGGCTTCACAGACTCACCTATAAGCGCGGTAAGCGATAGTGGCGGCGGCGCGGGTGGCGCGGCACCTCGCTGTTCTCTATCCACATATATCGCGGCGGGCCATGGGGTCGTTCTAGGACGGACAGTGGAGCGGCCGCCGCAGTGGCACGCGTGTTTACGTAAGCGCCACGCCCCGGGCCACGCTCCGGCGGAGAGGGGCGCGGCGCAAAGCGCGAAGCACCTCCGGTCGCCGAGGGCCGACTGACGAGCCTTCGTTCAGGCCGCGCAGACCGACACGCTTGCGCCGCTGACTTACAATCTCCACGCCTCTTATTACATAATAACACTAAGCGTCTACAAAAGCTTTCATAAACTGGGCACAAACGCCTCGACGGTGACACCCAGGAGCGACGATTAAAGACGTTATTTTGTTAACAGTTGGGAAAGCTCTATTACCTGTTCCGACACAATAGACTTGAATAACAATTAGTCTAGAATAATAATCGAAAAGCGTTAATGATTTAGGATTATCTTTTAGGATTTATTTATTTAATTAATCGCCTGTAGCTCGAGACGGATTAAAAAACATGTTATTAAAAAAATTCAATCAGTGTTCAGCTAAATGAATAGTTGAAGTTGATTAACAATATCTACTACATTATGATTTTATATCACGACAATATGAATTCTTTAGATATTTTTATTGATCGGAAACATCTTTCTATATTCAAATTCAGTGTGAAGAAGTTTGGAGTCACTGCCTCTCGTGCTTGGGCATAAAAATATTTACTTTAATTCAAAAAGCTATGCGATTTTTTACAATATTCATTTCATAAGTATATGAGTAATTTTTTTGTACTAATTTAACAAAAAATCTACTTGAATTATTTAAAAATTTCTCATTAAAAAGGTGCTATCATATGCTCAATGAAACATTCGTATCGTGCTTATCTCTCGATACCTAAAATAATTTAGAAATATTAAGTACTAAACGCTCAAATGTCTCCAACATTATTAAAATACAATATTTTGGACTATATAATCATAACTTTCATTTTTAAATACATCGAAATGTATGCATATAGTTAATATCTTTAATGAACTTTTCTACTTTTAAACTCACGATATATTTAGTATTGGTAGAAGTCTCTCATAGTTTAATAAGTCAGCATATAAGTTATTTTAATTAATTCCTTTTTGAGCTCAGCAGTTGAAGTGAGATTTTAATGAACGTCCAGAAACTGAAATGAGTTTTAATGAGTTTCGCTTAACCCTTCTTTTTTAGAATATAATTACTTGAGGCCTCTGATATTTATATATAATGTTTTTATTTGTAAAAATATATTTTTCAAAAAAGTGCATCCAAATTAATAAAGGAAACTAATTACCTAAACTGATCGCACCAATTCAGGAAGCAAAATATACCACTAAATATACCACAGATATTATCTATATATCCAATACAAAAAAAAGTTTATAAACACCAGAGTTATGATATTTTATTTACAAAAAAACAATGGCGATCAATTTCCGACAATATAACAAAAAGATAAGAAGACCAACAGATTTCATTTGGCAAACGGTCAGCTGTGTGTTGCATTTCTTTCAAAAGAATAGAGATAGTGGAACCCGTTAAATTCTATTATGCAATGAAATCTTAGACAGTATATTATTTTTAGCTTGTATATGATTTTTTGTATAAACTAAAAACCGTATAAAAACAAGCAGACGGTCTAAATGGTCATAAGAGTTTTCTCTTGAATAAAAACACCTGTGGTTTTTGAGCACAAATCTACATTCTACACCCTTACCGCTTGAGACAAGTGGGGATCTTCAAACCTCACACACGTTCAGAGATGCCACTTTTTCATTCATAAGTCATAGTAAATGACAAAATCAACGTTTTTACATGTATAAATAGTTTAAATAAATGACTGGACATGTCCTCATACGTATAAGTATCGTCAATGGAGGTCATAAGAAAGAGCCGTAGCCGTAAGCAAAACTTACTAATAATATTGTGAATTTGATACAATTTTACAGTTGTAAGATTTTTTCTTTGTTAAAGTATTTTTTCTTGCCTTATTTTCCTCGAAGGATACTTCCATATACAATTTCGTCTTTTCGCGAGCATCCCAAGGCTTGAATAAAAATTTATTTTATTTCTGTTCCAAAGAGTTCCAGACCTCAGTCCTTATTTAATATTTATTTCAGCCTAACAGTTCCATTCCTAATTTGAGAGAAATTTTCAAGAGAGAAAGACATCTTTTATTCTAAATTGTAGTAAGAAAGCACTGATTATTATGAAACTCTGAAAGTATTAAGATAATGTGCCTGTTAATGAATATTTTCATGAATAATGTTAATATTATTACAATTTACAACCACAGATAAAAAAATGTTCTATTTAGTGTTTCTCAGGCGGAGTTTCTTATAAAAGAATTGAGTAAATAATAAAGCTCTATACATTTTTATTTCCTTTCCGTGGAATTTTATTTTTGTAAAACAATTAAAACTTCAACGACATCTTTGCAATAAGACTGTACTATTATAAATAGTTGATACATATATCAACTAAACAAAAAAAACTTTTAATGATTTCATCGAAATATAACTAGGTACACAGATAATAATTCTTATACTTCAGTTTTAAAACTCAACGGAAATGTAAACTAAAACATTTGTGTCTCAGCTGGCAGTTTTCGATTGTATGGATATGTCTTTTCTCATATTCATGCATAAGAAAGTTTTGCATTCGATGCGTAGTGTATATTTCTGCAGAAGATATATATTATTCAAAAATTATGTACAATTCTCACAAAACACTGTTTACGAAAATTACGTCTCCGATAGTATATATTCTATAACCATATTTTCTTAAATAACCATGTGTTTTAATCATTTATTTTGTGACTACGTTAAAAATTCCAAGAATATTGACAAGTTATCGATTATAAATTAACAATAAATATTAAATTATGAATTATGTAGGGTGGCAACTTGAGGTTCCAGTAAAAGAACGAAACTTTCTTATATGTATATAATAATCAGAATTACATATAAAAACTTGTTATCTATACCTATAGACTACATGATTGCCCCGATGTTAGGATGGCAATCTCATAATATGGTATCAAGAATCATTTGGTTCACACGGTTTGGTGTTCGTTCCGCGGAGTCAGCGGCGTCACTCGTTCTATGATATTTTTTCAATACAACGATGCTTCCCCGGCGATGTTCATTTTATTTTTAATATGTAGCACGTACGTAACACCTCCATCCGCAGATCGGCAACCTTTTCCAAAAAATAAAACGTTGCCGAAGTTTTCATGAATCCCAGATTCTTATTTTTTTATGACCAAATTCTTTTTATTAATCAGATTGGTCATAGATTTTATTTTTAAAACTTCGGGCTTTCTGCCTCTATTACACCGAATGCTTTTGTGGTTACTTAGAAGAATTAATTGATAGGATAGTTTAAAGGAATAGCCAATACGACACGAGTAGATATAATACGAGTAGTTTTTATTAAATATAATCATACTTTTTTTAATGCAAAAGAAACATATCTCATTTACTTATAACTACTATATACCTTAAATTTGCTCGATGCAATTTTAAAGGAATAGAGCATTTTATTACTAGGAAAAGAAGTAACACAAGAGCGATTCTGGTGTACCTACTTACTTAATTTAAGTCGTAGTCTTCCTAGGTCGAGCTCCGTCAGCAATCCCTACTCCATATACCTAATGTTCTGGACTTCCGATAAGGCTTGAAAGCTTCGTTAGTTAGACGGTCGTCGATTTTAGAAAATCCTAAATCTAACTAACGTCGGAAATCCTACCGACCGCGCTAATTACGTTAACTATAGCTGGAGGATCGAATAAGAAACCAAAGACAGGTTTAACAAATTTTAATCAACTAGTGATTAAATAACAATTAAGACTTATAATTATTACTGTACAAACTATTCGATGTAAGCGGGTACAAGAAGTGAACTATTATTATAAAAATCAAGGTTCTATTATTTCATTTTAAACTATAAGGTGTCATGCGGTTTTTGTTCATTTTGAGGGAATTCTATTACAGCGTATTGTCAGGGGGTATGTGTGCGTAACGTATTTAAAACAAACATGATAAAACTTTATTTCAATTTAGTAATTACATTTTATAAGCCTACAAAGATATCTTGTGTCACTGAAAATTAAAAAATAAGGCTGTAATCGTAGCTGCGGTGCAGTTAATATTGTGTTTATGACATTTTTGTATGGCCCAATTTGGTTAACAAAATATATAACATTATTGTAAGAATACCGATACAAATTACTATTATATTAGAATTTAATCATTTGTTCGTTTCATGTATTTGTATTTTCCAATTAAAAATAAAAATTTAATATGTAACACCAAAAAGGTTTTTATAAACTACCACCACTGAAACTAAACTCCGTAGAATAGTACTTGACATCTTTATCTTCCAATCGTTATATCCACATCATTACTTATCTGACCAATCACATTGCCTTGTGACAAGAGAGTCTTTACCCGTTCAACAATAATATGCTTTGAGGACACACGGTCCGTTAGAAATATTGCTTGCTATCAATATGTCAAACGAAGCAAATGTACCGCAATGTGGTGTGCTCTCATCGGCATATGGCCTTTAGAAGGCGATTTGTTTTCCATTCTTTATATTACTTTATATAGCATGATTACTCTTATACTTTGACCTCTTTAAATTTTCTTTAGTATAATATAACACGTTTTAGGTTGTCTGAAAGTAATTTTAAACATTCTAAAATGTCTTACAGATTATATTATGTATTTCTATTAAAAACTGTCCTATATTAGTTGATAGTAATGTGCTTTTAAGTTTACATTATTAAATTTATTAGTCGACACAGATTAAACAACAGCGAATGCTTGTATTAATTTCATAGAGCGATAAATTCGTAAAAAAAAAACTTTTAATTAATTTTCCTCCTTCCAGTTCATTCCTATATCACCTCAATAATCGCCTCCCTTCAAATTACTGATGCAAAGATTTATGCTTAAAAATCTTAAACTATAGGTATTCAATGCGAAGGATAAATTAGTAATTTTGTTTTCTGAAGGCTGAAACATCAAAGTTAATCCAACTGCGGCTTTAAACAAATCTGCCAGGTGGTTTTATAAACATTTCAAAATACATTTACAGTTAAGTTTTTTTGACAGTATCAACTTTATTCGAATATCTCAATAGTAGTTTTTTTGTCATAAATACTTACGTAAAACTATTATGATGTTATTTTTATCGTTATCTCACCTGAAGCATGGCGTATTAAAGTTAATATCCCTCAGTTCAGTCAACAATATACTCCCTGCGTAACGAAGTCAGGGAAGGACAACAGGCACATAACGAGCTAATAACACTCAGTATATCTTAATTCTTAGGTATCCCCAGGGAAGCTGCCGAGAACAGAGCCCCGGGGAAATTGCATAATCTTTATTGTGTTAATAATGAAATAAAGGGGACTTAAATTATAACAACTATCTATATGTTATACATCTTATATGTCCGACAAATTATCTGTATAAATATTAATAGAATTGTCTTTGAAAAGTGTTCATAATTTTCCATCTAGTCTTTAATACTTTTTGGTACCGTAGCTATAGTCAGCAATTAAAATTGAAGAACTAGTGTAAAACAAGCCTATAATTTTGTACATAATTCTGTCTGTTAAAAATGTTATCCAAAATATGTAGAAAATGAATTAAAATAATATTTGTAATACTGTGTTTATGCAGGCAATTGTTAGTACCTACCTTTTACATTTTACGTCCGCATATAGCGTCATAGACATGATAAACGTTATTTTGTAATGAGGTTTTAAATCTATATAGCATACAGCACAATGAATTTTGTTAAAAAAAGACAATTTGGATAAAGCGACCAGTATTAGGCAAACGTTTTTAAGGATTATCTTGACCTTACCAAAAAGGATCTTGTGTATTAATAAAATACGTTCCTGACTTAAATCCCTACTAATATTATAAATGCGAAAGTAACTCTGTCTGTTACGCTTTCACGCCTAAACCACTGAAATAATTTTAATGAAATTTGGTACAGACACGGAGTTGACCTTGAGAAAGAACATAGAATAGTTTTATCCCAGACTTTTGAAGGCTCTCTTGGAAACGCGATATTATCGAAATCCACGCGGGCGAAGCTGCGGGCGGAAAGCTAATGGCCAATATATCAAATTTGCTATCAAAATTGCATTGATTATCACATACGTTTAAACAAAACTTTGAGATCCTAAGGTATCTTATATCTTTTAACAAGTTGTGGAATAAATAAACCATTAACAACCATGTTCATTGTTGGTAACGTTGTGTTGTTTATAAAATATCGATTAATTACTTTGATTAAGACTTAAAAAATAACAAGAATTGAAATATATTGCGATAGTTTCTTCAAGAGGAATTTTTAAGTAGTGTTTTTAATTTAAAAAAGGTATAATCTCAGCATAATACCCAGCATTAATATATAACATTTAGAGATCGACGGTGAAAATTAATAGTATTTATACAACATGACTGATAAAAAGAATTTCGTCACGAAGCAGTTGTGGCAGAATAGATATTTTATAGAGCAAAAAGTTTTAAAATATTGCAAGTAATATATATGTTAGAGATCATTTTCATTTATCATTAAGACGTGCCTTACACTAATAAAGGCCTTAAAGTTAAACTAAAGAAATGAATTTTACGTTTTGTCAAATTAAAACTCTATACTAAAATAATGCAACTTTTTAAAACATTTTTAACAAACGGTTAATACTTGTATTTGCACACTTGGGTGACATTAGTAGTAAATTTTGCAGTGGCGCTAAATTAACGTAACTAAAAATTTTATGATGCAAACCATGTTTTCGCTATTTATGTCCTTCGAATTTATTACCTAATTTGAGTTCCACGAAATTTATTTTTATAGCCAGAACGCTAAAGCATCTGAAAAATTAAATGAGGCTTCCATTAACCACTCTCTAAAATTCAGGCCGGTTGAAAAGGTATTGACTTTTCGAGCCTTTTTCACTTTCCGGTAGAAATGGAACAAGTTGCGTGACGTCACAAGTCACGTGACGTGATTACCAAACCCAGCCTTGAAACTCTCAAAGCTCAGCAATATTTAATTATCGAACATGGAAATGAAAAAGATAAATTGACGTTCCTGTAAAAATATTGAAATCTGAGATCTTTTTACAAACAGGAGTTTTATACACTTGTAATTATAAAAAACATGAAACATCTAGAAAAGAACATTTAGATTCATTAATCATAACTGAATATACACACAGTTAATAAAATCAAGTTAAAAGTTAAATTACACTGATGATTTATGGCAATCAGTGCCCAATTAAAATGTTAAATATATTGGTTATGTATTATTTTGTTTCAGTGTTAGTTTTAAGCGTGTTTTATATAATATAAATGTTCAGTGTAGTTACAAAATATGTTGCAAGAAATAAAGAAATGCATATAAAGGAATCTACAAGATGAATATTTTTTTTTTTTGTAATAAATATTTTTTCATATTATAAATATATTAAAAATATTTCATATAATAAAATATCACAGATTATCACAGCCCTGTTGAAGATAATATAAAACAACAAATGATCTCATAAAGTTAAATACTACACTATAAATATCTTACTGCTACTATTCATTTCATATTATTTAAATTAACTTGTTTTGTCAACCAATTTGTTATGTGTCGGAATCTTCAATGATTGTGGCAGCACAACTTTTGACCTTCTATCACTTTTTCCTAACACACTCTTATAAATATTCGAAAATGTCTTCTTGTAACTCCATACAACTATTATTTAAACAATTGTCCTGAAGTAACATAAATGTTCCATATAAAAAGTTTATCACAACACTTAACCAGATTAACGATTCAATAAAGTTCAAAGTTCAAACACAATTTTTTTATTAGCAATCATAAAATAATTAATACATCGGTGGTTAAATTACTTTTTATCTTCGATCTCTATAAGATCTATGAGAATCTCGTTCCCGGCTGCGTCCAGTAGTGCGGTCTGTTGTTCTCCATAGGAATTCATCTACCGAGCGCTCGTATGACCTTTTATCATAAACCAGTACAGATCGAGGGTAGTCTGGTAGGTCATAGTAGCGTGGTGGGGGTGGGGGTGGTGGTAATCCGTCATATGTTGCAAGAGCACCGCTGAACCCAGGCGGTGGAACATATGGCAATGGAGGCAGTTGATGGTGCATGGAACGCATGTATTCAGCGACATAGGCCTCTGCTGCTGCCGATCCTCCACTGTTGTAACTCTCCCTGCTACGAGCGAACCATGACGGTAAACGATCCCTCATATAAGGTGAAGGGGATCTTCTCTTAAAGCCGGCAGAGCCTAATCTATTTCTGGGTGAAGTAAAAAGTTTTCTTCTGTTTCTACCCGATGAACCCATACGGTTTCTATAGCCCGATCCTCTAGCAGATAATGGTGCTCTATATGTTCTGTAGCTGCCACCACTTTTAAGATATGCCTTTTTAGAAGCCTCTTTAGATTTTCTTAATATTGGTGTCATTTCTATGCCATCGTCTTCAGGAAATAACCTACAGAGTTCCTCAGCGACCTTGGGCTCTATTTCTTGCCCGTCTCTACCAATTTTTACAGGTTTCCCTTCATTCCAGGGATTGTAAAGATGAAGAGTACTACTAAAAGAGAGTTCTTTTCTACAAATCCAGTCAACTTTAAAAACACCATCTAGTACTTTTGCTGAAAGTCCAGGTGGTAAAACCCATGAAATCGATGGTACATCTCTACGAGACTCGCTTGCCAGTCTTGCAAAACCAGCAAATTTACCACTTTCTTTTACTGAAAATATTAACAAAACATTTCTTGATTCTCTATACGCTTGGTTTAAATTTGCTTCATTCTGTGGTAATGTAGACCACACACCCTTTGCTTTCGACAATGTAATGTTTTCAGAATTATTCGATTTTATAAGAAAGAATCGTGTATCTCTAAACAAATAATTAAGTTTAGTCATGTAATCATATGTCTTTATTTTATTTGTTGTGGATGTTACACATCGTCGTTTTGTTTGGACAGGAGAGTGGCTCACAGACTTGGTGCGTTTACGATTAGAGGTGCGTTTCGACTTTTCTGTACTAACAGAACTTATGCTTGGAGTGCTCGAGTCACTCGAGGACGAACTCGATACTTCACTTCGAGTGTCGTAATCTTTTCCTTCCTCTAACTGTTTTAATTCCTCACCGATTTCAGCTTCAACCTCACCAACGCCAAGATTAACAGCGTCGGTGTTATTGGACACCTCCATTTTCAATATAGTTTACAATGTTACTTCTTAGTTATGAATTAAGAACAGCATTTCATTAAATAATACTAATGTAAAACTCAAAAACTTTTGAACAAAATTATTCTACAAGAACAATTTGTTAGTAAAAAGTATACAGAATCAACAATGAATAAGTAACAACCATCAAAATTTGTTAGGCCAGAGTGCCAGGCACAGCAACAAGCAATACTATCAATATAATGAATATCTGTATAACAGATAACTACAGTTTGGGATCCTTGTATAATCTTTCAAAATTTTATTAAATTAAAACAAAATTAATAGAAATAATATAGGACCTTATATTAAGCTCGAGAATTTTATGGTGCATTAAATGTTAAATAATGAAATAAACAAATGAGGAAAAGACTCGTTTAAGTTATTTTTGATGTTACCTTATATATGTTTTATAGTAGGTATGAACTTTAACAAGGATAAAGAGGTAATTATTTATTTTGATAGTTTGAAGGGGCCCATTGATTTTCTCGTTTAATATTTTAATAGTACTTCGATATTATGAATTAAATTATTTTATATAAATTTAGAATATAGAGAAAAGTATTAAGTTTTCTTGCGTGTAATGAAACAAACATTATTCGCTATCACCTGATTTTATTTTTAAAATGTTGGTAATATTTATTTTGAATAAAGAAAAGTTACGAAAACGGAAAAATTTAACTTTGTAGTTTGCAAGTCTTCGTTTGTGTACTTGCATATAGATTTAGTTTCATAGTTGTAGCAGATTAATTATAGTGTAAGCAAATAGACAAATAGCTAAAGAGTTATATAGCAATACTTTAATTATATAAAATGCATTATGTGCAAAAATATTTGGATAAATTGCAAGCACCGAAGTTAAATAACACATCTTTAAGTAATGGATACAAAACAAATATATTTTTATATTGCAATTATTACAGCTTTTACTCTCAAAAGGTAAACTATGTTATAATTATGAGAAATAAAAATGTATTTAAATTGTATTTTCTTTACTAAACTAATGGTAATTTAATCGTTACAGGTTTTGATGGCACTATACGAAAAAAATATAGACTTCGAACCAATAGTTATAGATATAACTAAAGGTGAACAGTATTCTCCATGGTTTCTGGAACTCAATCCTCGGGGAGAAATCCCAGTTCTTAAAGTAAACAAATCCATTATTCCGGATTCTACCAGAATTTTAGATTACTTGGAGATGTACCTGGATCAAGGTTGAGTTATCTTTATGTATTTTAAGTTTTCATTAGTTGTTATTCATGATAATGAAGACAATTAATAAAAAAATTAAATTATTAAATGTGCATATTAAAAACTACATAAAGGTCTTAATATTTTTAGAGAGTCCACCATTATTGGAGGTTTCTCAAGATCCGAAAGTTATGATGAACATTGTTAAGTTTCGGGAACTTATTGAAGCCTTGCCTGCTGGTGTGATTACTGTGGGATCATTCTTCCATCCACATCTTGCCGGACGGCCGAAATTACCATTCATTTTGCCAGTTCGAGAAGTGCTTAAAAGTAATTGTGTCTTAGTTGTTTATTATGTTAATGTTTCACTTCCAAGGTCTCATTAACTATTTTCGTAGGTGGCGATTTAAGTAATTCCAAAAATCTGAGAAGATTGGCTGAAGAAAATCCAAAAGCCAAGAGTGTCCTTCTATACAAAGCAGAGATACAGGATCGAAAACAAGAAATACTTACTAATGAAGAAGAATATCTTAAAATCATTAATATAGTTGACGATGTACTCCAACAAGTTGAGGAGCAATTGAAAAAACAAAATGATGGTATGTAGTTGATAATTGATTCGAAAATAATGCAACATATTGTATAATTTTTGCTATAAATACTTTTTTTTTACAGATAGTTGGCTTTGTTGTGATAAATTTAGTGTTGCTGATATTAATTTGGCTGTGCTTTTACAACGTTTATGGGAGTTGGGGCTAGATGAGCGCTTTTGGGCATTCGGTAAACGCCCCTACATCGAGAATTACTTTGCTCGTGTCAAACAACGAGATTCATTCCAAAAGACCATTCCTGGTCTACCGGTCCATGTTAAAATGATTATAACATCACAACCGCCTATATATGTTGCTTCAGCGGGAATTGTGTCCATTTCTCTTGTGATTACATTGGCATATCTTTTTAAAAAACTAATATGGTAACAAAGAAATCTATGGAAAACTAGTAAGTATTAAAATGTAGAAAATAATATCAAATTCATACTTTTACAGTCTTCCTTTAAAATTGTTCATAATATTAAAGACTTTATAGTTAGAGCCTCATAAGGAATATTAACATTTTGATATATCTTATACACTTTACAATTTACACCAAAATTGATTTCTTCAAATACATTTTTGGTAACAAGTGAAATTATTTTCTATAAATAATGACAACTTGTTTATGAATTTAAAAAAAAAATTACACATCACATTGTTCTGAGGCTAAGTGAAATAAAATCATTCCAAAACAGTATTTTTGAAACATAAGGAAATTTATTACAATTATTATACAATTATCGAGTTGAATAAATATTAAAAATATATTTATATCCAGTATTATCCCATTATCAGTATTATTTTTAGTCTAAAGTTATACTTAATTTATTTAAATAATGTTATTTACAAAAATATACAAAAGTTGCAATTATAGTGTGTTTCATTTATAAATTTATTACTTAATAAACTTGGTCTTTACCAATATTGGCTTAGTTTGTAATGATCAAAATAATAAAACAAAAATATAACACAATAATTTAATTCTATCTACTTTCAAAGTATACCCCGACCCACCCCTTCAATACAAAATATGAAAACTAAATTTAAAGGCACTAGGTATGTTACATAAATACTTTAAGACAATAACTAAACCCATGGTACATATATGTAATATATAAACAATAACACCAATAAATAAATTAAAATAGATTACTTTGTCTCCTCGGCAGGTTCTCCGGATTCCTGGTTTGGGTTTATAGGCATACCCATAAAATGTTTACCATTATTGATTGATGATTTCTTTCTTAAAGGTACATTTAATGGTGTGCTTTTCTCCATATTATATTTAAACAATCCCTGTCCCGGCGGATTTGGTAATAAATATGGCAATGTATACCAAACTCTATATGTGACAAACCATGTTAGAATAGCAATTACTCCACTTATAAACTTCTCAACCATAATGTGATAATACAATATTGTGGATACTAACATCACATCCCACAGTAGCTGTAGACCAGCTATGGCTATGAGAAATGCTCGTACATACGGAGTAAACTTCTCATATGATGTTTTAAGTACCTCCAAGTCTTCCTTATTAATATTCTTTAAGGGATTAACCCGTGCAGATTTGTCGTTCAAACTCCTCGAATATGTCTCATCTCTAATGAAATCTTTTATTCTCTCCCATCCATTGATTGCTTTTGCTTCTTCTATTAATATCAAACTTGAGTATATCAATATGAAACAATGTCCTGATATATCAAATCCATTCCAGAAGTGACCATTTTTTAAACATGTAACCTTGTCAGTGATGTTTCTTGAATTGCATCGACCATATTTCACTTCAATTACATTAAAGAGAGTTGTCCAGAAATACCAAAACAATGTTGCTATAAAAAGTCTCACTAAATGAGTGCCTATAAGTTTTCTTTTGCCGCAACACGTGGTGTAAGATGTCAAAAAAACATAAGGAATTGTTAAAAACAAAGTCCAAAACCATCCGATTTTTACAAAATACTGATTAAATATATTATCGCTCCTAGAGAAATAAGATTTTGGAAAGGTGAGAACATCTGCTATAAGAGATAATAGAAAGAGAGCTCCTAAATAAATGGCTATTTTTAAATTGGTGTCATAGAAAAGTAGCTTCTTACAGATATGCACAATCATTAATGTTATAATTTCAAGAACTGAAGATGCTTCTCTCGTTGGTTTGTTACCTTTGGACTCTGAAGCCTCATTTTGAAATTTAAAGTTCATCCGACTACTTTTATTAAAATTTGCTCTGCTAGTCATGTTTTTATTATTTCTGTCATTAAATTATATTTGGTCCAGATAGAAGACTCAAGACTTATCACAATAATGTCATTTGTCAGTTTCACTGTAGTCTATATTCATAGGTGGGTAATGTCATTAAAGTTTTGACACAGACTAATCACTAAATTATCTCATTCTCTACCATATATTGAAGGTGATTTCATTTCTGGTAAAGCTGTTCGTCAATTAAAAACTGTTTCCACAAATGTTAAGAATATTTTGTATTTGCAAACAGTATCAAACTATGCAAATTGCACAAGTCACATTTACGAATATTTCAAACGTGTCTCTCTCCCTCTTTCTCGCCTGGGAATTTATTATTCCTATCTTGTGGTGGGATCTGCCTTCTTTTTCTTGTTCTTCCACTTAGCTCTATCAGACGCTTCGGATTCTTTGCAGGAAATCCTGTCTTTTTTATCAAATCTGTCCTCCTTGTTTTCGATCGTCCACTAGGTCTGAACACTGGGATGTTTAGATTGATTCTAATATTGCCCACATAATCTGGAGGTCTTCTCTTTACGTGTCCGAATAACCAAGTCTGGTTTCTTCTAGCTTATCGGTATGGATAGTATGGACTTGACGCTGCATATTCCGCACCATTTAGTTCTAAATTTTTTAATCATCCCCGTTAAAGGCATTTCATAATTATTTTTTTTTACGAAAACTCCTACTGATGTACTAATATTATTCACATACTATTTATATACCTATAGATTCTTGGCTTTTTAAATTGTAATATGATTATTTAAGTTTTCGTTGTTTTAAGTAATTTCTAGTAGTAATCTGTCGGTTTTCATAAGCAATTCAATTTAGATTCATTTTGAGTTTTCAAGATGTACCTATTATTTTGCATAATTAAAAAACAATGTAGAACACAGGTGGGTATTAAAATGTAGAGATGAATATCTCGTCTAATTTTGAAGTTCAATTGTCAGGCAAATGTTTAAATATTGAGTTGCTATTTAAAATGCGACTTCTAAATCCAGTCATATTCCGAAAGAATCAGTTAAATGCTACATTTCACTGAATTTTACATTAATCGAGGCTGTATAAAATAGTAGGTAAGTAAGTGGCTTTTCTGTTGACATTAAAACACTGTTTTGAAAAGCCAACCATTCAAATCCCATTTAGCTAAATATTTGTAAACAATTATTTTAACACTTAGTTTCATTTAAAATATACTTTTATTGAAAATCATTAAACAAACTTTTTTTCAAGGATTTTTTTTTCTGTAGATTCCGACCTAAAGAAAACAAAGAGATTTACATATATAATTTTCTTTTAATATAATTCTTGGGAAGGCAAACACATATTTTGTCTTTTAATTCACCCGACAATGATTTATTTTAAAATATATAATCAGCGCAAACGTAGCTTTTAAATAGCATTTAATAGATATTAATAAAATCTTGTAAATAAAAAAAATCATTAATATGAATTAAAATTGATTTGATAATAGACAATTTGTAACTACAAGTAGGTATTTAGAACATAATCTATGTTGTTTATGGGGAAGCAAGCGACGAACGGCGTACTACTTTTAACTTTAGCGTTTTCCCTCCTTAACATTTTTGGCGTACATTTAATGTAATTATCGTGATAAAATTTCAACAAGTTATTCTTCTTGCGCTTATTCAGAACTGTTTACTTTTCGGCGTTGAAAATGAGGAAAATATCCAAAAATCGTACAGATGACGATGTTGTTTCATCGACCAATGGATCTGCATCCGTCGGGAACGAGGAGAGTCAAGAATCGGAGCAAGGCAATAAACAAGATAATAATGAAGACAATGAAAATGGTAAAGACAAAAACCAAAGTGAAGATGAAAAGGATACGTCTTCTGTTAAGGGAACGCCTAGAAAGAGCCTGACGAATAAGTCAAAGCAGACGAAAAAGAAAAAATCTGAAAAAGTAAATAAAAAAGACGCTGAAGAAGAAGAATATGAGGTTTGTTTAAATTTTGTATAATACCTATAAAGTAATCTCCCGAATAAGACGTGGATATAATATTATTATATGAATTATTGTTTAGGTGGAAAAAATTATGGATTCTAAAAAAATAAGAGGGAAATTGCACTACCTAATACGTTGGAAGGGGTATTCAGCCGATAGTGATACTTGGGAACCATCTGATACTCTGTCTTGCCCAGATTTAATCAGTAAATATAATGATGGGGTAAGTAAAGTTTATATTCCAGTCGCAATTTACCATTGATATTTGTACATACATAAGTTGTTAACAGATTTAGAAGATTGGTTAATGTTTGTCAAAACAAAGTAACAAAATTATGAATGTTGTTCATTTCCAATAAATTGTCATTTAAACAAAATATGGATATTAAATGCACGAGATAAAAATATCATTCATAAAAATGCATTTTTTTTTTTAATATGGTAGCCATTAATTAATTACTTATATCATTATTGTTTTGATAGTAAACATTAATGTAAACAGTTATTAACATTGTGGCACTTTTTATAGAAGGAAAATTCAAAGAGCAGCCCAACAAAAAAAGCTAGCAAAAGGAAAGGTGCTAAGAAAGAGAGTAAATCGCCACCAAAGAAAACTAAAACAAGTTGGGACTCTGAGAATGCTGACGAAGAAGCTGAGTATGAGGTATGAGAAACATGATATTTATACTTGAAGTATCATCTTTCACATAATAATATTAATTATGCAGGTAGAGCGCATTCTTGAAGTACATCACAAGAAGAATGGCAGCAGGGAATTTTTGATTCATTGGAAGGGATGGTCAAGCAAATTTGACTCTTGGGAACCCGAAGCAAATTTGAATTGCCCCGAATTGATAAAGAGATTTATGGAGAAGGTACTATATTATATAATTATGCATAGTTATGCATTTCTGAATGGTAATAAAAATTAATCATAATTTAAGGTGGAAAGTGCTAAAACAACTGAGAGTAGGAATTTAAGAGTGGCTCCAGAGACCACAAACCGTTTCACTCTTCAAGATCCAACGTCTGGGCGACGACTCAGCAAGAGAAGAGGACAACGCCAACGGTAATTCTATTTATATATTATTTCAAAGCAAAAAATATAATAATGATTAGCTTGTATAATCTGTGTGTCCAGTACATAGTTATGTTACATTTAAGACAAAAATGAAGTTCACTAATTATACTACTCTTGTGCTGAGTGATTTTGATATAGTATCAATATTTTTAGTTTTTTCTGTTATACTACTCTATGTATGTGATACACCCAATTCATGTCTTATATAAAACTAAATAAAATTAGGCTAACAAAATTGTATTTTTGTTGATTAAATGAAAACTATTACCCCAATTATGTTCTTTTGGCATTAACAATCTCACTGAATAAGTAACCGTAATATAACATTTATATGTCTTAAATATAAATGATAGTTCAAAGCTCAAAATTTTATATGATAAACACTTCATTTCTATTAGAATTGATTATTTTGTTTGTGAAAGTTTGTATGGTGTTAAGAAACAGTACTTTGATATCACACTGATTAATTATTATTGTTTAAAAAGCAATTCAATGTCGTAGTAACTACACATTTGAACAATATTTTAATTCTATATGTACTTTTGTTAGGATAAGTCATACAAAAATAAATAAATGGAAAGTTTAATGACCTGATAACAGTTTTTTTTTTATAAATATATCTATATTTATATATATTACCATATTCACTTTGAAACCAGTAAATTTTGTGTTAGCCTATTTAATAAACCTGTTTTTATTAAGAAAGCCTACTAAAATGTTTGACTAATGGTATCCATGTTTCTGTTTCAGTGTCCGATATGACAATGCAGAGTAATGTGTCATGTACGTTGATTGTACCATTACATGTTACATAATGTAACAGATGCTTTTTTCTATTATTTTCAATATTTGTAAAACAATTTTATTTGTTAACACTGTTAGTTATAAGAAAGATATTTTTTATTTATCACATTTTCGGACTTCATGTTTGTGTGTTTGATCTATGTTATATACTGTGCAATGTTTATGTATAACATCATTAAAGATGTAAAAAAGTATTCAGAAATTACAGTTCATGTATCAAGTGATATAAATATGTTTTCAATCAACAGTTTTACTAAAACCTAAAGTAATCAAAATGATCTATTTAAAATGTTAGAGACACACTAGGCATTGATTTTTTTTTTCGTCTAGACTTTCTCTAATGATAATTCTTCTGACTAAGAATTAGGTCTTCAAGATGTTTTATAAATCTTACATATTTTTACATGGTGGGTGTACATTAAGAAGAGTATTTCCTTTAAGCAAAATTGTATTTAAATAGAAATAAATATATTAGCGAGTAGCTTTAATGATGTAAGACGTAGGATTTCCAAAAAATTCACAATCGAAAGGCATTCATCAATAATTCAATTATATTATATGATCATAGATGATAAGTAAAAAATATATATATTATAATATAACATAATATATTCTAATCGAATCTTTGAAGGCATATCCTGAGAACAGTTGCAGTACAGTATCCATAGATAATCTGTTGTCGTCTGTACATTCGAAAATAAATATTTGATTTCGTACACGTCGTTTTATTTCAATGGCAACATCACAATAAATGTCTCATTTTAAAGCGTGTAGTAATCACCGGGTGTTAGGGCGAGCACGTGTGATGAGGGTCGTCATGTGTGGTTCAGACGACGCCTTCGAGGTCAGGTCTCGGGGGGGCGACTAGGGATAAGGCGTAGTCCTGTGTGGAGCGAGCAGGGGAAGGCGGGCAGGGGGCTGATGGTATGGGAGCCGCGTCCCTCGACACTCTTACCCCACATGGACACGTGCTCTCCGGTTCACAGTCCACGTGGAAAGCCCTTGCGCAGTGAGCGGTCCGCACGGCCGGGCCCGCTTCAAGCGGTCGGTCGCAATGCCTGCACCGCCCACGCACCGCCAGCCCGCGACGAGCTGAGTTCAACTCCCGTGCGAGCGCCTCGTGCGCCTCGCGCTGGACTAGTCGAGACGTACATTCCCAGGCATCGCGGCCGCTACCACCACTCGCTAGTATGGTCCGGGCCATTGTTATCGAAGTGCAAGTCTTGGTAGCGAGTTCTTCGAGGGGTAGGTAGGCGACGGCTTCGAACAGTAGCGTCGTGGGGATCGTGTCCGTGTGCCGCAGGAGCCGCGACCACATGTCGGAGGCCACGGCCTGCGGGACGGCTGGTCCCACCCGGACACACAGCGCGCCCGCCTCCTCCATCAGACTGGCTTTGGTCACCTCGTCCTCAGCTGCGGTCACTGATTGCAGCAATGCCTCCAAGGCGCCCATGTGATCACCGCTCGCCTCCAGACAGATCGGCTCCGCGTCTTTTGGTCCGTGTTCTTTAATTATTCTTAAAGCGTCCTCGGGTCTGATTATTCCCGAATTCTTTTTAAGAAACTCTTTAACTTCATTTGGCTTCTCTATACACAGAGTACGAAGATGTGACGCGGCGATGTCCCCCTTCAGCCGCCCCATGTCTAAGAGACATTCGCCGAATTCTATTCTACATTCGGTACTTAATGTATCGTAAATAGGTCCTATCGTGTTAGTTTGTTGTTCGTTGAGGAGCGCCGCCGCCGATCTTGGTCGCAGTTGGATCAAAGCTGGAAGGTGGTCCCTTATATGTTCTCTAGCCTCGGCGTCAGTTTCGATTCGAGATCGCAAGTATTCAAAGAGTTCGTTTATATCGCGACTGGACGGATCTCTGATGTTGAAGAACTCGTTGAGGACCTCGCTATGCCGGTCGAGCATCGCATTAATCCGCCACAACACTCGCGGCCGAGGCACGGCATCTTTATATTGCATGACCATTTGGTCTCTCTGTGTTCGTATCCGTGTTAACACTCCCAGCCAAGCGACGTCAGCTCGTTCGTCATCTATGTTCGATATGACTTCTTGAACTCTTTTTATCAACTCCTGGTCGAGCGGCAACGCGCCGGTTTGTAGTTGTCCACATATAAACTCTAGTATTTCTATGCTGTCTGATACCTAAAATATAAAATGATGATATACATTCAAGTACTACCAATTTGTTATTATATTAATTATAAACAATAAAAATCACAATTCTATGAAACCAAAATAAAAAAATACACGTAAGACACTTGTAGATCCAATTCAAAGCATTACTTTTTATTTAATTGTAATTTTGTATGTAATAAAAATTAACAGCCGGTTTGTTTAATAAAACTGCTGTCTATTATGTTAACAAATGATAAATTCATTGATTTCTACAAAAATAGGGTTGTCAAAAATAAAAACCGAGGAACTTAGAAATTTTAATACGATTCGTGCATTATTACTTTAGTTACTTTTCACTTGTATTTACTGAGTCAGATAATGCGAACAAAAATAATTTTTCGATTTTAATCAACTCATAAGCATGAGTTTTTAATAAAAAAATGTGTTTTTTTTGAGAACCCTGGCTATAGAATATTAACAGTGACTGTAAAATTTAAACGTTTTTTTACTCAATATAAACTTGCCAAATTGTTAATCCTTATTTTTGTAATGTATATACAGTGTAAACTCTATATAACGACACCGAAGGGACCATGCATTTTATAGCGTTATAGAGAGAAGAAAAATCAAAATTAGAAAAAGACAAAGTTTATTTCAGACTAGTGTTGGTACTTATGTACATAAAAAAGAATGTTATTCGAAGGCTATTGCGTATAGTCTGTTATTTTTGTTTGACGTCTTTTGCTGCACCAGTAATGTTGTTGTATTTTTTACTTCTTTTATTCTTATCTTGCGATATTGAGGCATCTTGGTGAAGAACGAATTTCTTAGAAAATTCGGTATGCATGATTCCGACAGTCTAGGCTAGGATAACAAAGCTACAAAAGAACGTACACAGCTGCGCAGTTTTTACTAATTTTAGCAACTTAAAAGTTACTTTTTATTACTTAATTGTTGTCGTTATTGAGAGTCGGTGTGATGCTATGTAGAGTGTATCATTGTATGGTAGACAAGTTAAACCAACCAAAGTCAAATGATTTCGACGCTTTAGAGAGTTTGTCGTTAAATCGAGTGACATTACATGGAGTTTACACTGTACATACATAATATGTAAGAGGTTGTATCCAAATTAATAGAAGTATTTAATATTTAGTAAATAATCTCCGTATTTATAATTAGACCAGTGGCGATAGCTTTTAAAACAATTAAATTAGGTATAGTAGAATGAAACCCGTTAGAAAAGAAGGGGAATATTATAAAAATTAAAAGAAAAATAATTCACGGGCGATCTGAGGTCGGGTCGGAAATTGTATTTAAGGGTAAAAAATGGGTTTTCTCAATTTCCGACAAAACTAAAAGTCTAATGCAAAAAAGTTATATGGCAAAGTTGTAGGTAATAAAAAGATCTAAAACTTTTGTACTAACATTTTTTTCACATAACCTCAAATTTTATGTGAAAAATTCGAAAAACCAAGTTTTTGGTTTTTTATTTTTATCTCTTACAAAAAACAATATTTTGTCACGAAATTTGGTGAAAACTTACCTTTTGATGTCCCAAATACACTGTAATTTATTTGATTAGAAATTTTTATTTTTTCAGCTTATTTTGAATAAATATCGAAAAATAATCACCCGTCAATATATCAGCTTTTTTCAAAAATGTGGTGTGTTTTCTGTTCGTTGAAATCTCTATTTTCTGATGGTTAAGAAAAAAATATGCGTTTCTACTTGCAGTACCATTTTTGGATAAAATAATCATGTCTAATAGTTGTGTACTCTGGAAGATCTCCAGATAGTCCCCTTTTTAGGTAATTTACAGAAAATTTACATTAAGCTGCTAAAACTATTAAAAATAAATTAAAAGAGCATTTTTCAGACGACATCGAGTGTCATTTCATTAAAAGGGACATGATTATTTTATCATAAAATGGTACAGCAAGTAAGAAACTTATATTTTTTCTTATATACTTTAATTTTTATTATATTCCCCTCCTTTTCTAATGAGTTTCATTCTACTATAATTTATTTTCGCTTTTCATTTATTTTAGAGGCTTCTGCACTGGCCTAAATGCTTAAGAAACTTTCCAGAAAAAACCAAAACCAAAAACTTAAAATACTATCGTCACATTCTGATAGGCAACCTATCAGAATGTGACGATACGATACGTGTGTGTATACCTAATCTGTAGGGTGTTCATACGATGCGTAATTAATTACATAACTTTTGGTTAACTTTACTTAGAAGTTTATTAATATTTATGTTATATTAATTTTTATTTTGTCGTATATGATCGTCAAATATCACGTCCTCAAATATCGATAGTAATTCACCAGTCACCCTGTATATGTTAATTATTAAATAGTAAATACTCGATAAAACAGAAATCTTCCGTGGTATTTAATGTCTGTTAGTTTCTTTTTATAATAAAGATTCCATATTATAACAGATAATATACCGTAACATATTACATTTGTATTCCAAAATATTTCTAATTTAAATAATAGTTTTGAATTACATATAAACCTAATTTCTCTTTCGCAAATAAATTGGGTTAGTTATTATTTTAATTGCTGGTGACTACTGCTGAATACTTCAGCTATTGTCATTTGAATGAGTCACCTTAGCATTTATTTACTTTTTAACACAATAATTTTTTAATTAGCTTGTTATAATTATGATGTTTTTTATAATATATTACAAATAACATGGTAATGTTTAGTTGTTTTGACAGTGCAAACTCTGACTATTGAATCAATGGAATTTTGAGCATTGCCTCAGACTTTTGGGACTCAGATCTTTTGGATAATTCTAATGTCTTTTTTTGTATTTCAAATAATTCCTATATTAAATCCTTGTTTAAGTTCATTTTTACTTGAATCATGTGCTACATACTATCGTTTGCAATAATTTATTGTGTTTTTACATATTTTTTTTTCAAATATTAAAAACAAAACGTTTTGAAAATCCAAGACACCGTACTTGTAATATTTGTCAGTGACAGTGTCTGGTCACATTTTTAATATTTTTTGACAGTTTTTTTTAAATTGACAGCTACTGTTAGGACGCATATAATAAATAATGTTTATGGGGTTTAAAATTCTAATCTAAATTTGTAATTATTATTTTTTGAATTTCCAAGTAAGATTATACAATTTATTCTATATGGTTATAAAAATGTCACATATTTTATGATTGCATACAGTTACATGCTATTGCGAGGTCAATAGTCTTGTATACTTTTACCTAATTTGTGATTTGGAAAAGGGGAGTTTCCTGGTACAGGCTTTTCATATGCTTAAAAGGAGACTCCAATAACTTTATATTTAAGTACAAACTTGTTAAATAAAATAAAGTTTTTTTTTATAGTCAAACTATTAGTCCTACCTGCAATTGATCGATGTACGTGAGTAACGCCCGCGCTACTCTCAGTCTGTTCTGTTTGGCGAGTGGTCCGGCGAAGGGTGGTTCCCTCGCACACTGCTCCAACAGACGAACGCTCGCACTCGCGTCGTGCAACACCAACGCCCGCAGTGGAGACCGACCCTCCGACTGTATTAAACGATCATTGTATATATTATCCTTGCGTTAAAACATCGCTGTTATTAACACCACAGGCTATGAACTGTCTTTAATTTAGAAATTTATTGCAGTCAGGTTGCTGCCCGGATTTTTTTAATACATTAAAGTCATTATGAACTCACAGAAAATCAACAAATTTCACTGGAATAAGTAGTTTAAAAAAAAAAACTTTATTGACTCAAGGATTACATAACAATCAAGTTGCAAGGGCCCCTGTACTAGGTGCAAACCCGTATTACTGGGTGCCCCGACTTTATAATACTAAAAGATTTACATTAATATTCATTTAGTATATTATCTTGATCTAAAGCTTCTTTCTAATACTCACATCTTCAGCCAACAGTGCCTGTAACGCGTCATGCCTGGCCGATGGTCGCGCGTGTGGTGGTAGCGGCCTGCCCCCCGCTCCCCTCCCCGCCAGCGCGTCCGCGGCCGTCAATAGGAGCGCGCCCCCCGCACATCCGCAACCTGCGCTGCCCCTACAACACAGATCCACGTAGCCAACCAACTCTCTCATAGCACCGCTGCAACCGTCTGTGGAAGAAATCACGTCATATATAAATTGGTGGTAGAGCCTAGCTGTGGTAAGTTATTGCAGCTCGACCGGGGAAGTACCACCCTCTGACAGAAGATCGGCCTGAAGTAGCCTTTAGTGGCTGCGTTTTGTCCGATGAGTGAGAAAGCCAGTTGCCTATTTCCCTATTTCCCACCCTTTCCTACCATTTCCTTATTACCACCTCTCCCTATTCCTAAAAAAACAAGGTTGGCAACGCATCCGCAACCCTACTATTACGTATTTAAATGACAGCATTTTTATTAACATACATTGGCTTCGATTCTTGGCTTGAAAAAATATTATTCAGTCAAAGCAGTCTCAAACATGAACATGAGTTATAATTAAAACTAAGATTACATCAAACAAAGGAAGCTTAAGTACTACAAAAGTAGGTAGTATATGTATATTAGTAGATATTAGAAGGTAGTGGCAGTAGGTAGGTATAGTCCGTTAGACTTAAGCTGAGCTTTGCATTTGTGTGAATGAAAGTAAAAGTAGAGTTAGACAAAAAAAACTTTTAGAATTCAATTCTATTATATTTTAAATAGATACATAACATAAGTGCTATAAAATAAGAAAAACTTGTAAAAGTCCAGATGAAAATATTATGAATATTAGGGGAAAAAAACATTGATTAATAAGAATTTTGAAAAACTATACTAATTCTTATTGACTTGACATTGCGTTTTCAACATTTGATATTGCTACCAGGACAAAAGGTGAAGTGAGGAAGGTGCGGGGCGGAGTAAAAGCAGAACAAACCGGTCCAAAACTAGAAAAGAACGTTGCATTCAAAAATTTTACACTACACCTAGACTATACGTGTACACTCACTCAAATACAAAGCTCAGCTTAAATCAAACGCACTATATTAGTATATAAATGTAAGTAGGGAATACCGAGTGCTGCGGCGACGGCCCCCGCCCCCCGCCACAGTCCCCTCTCCCTCGTGAACACACTGGCTCGGTGAGGGTCCAGGGAGGTGAGTGGAACACACGATACAACACGCTCTACCAACTCCGGTTCAAGGTCAGCCAGGCGCTCGATTAGTGACTGGAAATAATATATATTAAACATAGGCAATATCTCGTCAAATGTTTTTTGGGACATAGTTTTTGAAGAATTATAATTTTAAAAAAGCAGAGTGGCGCAGTGGAAGCGTGCTGGGCCCATAACCTGTAAAGACACGTCAAGTATTCGCAACAGACTATTTATTCAAATTTAACTTTGACAATATGTATATCAGATACACAGTGTACATACTTTTGCATAGATGGCGTTAGTAGTAACAAATTTTAATACGATATTTCAACACAAATCTTATTTTTATTAAGTTATATTTTAATCAAAATATTTCGTCTTAAAAAAAGGTATATATATATTTGTATTTGTATCAGACTTCGTACCTGTGTAAAATCAGGCGATGGAGCGAAATTTACAAGTTCTCCTCGTACTACCGCGTCGCTTAATGCCTCCACAAACGCGTCTTCACTTGAACAGTTCTCCCATAACACATTCCATAATTCATAACTGAAAAAGTACAAACATCCGCATTAAGAACAAAGAAACTGAAATAATATTTAAATATCGTAATAGAACACACAAAGGCGTTTTTATTACGTCATTTTGGACATCATATAGACTCACCTCATGTCAAATTTAAGGCATAACTTGACAACTTGAACTGCAACATTTTTGCTATTCACTATATGTGGCCTATCAGCTAAATTGCAAATAAACTCGTTCGCTAGCTTCTTAGCTTCGGGGCCCTGGGCTGAACAGAGTAGTCGTAATGCTTGAGAATATCGCCCCGAAGATAGGAATGCCTGGGACCTGGCAAGAAGGTCACGAGGCTTCACTCTTACAACGCCGCGACGCCCCAACAGTGCTAACGTGCCTTCCGATATACAAGCACCTCCAAGCGCACTCTCGCCAGCCTTGCACATTGCTCTCGATACGTTACCATCCGTCCAATGGCCCTATAATTTATTATTTTAAGTTTAAACTAACCATTGGTACATATCTTATAATGTAATAATAATATATGTCTACATAAAGTTCACCTTGAAAAATGCCGAAGCATATACTGGTTCTATTTGTGACAAATCCAGTGGTTTATCATAGTCATCACCCCATAAACGGAGATTTTCATCCGAATCGAATATCGCTAGACTTCCAGCCAACCAGCCGAGCCAAATTGGTGTAGACTTTAATTCAACACGTTGGACCGACTGTAGGCTAATTGAAGGTCCATTTATAACAACGCTGAGCCATTGCATGATGTTCGCTCTAGCGCATACCAGCAGCCTGTTATCTATCTCATACCATTCTAACACAGGAAGAACGTCTGGTGGTCCGTCTAATTTCACACCAGCTGCTCGGCCGCCCGCTACAATAATAACTCTAGAGAGAGTTGCCAACGCTAAAATACGAGCATCTCTAGCCTTCATAGCCACAACTTCACCTCGAGCGCCCGAAAATAGACACGAGACTCGAGCGGAGCGAACTCCAAGTGGCCTTGAGAATTTAATGAGCCACACAGATCCACCTGTATCGAGTGCTAATCCCGAAGTACCAGCCCAAGTTACTCTCAACGCGCCCCATATATTCCCTCCCAAAGTGACCCGTCTCAAAATAACACCGCGTACACTCTCGTACTGATAAACAAGTCCTCGGGCGAAACCCGCTAATAATCGAGTGCTATCATGGTTGTATGATAAGCAAGTTACAGCACCATTGTCTCCGTTAGCATCACAGACCCATCTCAATGTTTGATCATGAAACGAAAGTAGATGTCCATGAGCCGTTCCTACAGTCAGTCTTCCATTTGTTCCTATACTTAATGTAGTAGCTGCACCTGCTGATGATCTTTCCTGATGGATAAAGTAATATTTTTTTAGAACAATAACTTCTTCAGGAAAGGAGACTTCATGCAAAAATAGGTTTAACTTTAAACCATTTTATGATGACACAATTGTACATGTGTTTTTTGGCAGCAATAAAAAAAATGTTTTTTATATTATTTGATGTAATAATTTTGGATTTTATGTGTTCACTTTATATTTTTTACAATAAAGATATAAAAGTATATATTAATTCTAACATGTGGGTGGATTTAGTTAATTTCCAACATGCAAAACTGATAAGTTATCACTTTTTACTTAAACAATTTTTATTTGGTTACAAATAGTTATCATATATAACTTCATTGAAATACCAAAGTCACAAGAAATTGACATAAATTATAATAAGAAGAAGTTAGTTTCAAAAATCATGTATATTTTTTTCAATAAATGTAGTTAATTTCTAAATCATTATTTCAATCACTATTACATATTTAACATAAATACTTTAAAAGTCTGGATATGCATATATTATATCAATTTTAGACGATAAAAAGTTTATTAAATAAAATATCCTCTTATACAGGGTGACTGGTGAATTACTATCAATATTTAAGGAGAATACTCGGTACATGATTCTCATTCGAATTATGTGAAAAAAATACGTACTTAATTTTTGACCAAATTTCCGTATAAATAAATAAAGTGTGGACACGTTCCAAGTGTGGACGCGTGCGGCGGCGTGCTGATACAACACCACGCCGCCGCACGCGTGTGTGTGTGTGTGTGTATACCTAATCTGTAGGGTGTTCAAACGATGCGTAATTAATTTCATAACTTTTGGTTAACTTTACTTAGAAGTTTATTAATATTTATGTTATATTAATTTTTATTTTGTCATATATGATTGTCAAATATCACGTCCTCAAGTATCGATAGTAATTCACCAGTCACCCTGTATAATACATGAGTAGTATAAAGATAAAAACATTTTTTTTATTTGTTATTGATATCATAAAAGCTTACAAAATAGTCTCTCGGAATAAATTGTTTACAATGTTAATAATTTCTAAAATGACGTTTATAATTATCATTCTTAAATATAATATGATTTAATAATAATATGAGAGGAAAAGTAAATCATACTTACTTCAGCTTGAAATAGCTGCTGTGAAATAGCTTGTAAGAAATCAACGTGTAGAGCAGAACATGTAGGTTCCTCAACATTTTTTAATGGTCCTTTATTGATTTCCAATTCTTGTGATGATAAAATTTCAGCCAGGCTCGGAGCTTCACTTGTCGGCAAGGCATATTCAACTTCATCAAGCTACAACAATGAAAATTAGTGGCAAGACTATATTGAAATGCTAAATATAAAAAGTTTTAGAATACAGATGGCATGTTTATGTTTTTCTGTTTAAATACTTTTCAGTTTCTAAAATTATAGAAGATACTAAAATTCAAAACATTATATTATGTTACAAGTGGCGGCATTGGTGCGAAACTAATTAAAATATACTATAATCCTTAGAATTATTTTTACGTCTAATTATAATTATGATACTGAAACACTGTAATTGTAATTGTGTAATGGTAATATTTAAGTATCAACTTATATTTGAAAACTATAAATACTGGGTTCAGCCATTTTGTAAGACTAACTATGTAGAAGGAATGCTGAACATTAAAAATCAAGACTGAAACTGTACTCTGAACAACTATGTTCATAGTGTCAACACTTATCAATACATAATCTCTAAAATCAATCATAACTTTTATTACCTCTTCGAAATCCACATACTGAAGACTCTCAACTGATTCTAAATCTGATTCCAATAAAGATTGTGTTGAAGGTGTTTTCAATAAATCCATTGTAAGTAAAAATGTACCTTTCACATTACTTACAGAGTATATGTACACTTATACACTTATCAGTACGATTAACAATTATTATATTGTTTAAAAAAGAATTAATTCACTGCTAACTTTAAATATAAGTTCCTATATTATTCGCTTTTAATTTTTTTCTATATATATAAATATAAACTCCGGTTAGCAATTTCAAAGTATATAGTAAGTAACTGTTTCACTATTTGTCTTACACTTTGTATTATTTAGTATCAGTTGACTGATCTTAACAATATTATACAGTTTTCAAGTTTAATTCTTTAATTTAGGGAAGACCTTACGTCAAACATATAATTTTAATATTTGCCACTGCATTAGATACAAGTCTTTTCAAAACAAAGAGTATCATACAAAAAATGTGATTAGTATATGTAATTCATGTTCTTTAATAGTTAACATAATAATAATATAATTAAAAACTATTTTTGTAAGATTCAAAGTTCTATGTTCAAAACAAATTGAGCACTAAATAATAATGAGTTTACTTGTTAAAATAAAGTAAATTGTTTTGAGTATGAGATATTGAATATATAATATAAATTAATATTTACAATAATTTCTTTTCGATTAATGATTTTTATATGATATTTGAACAATCATTTTAAAAGGTATTGAGTCAAGCTCATAAAATTAATTGAATATTTATAATTGAGTTATTAATTTGATATGAATATTTAATTTTTTATTCAACATTATTATAATAAAAAAGGATCATATTTTAACAGTTAATTTACTAAAATTGAAGTTTGTTTATAAATATGTTATAAAAATTATATTGGAATACAGAGGTAACAATATATAAGTATTTGTAACTATTGAAGTTAGTACCTTGTGATAAATTTGTATTTTCATTAATATAAAGATACGTTTTATTTCATTGATCTTAAATATCTAGATAGATCTTTTTGAAAAATTATTATTAAAAGAGTAGAAATGCCACAAGTGTCATTAAAAAAGTTAGTTGTCAATTAGATAAAAGTTTGCAAAATTTATTCTTTACACCACTAAGCTACATATATCTGAGTCAATGCGGCAACTCGAAATTAATAAGGTTGGCAATATTTTTTAGGGCTTTTTATAATTTGGCAACATTGGTCATAGACTACTGTTTAAAGTTTTATTGATATTCGAAGTTGTCTATTGAACCAGTTCACCGTTCACTTCGGAGTTAAGAAAGTTTCCTTAAGTGTCTTATCAAGATTTTATGTTTAAGAAATAAGTCAATTGTCGATGTGTATTGGTATATTTAAATTGAGACTTCTTCAGTGTTAAGAATGTCCAGGTAAATAGTATATAGGTGTGGCAAGATATTGTGCAGTGCAGTGGGTCGCCATTTTGTTTTAAGGTATTATTTTCGGAGTCTACGTTTTTTGAATTAATTAATGCAGTAGAAATAAGTACGAATATTATCATCATGGCTGATAACAATAGTTCAAAAGAGCCCCCGTTGCAAACCATGAGTGGCATGCCACCAAATCACAATCCATGGATGTACGGTTTATATCATCAATACAATGGGTATCATGGCGGCATGTTTCCGCAGTTTTACAATCATCAATATTTCAATCAAATGGGCAATGGAGGATTTCATAACGATGGTCAACATTTTCAACAAAACAAGGATGCGAAAACTGAGTATAATCATTCTCAGTTTTCCAAACCGCCTCCTTCTTTATTAGGAATGTCCCCCCACGATACAAGTCGTCCGTTTAACAACCAGTCACCAATTAGGTTTAACCTTAACGGTAATCGAAAATCTGCTCCCCTTCCCCCCAACGAAAATCCACTTTTATTTAACGGTAACGCCAAGAAAAAGCGTAAGAAGGGAAATAAAGCTAACGATGAGACAGGTGGTGTTTTACCGCCTTTGCCTGATCATCCGCCGCCGCTGCCTCCGTGTCCTCCGCCAGATGTTCCTAAACCTCCTCCTCCCCCACTCGATGTTCCCCTGCCTCCTCCCCTAGCTACAGAAGACATTCCCGAACCGCTGGAAGAGCCCAAAGACGACACGTCCAAACTAAAAGACTTCGAAAATGTTGTTTCACATGATAATTCTTCAAATTTTTTAAAGTCATCATCAATACAAACATCTGCAGGAACATGGCCTGAGAGTTTAGAGAGGTACATTAAAAGGTGCTATGAAAAGTGTAAAACTGCATTTGATCGGGATCAAATAGATATTTGTCTAAAAGGGCGTATTACAGCAGCTGCTAATAAAGACGAGATTTGGACAAGAAATTGGGACGAGGAACCCATCCCTAGTGTGCATAGTGAAAGAAATAATTTGTCAGTAAAACCAGTTCGTGGTACGTTATCTTTGTATCAAAAGTGTGAGGCTGTTTCAGAATTAAATAAAAACAAACCTGCACCTGGTCCAAAAGGTTACAATGCACACAAAAGTTCACCACAGAGAAGACATAAATTGCATTCTAAAAGTCGCTCAAAGTCTAGGAGTCCACCTAGAAAGAGATACAGGTAATTTATATTTCTTTATATTTTCTATAATGTAATAAAATTATTTTCTTATAATAATTTTCTTTTTAATTACAGTACTTCATCAGCATCCAGTGATGATATCGAAGAGAGGAAAATTGGTAAAAACAAAAACCGTCAAAAAGTTAAAGACAGACTGTCACTGGACCAGAAGAAACCAAATAAGTATCAGAAAAATGCTAAAAAGAAGCAAATTAATCAGTTTACAGTTGAAGAGGTACAGGGTAATGCTGAAAAGTTGCAAAAAAGAGCTCAAAGGTTCGGCCATGCATGTGTTCCCACCATAGCTAGTGCAATACAAACACACGGTAAAAGGGTGGAGCCTTGCCCCAAAAGACCAATAATTAATGACACCGAAGGAGATTATGAACTCAATAATATGCATATTGTGGGCACATGTACAGATATTGAGAAATCCTTCTTAAGGTTAACTAAAGCACCGGAAGCCTGTGAGGTGCGGCCTGTCGCTGTATTAAGAAACTCTCTAAGAAATGTCAAGGATAGGTGGATTATAAAACAAGACTATAGATATGCATGTGATCAGTTGAAATCAATAAGACAGGATTTAACGGTAAATATAAAGCTTAATACCTTTTAAATAGAGTAAATAAATAAATCAAATGTCAAAATTATCTGGTTTTCAGGTCCAAGGTGTCAGAGATGGATTTACAGTTGAGGTATATGAAACTCATGCAAGAATTGCCTTGGAAAAAGGTGATCATGAGGAATTTAACCAGTGTCAAACACAACTTAAAATGCTTTATTCAGAGCTGCCGGACTTTAGATCTAATGAAGCAGAATTTAAAGCTTATAGGATTCTTTATTATATATTCACTAATAATACCTTGGGTAAGTATATCTAAATATCTAGTAAATTTGATATTGTAAAGTGTATAGCAGACTTAGTATTTCATGTAATAGCAATTAGTCAGCATTGCCTTAAAAAACCTTCAATACAGGGTGATACATGAGTTTTATCTATAAAGTTAGTACATTCCTAGTGCCATCTATGTTCCTCATAACTGCAGGTATTTCAAGATTATCCATAATTTTAATTAATATGAGATTAGGCATTACATGTATAGTTAAAACATTCCTTCTATCAAAAGGCTAGTTGTAATAACTACTTCAAAAAAGAGCATGGATGACATGATAATTAATTTTATTTATCACCTGTTGTATGAACCCTTATAAGCTTTAACCCTGTACTATTTTTAGAGGATGACAGACAAATGAATGTATTCACTCCTACTAGCCTCATTATCTATAGATTAAGTTATTTGTTTTATTATTTTCAGATCTGACAACAATATTCCAATTTCTTTCAAAAGAGGACAGAGAAGATGAATGTATAAAACATGCTCTAAAAACGAGATGTGCATGGGCAACAGGAAATTTACACAAATTCTTTGTTCTATACAAATCGGCCCCAATGATGTCCGGATATCTCATTGATTGGATCGTGGAAAGGGAACGGAAAAACTATCTCAAATTCATCATTAAGTCGTATGTTACACTTATTATTTCAATTAAAACCCTTCTTAAGGGCTATATACATTGACAAAACATTTCCTGCATCATAATCATACAAAAGCCATTCTAAGTATTGAAATGCTTCATTAATTTGGATTAATGGTCGCTCATTAACTTAACTACATGCAAAATCTCATTTAATTCCTAATTCTAAATCAGCTTTTTCATTTTAAACAATATGCTTTTTAATTTTCACCAGTAACAAATCTCACTTAAATTTTTTTCTTATATTTGTTGGTGTATTTTAAGTTAAATGAGACACAAGTATGTTGTGTATTTGTTTCGCATTAAAGCAGGTGAATGGATGATAAGAGAGATATTAACCAATATTTTAAATTTTTTTTCTACATTTATATTTTATTAAATTTTGGAAGTTCTTGGACTCTTGTCTGTTGTTAAGGAAAATTATAACAATGGACTTGAAATGGAGGAAAGAAAGTTATAACTTTTTTTTGGCAATTCTGATTAAATGTTAGTGCAAAAAGTGCTTATTAGATTAAATAAGCATTTAATTTACAAAATATCCTAAGAACCAGATCTTTTAAATTGTTTTGACTAATCAATGTTTGGTGGAACGGATAAAGATAATTTTTTTGACAAGGGAAGGCATCAAAAACGGTTTTATTTTAATATGTTCTACATGGCCAATCCTCACTGGTTGGTTTTGTTGTACTAATATTTTCTTTGTATGTTCAGCTACAGACAAAGTGTTCCCGTGGACTTCATCACTAAGGAGTTGGCATTTGAATCCAGTACAAAAACTTATGAATTCCTCAAACAGTTTTCTCTAACTTACACTGACGCAGATGAAACTCGAATTGATTGCAAAGCGAGTCAACATGTCGTTGGTCAAAACATATAACGTAGCATGTTACTGCGCTACTACTATGGAGCGATTAAAAAGCTTTATGTATTAAAAATATATGTTCCTTTTGTGCTCTTTATTAAAGCACAAAAAAACAGTTCGAGTTTTTGCTCATGTGGCCTATGTCCTTGTTTATGCTAATTTTATTAGGCGCAGGAGACGGCACAAGCACTTCATCATGTTGTTCGAGGCTACCGGCAAGTAATAAGCTCCTAGTTGAGATATTACATGAAAAACTTCAAGCGCAGGGCATCTATATGTGAGTGAAAACGACACAAGGACGCTATAAGTGATAAGACACTTCAATAAATAGTGGTATCTTTTAAATAAGTGGACTTTTTAATAATTATTGTTGATTGTTGTGTAAATATGAACTATTTATAAGTACCGTAATAATAATAATAATGATTTGAACAATTACGATTTTAATAATAATAAAAAATATGATTTTTAAACGTGTTTTTTTTTTTTTACACCTGACTAGATTTCTAAAACAAAATGGGTGTAACTGAGAGGGTTTAATAAATATTGTGTTATGAACGTGTCTTATGGCTGCAATTAAAAAATAAATTTAATCAATATTAATGATATATAGGGTATACTGTATACATAATTATGTAACATCTAAGATGTTTTTTTTTGAAAACCATGAGACAGGGGATATAAAATAAATGAATGTTTCAATTGCATAATTTTAAAGTATATCCATTGTTTTAAAAAATTGAATTTGAGAAACGATTATTAAAAACCAGTGTTGGACCTCTTCTTCGTCGGCGTTATTTCCGGCATAAGTAATATGTATATATAGCTGACCGGGCGAACTTTTCCGCCCTAGAGGCCATAAATAACTAGATATGAGAATTGATTAAGATTTTTTTCTATCAAACGGATTTAAATATCCTCTGTCCGTCTCCTGGTTCTAAGCTATCTGTCCACTAATTTTTAGCTAAACCTCTACAGTTGAGTTATATAAATAGTGTTACTAACACAATTTTCTTTTACATATAAAGATTTGAATTGAAATTGAAAACATCACCTATTATAAACACCAATTTCAAACTCCGCCGTGTAACTTGCTTAATTACAATCTTTTGTTAATAGCAAAAATTTAATTGATTGTTAGAAAAAATTCGTATGATATTGTTCTAAGTGAAAGTTAACTAGAAATTCACAAATTACCTACTATGAAGGATTTGGAGACATCGAAAAAAAGAGAAAATTACCATATAACTGAATTTATTACATAACAACCATTTTATATTAATTTTTTTCTTTACAATGGAAATTAACTTAAAACTAGTTAAATCGAATTATATACATACACATGGAATGTACATTCTCATTTGATTTAAATGTGTAAATAATACTTTTCCAATACATAAGTTTTATATAAAAAAAATAAAGATACTAACAAAGGAAAAAAATTAGAATAGTCATTAAACTTTACATTAAAATTGAGATTCAACTTTACTTAAAAATGTGGAAGACATACTTTCCCAGCAAATAGTTCAGATATAACTGTTATCCATAATGAGAGAACAAACAATATATATGATATTCCAACTTGGTGGCTGTTGGGTAACTGGTAGGGCTGACCTCCTATCTCATCAACATGGAAACCCATTGGAAATATCACGGCAGCCAGGCAGAAGACAACCACTGAAAAAAACATTCAAATATAGAATAAAGTTGTTTCATATATTTAAAGAATCCTGTTTTGATTATCACACTTTCACATGTGTTAAAAACTAAGAGGCTAAATTTATTGATATTTCTAGATGTTTTATGTAATATTAATTATGTAATCAAAAAATATATGTTAAATTGACTTTATGCAATATTGATTACTTTGTTTTATACATATACACCATATGGATGTATATATCTATTCTTTTGAATGATTATAAAAAAATTATAATTATAAAAATGTTTATGTCAATAAAAACACAGGTCATAATATGTGTATAAATGCAATGTATAATTAATCAAATTCCTTTCAAATACTGTATTAATTCCTAAAACCAAATCAATTCAAGTCCTTAAGTTCTATAACTATTTATATTATATCAAGATTGTTTTGAAATTTTTTCTATAGATATTTAACATCAGTTTTATTGATACATAATATATTTTTCAGAAATCACATTCTAAACAATTCATTCAATAACACATTGTTTATTTCAATCTACCTTTTTCTATTCTAATGTCACAATAATATAGTACAGTAAAAGCTCCTTATTCGCGCTTCCTTTATTCGCGTTTTCACTATTCGCGGATTAAAAAAATGCTACCAATTCCTATATTCGCGACTAAAAATTTCTTTATTCGCGGATCTAATAAGTACATACATAATAATAAAATTTTTCCAAATAGGTATCCAGCACAATATCCTTGTCAAATTGACTAATTAAAAAGTAATATATCTTATTACAACTTTACCTAATTACTTTGCGATTTCTTTATGAACATTGATCCGTTTATGGAACGAAGTCTTATTTTTAAGAGGCAAATTGCTAATGCGACTGCTGTGTATCAGTCTGAATTGAAGGAGCTTTTAAAAACTGTCAAGCAAGAAAAAATTACAAAATTCTTCAAACCATTGCCTAAGCTTTTAGATAATTAATTAAAATGTTCAAATACTTCAGTTATATTTTTTTTATATAAATTTGTTGTTTTTATTTTTGCCACCTAGGAACGTATCCCCTATAATCCCATATAAATTACCATTCCGTATTCACGGTTTCTGTATTCGCGGTATATTTACGGAACATATACCCCGCGAATAAGGAGCTTTAACTGTATTTACAATACTTACTAGCTGCAAATCCAACCCAACGGGCATAAGGAATTACATTGCGATCGAAATGACTTGATGCCAAAAGTATTACTGTAGTTGTTATGCAAATACATCCAATGAATATACAGATGAGAGCTAACAACCACTCAGGCTGCAGATCTGGTGTGAAACACACTTGAGGACGGTTGTACAGAGTTATACATGACCACATTAATCCGAGACGAGTATCACCTGGAATTTTGAAGCATTTAGTTAGAATTTTATTTCAGCTTCATGATTTTACTAAATTTGAATAGTTTCATAATTAAGGACTCTGGGAATAACATTAATTTTTATTTGAATATTGATACTTGTTAAATATTTTCGAAGTAACACATGAGTTGATAAACCAGTAAATGAATAATTGTTTAGCGTTAGGACGAGAAAGGAAGGAAAAAAAGTTGAGATAGCTAAAATCGAATGTCGTCATAAGAATATAGGCAATTACCTCCAACATCAGTGATAATCCAGTCTGGCATAGCAAGGCTTACTATTGCAAAGACATCTGCAGTCATAAACAGTGTCCCAGAGATTAGTGTAAGTTTATCCATATTTATTCACGTTCTTATCATTGCTTTAATACTTAAGTTGTTACAGATCCTGACGCAGATGTTTAATCAATATTCTCTTATATAGCCTTGATAATTATTAGTATTTATTGAGTATACAAAATAAAATGATGTTTATCCTGTGTATTATGACATTCATGGACATTTACCTGACATTTCAGTTTTAAAGTTGCCAATTTTGTAGAAACTATAATACCCTTAAAACCCTGACTTAAATTTTTCAATATTTGTAAAGTTTGGTTTTATCTGATTTTACGTGTAAATTTATTAATTTTATTATTTTAGTTACTCCCCTTTACCGTTTGCTATATACTTATTAAGATGCTATGATTATTATTTATGTATTATTTGTTGTTCTAAGAGATGGTAAAAATGTAACCAGAGTCTATTGATAAAGAATAGCCTGTAGGCAAACTCTGTGGTGTTCTTAAAACACACAGAGCTATAAAAATATTTACAAAAAAAAAATACATCACACATTATTCAAAATTATAATTCGTTCGATGAATAAAAACGTTGACATTGGAAAAATATTCCACAATGCCAGTGTGAATGAAGCCATAGTTTAATAAGAATGCCCTCGCTCTTAATAATAAAATACACAAGTCAAACATGGGTCATAATTAAATATTTTAGTATATATTCTCTCAAAACAAGCTACATACTTACTTTAGACTACCGCACTTAAGCCTGCGTTTGGGTATTTAACAAATAATAATATTAAATTGAACAAAAAATAAGATATCCAACAAAAAAAAATTAAAATACCAAAAAAATATTATTCCTTTTAATATTTTTTTTTAGTTTATTTGATGTATTTTATTTCATTTTACAAATTGGGTCATTAAAATGGAATTTAACTAGCTTGATTAGTTTGTATCGGACTCTTCAGAACTAATATATGTAATTGGTGATTTTGTTACAGGCAAGATATGCTAGCAGCTAGTGAGAGTAATAATTGCTAAGGTGCTAAGGTTTTCATTTTTTTTGTTCCAGTAAAAGTTTTGTAAATAAAATATTATATACCTACCATATAAGTAATTAACTTTAAAAATAGAGAAAACTGTTTTCTCGATTGCATTTTTTTGTTTTCTGTATTTCATTCAGGTAAGTTAAAAATAGTTAAAATATTACTTTATAACTTTTATCTAAATCAGTTCCGGACACCGATAAATGTAGGGAGGATATGTACACATCTCGTAATACAGTCATTCAGTCTAAGATAAATATAAAAGTTTATGTTTACACAATTTCATTTAATGTTTAGAGCTGTCTTAAACAGAATTTTATGGAAATTTAAAATTCAATAAAAATATGAAGCGTTCACAGGAACTGTTGAGATTACGAAAACATATGCCGATTTGCTGATTTTAGGTAGAACAAAAAACCACTCAACTCGTTCTCCCATATAAATCAATATTGCAAAGTAATTCAATTAATATATACAAAATACTTATGTAGCTATAATATTTGTAATAATTAATTATTAACTATTATCCAGCGATGAGTAGTAATAGTAAAGATACACCACGTGGATAAAGTAGTGACCATTAAAAAAGAACATTATTTCATGAATATTATTTTTATTTGTGTCAAAAACAGTAACTAATTATAATGATACAAATCAAACTCGATGCTTATCATCGTTCAAAACTATTTTAATAATAAGTGAGTTTATTGAACCAACCGTTAAACTTATGCCTTCGAATACAATATTTTCTGAATTCGTCAAAAACGAACATAAAAGCTGAAAATGGTAGAGCTAAGAACCACCTGCAATAATAAAAAATAAAAATTAATTAAGATGAAGAAAATTCAATTGTATTAAAGTTAATATTAATATTATTACCATCTCAGTCGGAGAGGGTAGGTCCTGAAAAATGTATTTACTCCGGGAACATAACACACAAGCGCTGCTATGAATAATTCGAATATTAAACCCATATTGAGAACTCCATTTTTCATACCTATTGAACATGCAATAATAATTTTGACAAATTATTTTAATAGTCATCAAAAGATTGAAAATTTTTGGTCTTCAACGACATTTTCATTATTAAATCTTTAAGTACAAAAGAACGTCGTGTTAGTTACACTTTTTATAACTCAAGAACGGCTGTAAGGGTTTGACTAAAAATTTATGGCAAGATAGCTTAGGACAAGGTAAAGGAAAAAGGATACTTTTAATCCGATTGGAAAAGAAAAAAAGTTTATCTAGATTTTTATAGGCGGAATAGAGTTTTCTAGGTCAGCTAAACATTTCTAATTCTGAAACTAACGTAGAAGAAGTCGCGGGCAAAAACTAGTATAATTACATACGTACCAACTTGAAAGAATGAATTGTATCTAGTTTTGCAAATTATACAATTTGTCACTTGTGTAATGACAACCGCTACGAAGTAAGCAGCTTGACAGATGCGTTCGAGTTCTTTTCGTTCGTTAAAAGTCCACTCCTGGCCGAGGGAGTCTGTCACGTCACTTACTGCCTCGTTGTCCCAAGCTTCACGAATACCTATACATTTCAAAACTAGTAATAATTATATAAATTAGTACTTATGTCCTGATTATATGAGGGCGACACCATTCTTTTTCTAGCATACCTTTTAGCTTAATCTATTCTTCAATTGTTATGCGAACTAAATTGCTATTAACTATTAAGAAGCTAAAAAAATGGTTATTAAAGGTTTTGCGTTCTGTATTAAGTTCCCTTCATTGGTTACACTAACCAAATAGTTCTTTAGGATAGAATCCGTGTTCAGCCATAACAACGAAGTAAGCGAAAATTCCCGCGGCGAATTCTATCAAGCCGAGATGACCATACACCAAGTTTAACATGCAGGTTGACACAAGTGGGTCTGATGTTCGCGGAGGACGCGCCATCACATCCTGTTCAGCTAACTCGTGGGATAAAGATACGGCTGGCCACATATCCGTGCCCAGATCAATACAAAGGATGGTCATTACTCCTAAAATTGAATAAATTACGTATATATTATAGTGCTTTGATTATTATTATTTATCACTTATATAAAAAACATAGCTTGAAAAATATCTAAAATTTGTACGCTTCATAAATTAGTTCAAAGATAATTTATAACATTCAGTTTTATAAGAATTAATTGGTAAATGGACATTTGTTGATCATGACAAATATTTTAAGTCACATTGTAATTTATATCTTCTTACAAATTTTTAACTCTAATTTTTTACGTACCGAGTGGCAACGGTATGGAGAAAAGAATGAACATAAAAACTGGTAGTATTTCTGGTACGTTCGATATCAGGATGTAGCAGACGGATTTCTTTAGGTTATCGAATATTTTTCGACCTTCTTCTATGCCAGTAACAATAGTCGCAAAGTTATCATCCATTAATATAATATCTGCAGTTTGCTTGGATACCTTAAAGAAGAAACCAGTCAGAAATACGTACAACAAGAATAGGGATCAGGAATATTTTGTCTTCCTATTAATATTCGTAGTTTAATAAAGGTTTTGCCCTGTAATAAAGAATTTCATAGATCTCTAGAATTTAAAGATACCATATCGTATCTTTTACATCGTTAAGCAATTGATAAGTGAGGTCTCATCATTATTAATATATGTAGTTCAAAAAAGGCGGTGTCCTATATTAAAAGATTTCATAGATCTAAGTCGCAAAGTAATAAAAAGAAAGTTTTAATACTTGAGATCCCGTTATTCCCATGGATATTCCGATATCTGCTCGTCTCAACGCCGGTGCGTCATTTACCCCGTCTCCTGTAACTGCTACAACGTTCCCTTTCTCCTGGCAAGCTTCAACTATTTGCAGCTTTTGCGTGGGAGATGTCCTTGCAAAGACTAAAGATTTTAACTGTTAGGATTTAATTTACTTTTTATTCGATTAACATTATTTTGTTTTTTGGGCAGTAAAAATAATTAAAGTTCGAAAACGTTAAGTTTTTCTTCATTCCAACTGCAAAAGATCCTCATCATAATTTCTTGAATTGTCATTCAAATGGAACAATTTAATATATTTGTTTTTATGAAATTGGTAAATAGTTAAATAGCATGGTTTAGGCTTGGAATAGAAATATGTTTTAATACTAAAACTTTCCAAAATACATGCGCAATTTTAGATTTTCTTAGGTGTTTAATTTTGCTTTGTTTTTTACCAATCTCGTAATGTTTTTCGAGTGTCAACGACAGTAAATCATGCGTCATATTCCTGAGATCGTCGCCGGTGACCACACGGCACGCAGAGGTGGTAGCGATACCAACCTCCGCTGCCACCGCCCTCGCTGTGGCAGGATGGTCACCGGTTATCATTAAAACTCTCACACCAGCTGCACGTACGCGCCGGATAGCGAAGAGTACCTTATATAAAGGAAAGACAATTGTTATTTACCTTAATTACCCTAATTAATAGTAAAAAGTAACTACCATTCTTAAGTAAAATTCAGTTATTTTGAAACTTATTTACCGATAAGCTTAAAATTTACTATAGGATGATAGGCATCAAAAAACGGTTAGTTTAAGAGACTATAAAATGGATCCTTAGACAAGTGATATAGTTTTCTTGTTCTTCTTAAAAAGGATTTGAAAAATTATAGGAGCTGGTGAATTCATATACTGTCCTGATACATCGAAAAAATAGGTTCATTACCTCTTTCCTTGGCGGATCTTTCAAGCCAACAAGTCCGAGGAAACGAAGATTTGTTTGAGGAAAATTAATGTCTTCTGTATCGAACTTATAATTTTTAGGATATTCTTTAGCGTCCAAAATCAAATCGGCAAACGCTAGAACTCTTTGACCTGTATTTTTAAAAAAATCATAAATTGTTTTATGTCTTTTAATCATAAAACACAAGGAAATGTTTAGTTTTTATCTAACCGGTGTTCGCCAAATTTTCGATGGCTTTATTGGCAACGTCTTTCATATCGTTTGTCATTTTAATGTCTTGGTTGTGAAAAATTACAGTATCGCAGCGAGATAATATTCGTTCCGGAGCACCCTTCATAGCCAAATAGTATTTTGAACTTTGCGTATCAAAATGGATACTCATCTGTAGGGCGATGTGATACAATCAGGAATTTCGTAATTTATTATGTAATAATATCATTTTCAAGTAGTAATTAACCTGATATTTATTGATTGAATTGAAAGGAATTTCGGCTACTTTTGGAAATCGTTTCCGTATAGACATTGGGTCGTCGTATTCGTTTAAAAAGCTCAAAATCGCCTTCTCAGATGCGTCGCCCCTTACATCACTCTTTGTAGAAATTACAGCGTTGCTACACACTGACGCGCATATTTTAAACGCGATGCAAGCTGAAAATATCTATCTAAATAAATAATTTAAATCATTAACAACATTAAAAGCCATTTTAAATCGTACCTGCATCGTTTTGCGTTGTTGCTGAAATAATAATTAATAAGCTTAGATTACACAATACATATAATAATTGTATATAAGGTATTATCCTAACATTTAAAATCCTTATCGAGAACAGAATACTTTTTGTTCCACACCCAAATGTTTCGGACGCACATTTTATTCTCAGTCAATGTCCCTGTTTTGTCAGAGCATATTATTGTACAGGCACCCAAAGCTTCAATTGTTTCTAGATTTTTAACCAGACATTGTTTCGATACCATACGCTTAGCTGTCAACGTTAAAGAAGCTGTGACTGTTGGCTGCAATCCTGTAAACACGCATAAATAAATAAACAAATAAATGAATAAAGATTGGTAAGTATTTCTAATGAAACAAATGAATATCACGAACAGACTGATTTATTATTCTAGGTGGATGTAGGTTTATAACAATTGTTACACATTTAACAGCAGAGATGGCGCTACTAGTATTTAAAAGATTCATATTTTGATAGATCTAAGAACAGTATTTAATGAGTCGAACCTTCTGGAATGTTAGCGACTATTATGCCAATGACGAATATCGTTGTTTGAATGAACGGATATCCTAGACTCAGGCTGGCGGCTGCGACGATTATACCTAAACTTAATGCCCACGCCGACATACAGCGCATGAAACGACGTATTTCCCTTGAGAGAGGTGACGGAGCGGGTTGAAGTCTAGCCGCTAGACCAGCAACACGACCTAGAGCTGTTAAATCACCACAGCAGACAACTACACCTAAAAATGTTCAAATATTTGTAAGCATAATGAGATTTAAGTCTTTCGCGAGTATTAATTTAAATGAAACTAATATTATTCGGATTACTTCGCGCAATATTTTTTTTTTTAAAACTATATATTCCAGACGTTTCGGTTACTTTGCAACAACAGGCAAACGAGATGTGAATAATACACACAGAATGTAGTTTTAAAAAATAATTGAATACGCATAGTAATCCGAATAATGTTTGTAAGCAACCGTAAACCTTCTGGCTGTATGTATTGGAATTTTTTTTGTACTTACATTTAACATAATCAAACGTAACTTTATTCTTTAACTGACCTCTAGCCCAACCCTCAACACAGAGTGCAGAAAAAAAAGCAATGTTCGGCGACTCCAGTATATTTTCAGTCCCTTCCGTGTTACTACGAGGTAATGCTACACTCTCTCCAGTCAGAGATGAGTTATCAACCTAGACAAATGTTTTGGAAATCACAGTTAAGAATTTAAACACAGATAAATACATAACTATTAGTATGAAAAATACCCCGTTTTTTGTTTCTTCGTGTTCATAAAAATATGACTTTTTTAACCTAGACGCAAAAAGAATGATGTAATAGCTTTGAAGTCTATGTCTTAAACGGATAGACCAATTTCAATGCGCTTTTTTTTTCATTTGAAAGCTAAGTTTCTTTCCGTGGTACTTATATCTATTTTTTGGTTAATATCGATCTACTTTTTTTCCAAAATGATGTACCTAAGGCATTTTTGGCTTATGATTATTGTCTCAGTGCCTCTTCACAGTGTTAACGTTCTTTGACGGTTAATAAGTATTTGGTGTTTTTAAATTATATCTACTTATAAAATTTCCTTTATTTATAGGTATTAATTTTATGGCTACTTTCAATATATATATCTAAACAAGAGGAGTAATTATTTAAAGTATCTTCTATATATATAAAAATGGATTGCTGTTCCTTAGTCTCGCTAAAACTCGAGAACAGCTGAACGGATTTATCTTATCTTAGTCTTGAAATGTTCGTGGAGGTTCAGGGAAGGTATAAAAGCTGAAAAAAATTGATTCATTACTGGGGAAACCATAGAAACAGCCCTTTTCTATTTCCCATACAAATGTTTTTTTTGACATTAGATTTGACAACTAACTAATATGTCAATCATTCTGTCGCACTTCAAAACACGGAGATTTATTGCATACAGATAAACTCCAAAAATATAAATAAAAAAACGTAATAGATATTTCTTGATTATAGGGCGATACGAAGTTCGCCTGGTCTTCTAGTATTATAATAACTTTATAAACTAACTTTAAATCCTTTACTTTCAATTATCCTTATATCTGCCGGTAGCACGTCACCTATTTCAACCTCAACGATGTCTCCTTTCACCAGATCCCGTACTTGAACATTACGTGTTAAAACTCCATCACGGACGCAGTTTGCGTACATAGGAATTAAATTGTTGAATGTTTTTATTATCTAAAAGTTAATTGAATATAAAATATCATTACATATAAAGAACTTACAGCGATAGTAAACCTATAAATTAAAATGTTTGTAGGTAGAACGTTCCTTTACTTAAGATTTATTAAATAGAACCGTTTTAAAAAGCCAATTATTAGAAATAAGTACCTTAAGAGAAAGCTAACCTTAGAACTTTTATAGTTTTGGAAAAAACTAAAGAGACCACATATTACATCAACGCCGATAAGAACACATCCCAAGTAAAGGTTGTCATGACTCGGATTTGGTTTAGCAGTTATTTCTATCACGTAAGCTCCCAAACATAACACGGCGCCGAGCCAAATTAAAACAGAAAAACCTGTAAACAGTTTTAGTTTAAATAAGTTTAATATAAGTTTTTTAGTGTTAATCAATAAATAGATAAGTTGAAATGGAAGAAATATGAGACTGTAGACTGTAGTTGCAATACCATTCTTTTAGGTTAAATTATACGTTAAAATTAACAATTATGTATTATATCCAAATATTTGAATGTATGACATGACTATTAGTTAATGAGAACAGACACAAAAGGTTACTAAATATCGTCTTTTGGATTTTTCATTTAACAATCCATATCATAAATCCTTTTCGCATAAGTATACATACTGTATAAGTTTACCTAATGCTTCTTGTCATTCTTAAAACTTATCATACATCTTATTGTTTTTATTTTCTGTTTGAAGCATCATTAGTACTTTCTTAAGATTATATTGAAGTGATTATTATAATTGAACTTATAATTAGTATTTTAAAGTGTTACAAAAAAATATTAATTAAAAATCACTCAAACCTGTGCACATAGACTTAAATAATAACAAAGGCCATTTCAAATGAGCGGATGGCGTGAGCATGTTCGGTCCGTAGTATTCTAATAATTCCCTTGCTTTATCACTCGTAAGTCCATTGACAGGATCAGTGCCCAGCAAAGAGTATAACTCTTCTAAAAGTTTAATACGGTTGTTAATTAATACCGAATATATATAATATATGTTATTATATAGTTAATCAGAATTAAATTACTGAGAGTAATAAGATGGGTGTCCGTTTGTATCTCTTTCTTGAGGATATGTAGTCTCGTAGAACTTAAGTCTCTAGACCTGAGTCGTCTTGGATTGTTTGGACGAAATAGATCAGACAGCGACGATAAACTCGAAGTTCGCGTATTCATTTTTATGTATTAATTGTAATTTGCTTTATGCACACATTTAGATGACAAATATTTTAAGAAATCAAGATGGTTATGATAAACGAAAAAGGAATAAAGTTACCTATGCGTAAATAATTAAAAGTAGTTTTCTTTTGTTGTGAATATCTATAAATATAAATGATTAATTTATTTTAATTTTATATTTTATACGTGCTGCCTGAATATTAAAGATACCTCTCATAAATACATAGGTACCTATATGTCGTAGATATTAAAATCTAAAAACACTTCATAGTTTTTAAAAAGAGTGCCGTTAGGAATACTGATGTCACAAATGCCTTTGATAATCGTCAGGGTCTCAGGTTCTTGAAGCTAATCTCGTCGACGGTTTGACGAATCTTTTATTTGGAAGAGGTCCGACCCCTGCAACGGCTCGATCGAGAAAGTTTTTAACCTGTCCCTTAGACTCATTTTATATCTACCTACCTCTACTAATTACGTAAAAAAACGGTATTCGCTCCCATATTCAGTATATATAATATTCTATCTACGTAATTAATATATGTTTTTAGAATTAGTTCGGTGAAGCACCCGATATTTCCGTTTACAACATTTTGTACGAAAGTCAGTCAGTGTCATTTCAAAAATAAAAAGTAATAAATGATCGCGCGTGTAATTTCATCTGTCGATTTCTACCTATGAATATTGATAACTAAGTGTAAATACCTTCTTGAAGGAATCCATAGCTTAATATAAAAAAATGTATAGCTATTGCAGTAGTTATAACACGGGTTAATTAATTGTAGTATGTAGATAGATGTTTTTTTGTTTCAAGTATACATGCATAAGTTTCACCATAGAGTAATTTTTCTACAGTGTGATCACCTTGACCTCTCAACTCAGTGTGAAGCGCGTTAAACATAAGCGTTCTTTTTCATTATGTCAACGTTCTTTATACTTTTTGTAAAAGATAAAAAGTATTTTGATGAACATGAATTTGTAGTTCGTGTATTAAATTTTAGATTCTACAGATAAAAGAGAAATTGTGTAGTTTTGATTTGAGTTAAAAAATATTCGGTTATCGTAGGAACATTTAAAATATGAAATATCTTTATAATTATTCAATGAAAATATATAGATTCGATAAAAATTCAAGTAAACTTAAATATTTAAAGTAAAATTGAAAAATTTTTTTGTTTATTTATTGACAGTAACCTGTTTGAAAAATCATAGATTTTTCTAATCTCAAGAAAGTACCTCAATAAAGTTTTTTTGTTTGTGGACAGCAAACCGAAAACAAATGAAAAGAGTTTCAGAATATTGTTTCGAATTCTTTGAAATAAGCTTCCGCTTGGAAGTCTCTATTAAAATTTATTACTAGACTACAAATTAATAAATAAACCACAAGAAAAAGATCAAAACAAAAATATGATCCAAAACAAAAACACGACCGGTGTTGACAGGATTTCCAAGGATGAAATTGTTGAAACGCCGTATCACAAGAAAAGGCCGATGGACTGTTAATCTTTTGTATTGTCAACACACAAATGTCCAAGGAATGTAGTCTAAAGAATCCTATTATAAAAGCTGTGTGTTACGAATACCACTTTGTTTTTTAGAGATTTTTCGGTATATTATTGTATAAATTAAATAGTGCTTCAATCCTTGAATGTCCACACTCCAAAACTGCCTTTTGGTTTTGTTATGACGAATAGAATCCGAAACAATTTGCTTAAAACTTCCTTTGATCCTATACTTCCAAATATTACAGAACAGAATTGTAAAATATTTCGTTGTACACTAAAATAAAATAGAAGAATATTTTTTAACCATGTATTGAGTTATTCTGTTTATGTGATTGTCATACCTACCTAATGAGTTTGTGAAGGAAGTTCGCTTCCATGTGTAAATAATAATATAATTAGCACCTACTTTCAAACTCCTAACAATAATTTCATCGTCTTCTGGATACGGTCCTATGATTCATATTTTGCTTGCGCAAATGTAAGTGTAAGCCAAATGTGAGCACACCTCTGAAGTTTGTAATAAGCTTAAGTGGCTCTCAAAACGTCACCTTTGGGATTTACACGTTCTTTCTTCTGTACTGTGTGCTATTCGATACTAAGTTACTCTTATCTTAAGGAAAAGTTAAAATTCTTGCGTTTGCCAGCGGACTCGAGAGAGTCGCAATTATAAACTTTGTCCAACCCTGTTCTCAAGATTAAATTTTATAAAATGTTTTAGAGTTCAACCAGTTTTACTATAGGATACTTTGTCTCTTTATTAGCTATATAGTGTATGTTTTTTTTACAATCAAAAGTAAAGACTATTAACAATCAAAATGTAACGAAAACGAAGACATATTTATTTTTAATATTTTTTACCGTATCTACTAATTATGGTGAACGTTTCTTAATACTTACGTCTTTTAAATTATTAAATATAATAATATAATTTCGTTTCCATTTTTTCCCCAAGATTGTTTTTCTACTTCAGATGACTACTTAAACAAAATAAATGTAGTTACTCTAACCCTAATAATATTGTCTGATAGAAGTCAACAGTAGCGTGACAATCGTGTTTTGTTTCATTTATGTTTATATTTTATTTTGTTCCCCTCTATACTTTTTGTCAGTAGAGAACAATAATAACAAAAGAAATAATTAAAGAACCAATCAAATAAACAGAAATTGGCTGTTTTGTGAACTAGAGGGCTGTTTGATTGGTTGGATTAAAAGTCATAATTTTAGATTGATTGGTTGGAATACGATATTATTACAATGTAATTACATACCTACACAAAGACAAAAATCTATCTGTGGATAATCACTAAAGCTTTTAAAGGAAAAGCCTGTTCTTGATTTGTTTAACGCCGTTAGCTTGAATTATATAATTGAGTGAAAAATTATTAATATTAAAACAAAGTTTATTATAAAATATTCTTGTTATATGAATAGATAAATGAAACAATATTTTGTATTTTATATTTTTTTATACAAGTAAAAAAAAAATGACATTTAACCGGAATACCTATAGCATACGAGTTGGGTACATATAATTTTCAATATGCAGCAAGTTATTATAAGGTTTGTTTCTTATATTGTCAATCAATCAAAATAAAGTTTATATTAATAGTCTAGTTAAAACGAGGACTAACGATCCAGGTATATAATTTAAACCATATATATAAAATCCTCGTGTCGCGGTGTTAGACAGGGAGCTCCTCCGAAACGGCTGGATTGATTTTGATGAAATTTTGTGAGCATACTGAGTAGCTCGGAGAATCGGCGAACATCTATTTTTCATACCCCTAAGTCATAAGGGTTGTTCACACTTAATTTTTCTTTTTAATATTTGGATGAATTTTTTTATTTTTATAATGTAGCATTAAAAAATACAAAAAACCCAAAGGAATAACTTGGGCGTCTCAATGAAACGAAGCTAAAAACTTGTTTATAATCAAGTGCAAAAATAGAGCCATGGATTAGCCTTGACTATTTGAATAAAAAGGAAATTTTCATTTAATGGTGCACTACACGTATTTGCCGTATATATTGTGGTTATAGAGAATTGAAATAATATTATTTGTAAGCAGGTATATAGAAGGTATATAGCAGGTATATATAGGTATAAGAATCTAAAGGTAATTTGAACATTTAAAAGTTTCTATAAGTATACACAGTTTCTATCAGTTGTACACTAGAATAAGCGTATTTTGATATTATTGTTTAATATTGAAACTATTGTATTTCTTGTGATGAAATAAAACAGCATGTTCATGAATTATTAATATTTTAATTTTCACATCTCACAGATTAATAAAAAAAACATATATATTAATTAATTATTAAACATTTTAAAGTACATTTCTATATCATCATGAGCAATAAACTGATAACAATATATGTCATAAAATTTTAATCCATTGGTAACAAAATAAATATTATACAAAACAAAATATGTTTTTATATTCATAGTTTACTTTGGATATGTCATTACTTTATAAGGCACAAGAGGAGATGTCATTTTAAAATAAAATGTTTTAGAATGGATTGAAAATTATTAATAAGATGAACACTAGCATAGAAAAACAAACAATAAAATAGTTTTACTGGTAATATTAAATAATTAAAAATGTATGAATTATAAAGTCTTACCTACATTAGTTAAATTTATTAAAAACAATAATTATTCCCTATTTGTTACGACTTTTTCTAAACACAGCCAAAATCTAATGTTACCATTGCTAAAAATACAAATTATACTTTTTTTTAGTTATTTACAACCAAGTTAAGTAAAGCATTTAATAAAAAAGTCCACATAGTTTAAATAAGTACATGTTATAAATATAAAATCTTAAAAAAACATTATTATGCCATTAAGTAAAAGAAACAGGTATAATTAAATCTAAAATTTACAACACATTATGACTTGCAATTAAATATATTATTTTTTTATATTGCCAGTAGTAAAAATGTTTAATAAAAAAAAAAGTTTTCTTTAATTTGATACAATCGATTAAAGTAAGACTTATTTAGAATCGATTAATTTAGAAAAAGTATCAAATTACACGGACCTCTCATTACACTATTTTTATTTGCAATATAAAAAAGTAATACATATATGGACAGGTTTAAGTATGAATTTTTTTCAATATTTTTTGACAGGCATTTTGAGCATGTAAAATCTTATTTAAATAACTATATTTTCGTCAGTTTTAAAATAACTTGTTAAATATTTAAATTATCATCGTAAAGGCAGTATTTATGTATAAATTCATTTTGATTTTAAAAGTTCTTTTAAGTACAAGTAAAATTTTCAGTCTATTTAAGTAGATTGGAAATGGAAAGTATATGTATTCGAGATTTTAATAGAATAATAAAAAAAATCATACATAATAACAGTAATAATAAACCTATTAATATTTTAATACATACATAGAAGATAATATTTGAGATTTAATTTTTTTAAGTTTTTTCTATAATAGTATAATATAATTTGAGATATATTTAATAAATTGTAATACAATTAATTCTTAAATACATTAGAGATAAAATTGTTTAAGTAAAATCTTTTGTACAGTGGAATATGTATAAAATTAGTTAAGTAGTAAATTTACTAGTATAAGTAGAAAAATTGTTTGGTCAAAAACGTTTGAAAAGTTAGAAGGGCTTAGAATATGAAACAGTATTCCATCTAGTCAGATAAGTATCAATACATATAGTTATATATATGTATAAAATATTATAGAATTTTAATTATATTAAAATGGCTTTTATTTTAATCCTAACTAAGAATTGTTGATAAAAATTTATAACATATTATATAAGTACTAATATTGTTAATAGAAGGAATTTTTCTACCGCCTATGATTAATATAGACAAGATATTGCACACATCATGGTCCAGTTTGGAGTTAGTGTTGAGCAAAAAATAAATCTTTTTAAATTTTTGTCATCTATAAGAATCTATACTAATATTTCTTCACAATAGACTAAAAGACAGACTATCGTAGAAAGTACACTGCCATAGATTGTATAAAAAATGTATACACTAGTCCTATAATCGTCATTTCGTTACGTCACTGAGAAAATATAAAGAGCCACTATGTGAATATATGTATATGTAAAGCTTGGTCTACACTTCAGGTTGTGTCAAATAATAGACATCCTACCAATATTATAATTGCGAAAGTTTGTGAGTGTGTGTATGTTTGTTACTACTTCACGCTCAAACGGCTGAACCAATTTTGATAAAATATTGTATACAGGAAGCTGACGTCCAGGAATAACACATAGGCTACTTTACATATCGGAAGTCAACGGGTAACACCGCGGGGCGCAGCTAGTATGTGATATTTATGTGGAACGTAATCGAGATTTTAACTGAGCTTGAACATTTCCAGTGGCACGTATGTCGGCTATTGAGTGTCGTGTCTTAGTGAGGGCTTGATCGCGGCAGACCTCGCCTTGGAGTATACAGTCCATTATCTTAGCTACGATTGTCGACGGTGGAACATGAGGATTCCCTGCAATTATTTGATGACCAAAAATATATAGAGGATAATATATAACTTCCTATGAAGTGACAAACATTATTTGCTTTAAATCTCATTACGAAACATGTTATAACTTTTTTTGAAGAGTTGTTGTTTAATATTAAGGTAAAAGGTGAGTCAACTATTTTACTTCTTCTCTTCACACACATGATAAATATTAATAAAACGTAAATAAATTGAGATATTAATATATATTACATACATATGAAAAGTGGACGAAAATGGATGAAAGTTTTGTCGAATAAATAATACAGTATTAATTACATTAATTAGTAAACCAAACATTCCATATAAACATATATAATAATTTGAAAAAAATTGTAAATTTTAAAAGCAATTAAATAAATTAAATGTTTTATATAATGGCAACACAGCACAATGTAAGTATTATACTTACTGTACGGCAATCTCCGGCACTTGATATCTGTTACAATTTGACGGCAATGGTTTCATGAAGCGGCAAACGGGCGTACAGTGTTCTGTTAGTTTGTTATTATATGAATTATGACACCACCTTATTAGTATATACATATATAAACCTAGATTAGTTAATTGTATGTTCAGGAAAAACTAATTAAGGCAGAAGTACATTGTTCGTATTTATTGGTTACAAACTTATTAGTGGGTTAGTGATAATTAATCAGTTATGTCGAAACAAACACCAGTATAATGTATTTCTGCCATAAACCTAAGCAACATAAATAGAAATTCCATACCAATAGATGAAGAAAATTGTTTTTGTTATTTTATTAAATTGAATGTCATTTTATATGCAAAATTATATGAAGATTAATATATATACAGTATTTTAAAGTACATAATTCTTGATGTTCAGAAATGAAAGTACATAGATTTGTAATACTTTTTCATATAATTAAGATTTTTTGATGTAACTTTTAAGTCTCTTAGAGGATACTCAAAACAAGATGATAGAAATGCAATACTATTATTTATTTTAATAATATTACTTTACTCTAACAATATTTTAAAACTTGTAAAAAAACACAGTACAAAAAATAATTTCCTTGTTTGTAAGCCATAATGATGAAGGATAAAAACAAAATAATTTTATTTCAAGGTTTATTTGAGGAAGGTCATTATATTAATTAATTTCCTGAACAATTTGAATATTGAGATAAAATATGGTATTATTATAGTAAAATCTCCAACCACATCTGTTTTAAGTAAGCTTTTAAGCAGTAGATAGTCTTTTATATATCTAGTACATATATATTTATATATGTTAGTAAGAATATTATATATAAGATACATATATCTTTCAACATCTTACCTGTCAGCCCTCTGTAACCAAAAACTCCACAGTCATGCATTCTCATTGAATGTTGTTCGTCCTTAATAAATTGCTCTGTACTGATACCTTTTAACTGAAAAATAAAATATTTAAAACTTAATTTAAGTTTAATTTAATTATGACAAGTTTAGAGTATATCAATTATAACAAGTTTAAATAATTGTCTATCATTATATAAATGATAAGGAAAACAATTTGGTTTAAAAAAGCTTGGCCTCAAGATTATGATTAAATATAACAATAAGTTATTCTTTCTTCTTAAGTTTAAGAATGAAAAATTATCAATTGATGCTATGATTTAACATACCTTGGAAGGCACTAGGAATCTGTCGGGTATTCTTTGCAATTTCTGTTGTTTTTCACTAGGGCCGAAACCAAGTGCCAGTAAAACGGATTCAGCATCTACCTTCCTGGCTCCTAAAACATTTAGAACTGAACTTCCACTGGAACCACTGCCATCTGACTGTAAATTAAATGTAGGTTGAGTATTAATTAAATGACATATAATTTTCTGCAAAAAAATATACTAAACCTATTTATAAATAGATTAATAATATACATTTTTATTATCTGTCAAAATTTTAATCAAATAGATTTGAAAAGAACTACAATATTGGCTTTTAAGCCTAGAAATGAACAACTAAACACAATACAAATTACTAAAATTAAATCCTAATGGAAATGGATAGCATACATTTGTTAGGTATTTATCAATTAATTAAAGCTTTTATAGATTAAAAAAAAAATGAGAAAGTAATGAATTTCCATAGATAGTACCTGTAAAGAGTGATCTCTCAGTAATGGATTCTTAAATCTTGGTACATATCCCTCTGATTGAACTGAATGGTCCCTCTGAAGTTTATTTTTATTATTTCTAGCTTGTGGCGACTGAGGAGCGCTCGTCATTAAGCCACTCTCCAATGATTTCCTCTTCCATAATTCTCTTTGACCAGGGACATCCAAATTATTGTCATCATTTGAAACCTCGGGGTTTTCTATAACCGTTTTCTCTGATATAGTCTCATTCCCTTTATTTTCTTCAGACTTTGACTGTGTGTCTGTTTCTATGTCACAGATTTCGTCATTTAAGTCACTTTTGGATTTTACATCATCAGTTTCCGGAGGGCAGGAATCTAGCCATTGTTGAACTGGACTACTACGCCTCATGTCGTCTATCACACCAGTCAACCAACCTCGTACTTTACGTTCTAATAGCGATGATACAGATTCATTAAATGTATCTGAAAGATTAATGTACTCATTTAATATTTTTGTGGTGTATTATGATAAAGGTATATTTGTGTATAATTAATAATATGGTGAAAGGTATTGTTAGGCAAACGGGTGTGTCATTCATTTTAGGTGGCTTGAATCTTTAAAACTAGACATTCAAGGGAACTGAGGCTAGGTTTTAAATCATGGCTTCTAGCTCAAGAAGTAGATGCTAGTATATAATATTAAGTAAATACAGTAATTGAAGCAGCTTTTTTTTTTCAAAACAATATAATGTGATATCATATTTGTATCTTGTTTACTGCTCATGAATATTATTTATAAACATTTTCTACTTTTTTAACCAACCTTGTCTAGAATCCATCTTCTTTTCAATAAGAGCCTGCATGCAATAGAGGATACATGAATACGGTTTCGAGCATTCTCTAGTTGAATAAAATCCTTTATTAAAAAATGTGATCAAAACTTACCAAATACCATAAAATCCAGGTTAACAGAAGCTAAGGCTCATAACAAACATATTTCAAATAGAGGGTAAATCAAATTACAGAAATTTTTCGATTAAATTTTGTTTCTTTTGGTCAAGGTTTCTGTGGCACTGATTACCTAATTAATAAAAAACTTAGCTGAACTTCTAGAGTTTACTCTATGCTGTAGTGTTGACGATTATATTCGTGCTTTATATTGTGCTTGTTAAGAATTCATAGATCAATTTCATGTAAATATGTGACTTCAGACATTGACAATTTTATTTAAATTGACTTTGACACTTTTATCATGGCATGGCAACTATTTTAAACATTATCTGATAGATATATTCATTTTAATATTTTAAAGATATATCTCATTATTTTTTGTACTTCTGTATTAATAATCACAACATTGTGTTTTTATTACACAAAAAAAATTGTATGAGGTCCGCATAAGACGTGTAAAAATTAGACAGTTAAAAACATACAATGAGTATGGAAAATTTGATGGAAATTTATTATTTTCCTTGAGCATATTAAAATGCATTATTCCATTGCATATATGAAATATGTTTTACTCAATGCTTTATATTTGTAGGTAAAACTAGTAACTAAGCAAATAACGATAAAAAATGATGTAAGAGAAATATTAAAATCTTCGCTGTATTTTAAATGCGCTTTCATATAACGACCACAACTACATCGACATTTTTTATGAAAAATTGTTATAATTTCCCTGAAATATTTTAAATTATTACAAATGTCTAATTTGAATAGTTTATATGGGATTTCGTTTATAAATTAATCTGAAAGCAGAATTAATAAGAAGCTATAATTATGAAGTATATGTTTGAAAAATTTTGAATAATTGTTAAGACGTATCTAAAGTTGATCAAATTGATATAGCATAACATAATGGACTTTAGAAGCATATGTAATACAACAATCTTTTTCACAATAATTAACATTGTTTTTGTGTTACAAAGAGTCGGAAGCTTCATTTTTTTTTTTATTTTTAGATTCTTTTACTAGTTACTGAATAGCACCAGTCCGTAAGCTCAGGGCACCTCAACTGGCTAAGAAACAAAGAGCGCCTTGTATAATTTAACTTCATAATTTATTTCAACTTAAAATATCTTTTTGACTGTTAAAAAATACTAGTTATTATTACAATATATAACATACACAATAAACAAAACATTTAAATTGAAACCTATTGGAGCAATTAAAAAAGTTCAATTAATTAAATCAAGTCAGGGCATAACGATTCTCAGCTAGACATACGTCTCCACAAAAGTACACCAACCGTCAAAATCCGAGGCAAACCGCATTTAGCAGCTAACCGCCACCTGTCTCAAAATGTATTTCCATCGTCTTGGAAAGCGTCGTATTCAAAGTACAGTGACTTTAGTTGTATGGCAAAGCAGTTTATTCAAAATTCTGACTGCTATAAACCTCTAAGCCTCACACGCTCTATACTTCATTGAGTAACTTTAATTATATGGACCCGCCCTACGATCATTGTCCATGTTTCAGCCCTTATGTAACTTACCTACTTCTGCAAATGTTTACATTTTTAAGATAATAGAGGCTGTGAAAAGAATCTCTCGTTGAGGGACATTAGACAGTTACAACCATACCACTGTCTCTCACAACGAATACACTTATAAATGCATTTAGTTTGTTGACGTCTATTCCTTTAAAACTAAAAATCCTAGCATTCATAAAGAAATTTAGTATTTTTTTGATTAGAAAGAAATTTATTCTATTGAGTCTCCCAACATATCTTAGGATGTATTAATTAATAGCGCAAACATATCGCCTTGATTTAAGTTACACTGACATCGAATTAGCTTATTGCTTTTAAGTGGATAGATATCGTTGCAGTCTTGCTTAAAGATTTAAGTACTTAAATGTATTCATTATTGGCAATTGATTAATCGCGTGATTCTATAAGCGCCCTATATCATGGCTATAAATACTATAATGTAATCCTCAAGGAGTAGGTAACACACACTTCGTAGTAACATATTAAAACCACACTCTTGCCTCATATCGGCTTTATAATGTTAAGTTTGATTGCATTTATACGTTGGTTCTAATCTGAAATAGTTTATGAGAATTTTTTTGTAGTGTTAAGTAGTTAGCATAGAATAGCTTAGACTAAGTTTAATCTTTTTCCTCAGCTTGACCAGTTTCATTATATGCTAGTTGATATGATACATCTCCACTACATGTTCTGATCATGAAACATACCAAGGGACAATATCTTGAGATAATCTGCTTTCGATCTCGAATTTTCTGCTACTGCTTGAATCTATCATGACTAGAAGTAAGTGCTTTAAATTTAGAGTCTATAAACATTTATAGCAATGTACGTACATTGTTTGATGATTGTAGGTTCAAAAACCTGTCTAATAGTGTTGATGACTCAAATTTGTGTTCAGTCTAAAGAACTTCGATTTTGACGTGTTGTAGCGACTCTGTTATAACATCTTTATTCCTTGGGAGTTATAAACTAAAACACTTTTGAGTTTTGATTTAAGTTATATAATTTCATACTTCAACAATAGTCGTAAGATATGTTGAAATAAAATAAAATACAAACTCGAAAGTGGTTGCAAGACATGTAATTTTACTTATTATTTCAATACCTACCTAGTACTTCTAAACCTACTAATAATTTCATTATTATTTACAATATAACTTATTAAGAGAATTTTTATTCTTTAAGAATTTATTTTTATGTACCTATATTAACGTTTCATTTTTACTATTCCATTGACTGTGGAGATCATTTAATATGCTTTATATACTTTTTATATTTTTTTGGTGAATTAATGTCTGCACATTACATACTCGTCCAGAAACTGAAATTTAATTCCTTAGAATATAATTCGTAAAAAAATTAATTAATTGTTCGTGGAGTTTCTCCGCGTGAAAGAAGTGAAACTTTGTAATCTTGGTAGGAAAAAATGAAGGGATAGAAATTGATTTTTAAAGAATTTTTAGTATAACTTTAAGACAAACTTTGTTAAAATTACTTACGAGACACAATTGATTGCTCGTATGCTTTCGAGCGCCACATTATTCTTCTCTCTATCTCTTTTTATCCCCCTAAGGAGTTGAAATGTTTAATGCAAACTTGTTGGAACTCTCATAAGAAGTTTCACTTCAATAATAAAAATTAATTTCAATATCAAAATATTTTTTAATGTAAAAGGAAGTTATTTCTAGGTAATAAGTTTAATAAATACAAGGTAACAAAGAAATTGTAAGTATATTTTCTTTTGCAAAAAATCAATAAAGGTTTAGAAAATAAAAGAACATCATTTATAAATAAAGAATATTTATTTTTCTATAAACACATTATTTATTTTATATCCTTTTATTAAATCTTGACTCACATCATATAAATCGCGAATCGCGTTGGGTTTTCGTCAACGAAGTCGTGTGCGTGGATGGAGAAGAGTTCAGCGGTCGGGCCGCGGGTCGGCGTCGAGACGAAGCACCCAGCACGCGCGGCTTCTTAGCTAAACAATTTGTGCATCGAGGTCAGGTAAAGATTATTTTAATCTCTAAATCACATTTGGACACTAATATACATGTATAACTACGATCAACAAGTGTCAATATTGAGCAGTACGAGGAGGGCCGCGGCGGCGCGCGGCTCGCAGCCTGCGTCACGCGGTTCCGTACACGCACTCGCTGCGACGCGCACCAGGTGTTTCTTCGCCAGGAAAAACGGCGGCACGCTTCCATTGATCACGCACGCGCTCCACGTGCTGCAGTACGCGGACGACGTTCATACCAGCCAGCTTACGGACGTCTTCTTCACTCCAATCGGGATCGCGAAGTAACTCGGCTAACAGGTGAGGATAGCGCGAGACATCCTCTAAACCCACGGGTGGTGCGTCTATACCATCATAACCAGCTCCCAGACCTACGTGCTCCACACCGGCTACCCTTCGCACATGGTTTATGTGTGCAATAACATCTTCGATGGTCGCTCGCTCGCTGCATGTTACAAGTTTAGCATAGAAATTAATCATAACTACACCACCATTCGCAGCGATCATTCGAAGCAGATCATCTGGCACATTTCTAGAAGAATTACATATTGCTGCTGCTCCAGAATGAGAGAACACTACGGGTGCCTGTGAAGTTTCGAGAGCGTCGCGGGCCGTCTCTTCACCTGCATGCGACAGATCAACTATCATACCGAGACGATTCATTTCTCGAACAACGGCGCGTCCGAACTCAGTGAGCCCACCAGAGGTGCCAGCGGCACGCGCCCATCGCGTATCACATGTATGAGTAACAGTAAGATATCGAGCACCTAGGTTATAAAACGCGCGAAGCACCGCTAGGGAATCACCGAGTGCATGGCCGCCTTCAACTCCGATCAAAGAAGCAATCCGACCGTCCCGATGCGCGTCTAAGAGGTCCGACGCACCCGTGACCAAAGCAAGATGAGCTGCGTTCATATCAACTATCCGTTTGATGACATCCATTTGTTCGATGGCCAACTGCACAGCGTCTTTGTCCCGCGCACCACATGGAACGTATGCTGACCAAAACTGTGCCCCAATCTGACCGAGTCGTAGCCGCGGTATATCCGTGTGCGACCAGCGCGATCGGGCCCACGGCTCCAAGCCCTCCAAGCCAGCACTCAAATTAAAGTCACCTATTTTATTATGAAGAAATTTTCTAACATTCCACGCTAGATCATTATGACCGTCTATTAGTGGAGAATCGCGTAACATTCTCCGTATAGTTGTTAATCGCTGTTCAGGGGTAGCACGACCGCCGCCTCCCAGGGCGAGGGGGAGGGCTAGTGCAGCGCCGAGGGCGGCCAATACAACGAGAGCAGCGAGTGCAATACGCCACCGCGGTCGACGCGGCGTTGGCTTTTCGTCAGAGCTCCCAGATGCGGATGCTGATAATGAATCTGGCGCCCAGCGACCGCATCTTTCCGCCACATCTGGCAACGAACCAGGAAATGTCATGCCCTCTGGTACAGCCGCCTGCAAAATGGAAAAACATCGAGTGAAAACGATGTCATTTATGTGTACCCTTAATCTATATCATTAGACTTAGGTTTAGTTAACATATTAGGAAATATTGTTTTGAATAGCGGAGGTCAAAATATAAGAGTTTTACTTTAACTTAAGTGAATCATTAGATTTGTGTATAAACTTAAGTCAATTTCATAAAACCAATGCCAAATTTCTTATTTAAATCTCAAGCCTCTTAAACATGTTAAAGAAACTTCGAAACTTTTGAATTTGTAATATTACTGGGCTTCTATTTAGGAGATTGAGAAAATATTTGTGAAAGATTTGTATCGTCTGCAAGAAAATATTTTAATTTTTAATAAAATAATCTTTATGAAGAGTTATTTAATGACCAGTTATTTTTCGTTTTTTCAAAGAGATATGATACCTATGTATATTCTAGTAGTATATGTATATGTATACGAATGTGTGCTAATAGATTCTTTATTCGTCGTGATTCAATAGGATTTTAATACGAAATTTCTTAATGAAATTTATACGATAAATTAATCGTAACATATTGCAATACTATAGAACAATGCTAAGGAAACGTAACTAGATACCGGAAGTCGCAGATACAGATCCTGCTCGTGTAATAATTATTTCTGTCTCCATTTTTAACTAAAATATTATATGTGAATAATATATCGATAAATAATTAAGTTTAATACAATCTAGATGATATTGGCAAAGTATTCCACGATTGTATTGCGAATGTTGCCATAGCATAAAATAAAAAATAAAATATAAAAACAAAATGGAGAAATATTCTCTTTTAAACCTGATGCTTGAACAATGTTATTATTGAAATTTGATTTATTAATTCAGTTATTTTAATGTAGTAACTTATTTAAGAAAAACTAATGACGTTTATTTTATAAGTTATACTTATTTAGTACTTTACGTTAAATAGTATACTTGTAGAAGTAAGAAGTAAGAGGATATTTGTACATAGCATGCATCTAATCGTTATAAAACTAGGACTTAGAAAGAAAAATTACAGAGGAATAATTTCGACATCGGGGAATTCGAATTTTGGTAATTAGAGTTTTTAATAGGTAAACTTTTAAATTGGTGTCAAGTAGTGTTTCGTTTCTTAATATAATTATGCTATTACTTTATACAGAGTAAACAAAAGAAAATGTTTAACTAAAAGACTGATATCGAAAACCAAAACCAAAACCATTGAAAGTAATTTATTGTATATGTATGTATATTAAAATAAAATAATAAACTTTTATTATATAATAGTGTACAAATATATATACAAATAAATGCGACAGGCTTTGGGTTCGTAAGTAAATAAGTTTACTTTAGTATAGTATAGTATAGAATGAGAATTATTTAAAAAAATCACATTTAAATATTAGGAATCAAGGAATTGTTTAAGATAATTGTCTATACGAATGTACACCATTTGAATTTTTAAAAATATTTTACTTTAATTCCGTCTTATCTCAGTGATTAAACAATAAACTACAAAGAGATCTAACGTTACAACTTTAACTAAGTTCTAAGTAAAGCCCAGTCGTCTTTTAAGAAGACTTGACCAGACATATTTATTTTTTCTGCTTTATCTTTAAAACGAAGCTATGCTTTTTGATATACAACACGCAGTTATTTTTAATTTTATCCAAAGTTTGGATTACTTTAACGTTATCTTGATGACAGGTCGACGAAATAACAGATTCTTTATTTGTTTTATGGATCTTCATTGTGTCTAGAAGAGATGAAGATATTCATTCTTCAAAAATATACAGGTTTTAAGTACTCCAAGCTAAATATGTCGATAGCTTGAGTTGCCTCCCTAAAGAGTGCTAGAGAGGGCCGAAAGCTTTCGTCGCTTCAAGGAAATAGGATCGCTTCAATAATCCAATTTAAAACAAAATACGCCAGCGGACATTAAGCTGCGGGAACTAGCCCAAATCAGCACCATCTCTGCTCTTAATAGGTTATATTCAAACCATTATGTAACCCACTTAATGGCCCGGAAGAAAAAAATGGTATGTTTAAATAATTCTCTTTTTCTATTCGAATATTCCAATTTCTATTTATCGAATAGATTTTTATTTTCCACCGTCGATTTCATAAAATTTTATACGACCGAAGTTTTATAAAACTCGAGCTATTGTTGGAGAGTATTAAATATTTTTATTAATAAAGGTAACATAATAATGCAGTAAGCTGTTGTTTATTCACTGCTTAATTGCCGTTCAGTAAAATATTGTGGTAGATATTCGGTTGGGATATTTAATTATGTTTTATGTGCGGTTTTATTCCATATCATTTATCTTTTTTAACATCATTAATAAAGAATGAGTATTTTACTACGTACTTCAATTATTGGTTTTAAAAAGAACGTATCACTATTTCCTCACCATTATAAGAACGAATGTTTTTGTGCGAGAGAGCCGTGTTTGTTACATTTTTACGCCCTAAATATTATGTAAAAAGTTGAAATACGGAAAAGAAAATACCTTTCATGCAGTATAAAACGACTTCCCAAAGGATATCAATAATACGAGAGTAATGTTATCGAATAACATGAGACCGAAGCGAATTTTCTCAATATGTAACTAATTTATACATAATATTAAATAATGCTTCGTTTGTACATTGTAACAAAGTTATAAACGTTAAAGGATTACGTATTAATTTCAAGAGCCGCGTAAAAGACAACAAGATTTAATTCATCAGATTCCAATTACTTTGCGACAAAAGTAGGTGACACAGTTACAGATTCATGTACCAGACGTAGACGTAGTATTGAAGAAGGAAGGAATAGAGTCACTGTGAATTATTGTTGGGGTTTCGGTTACTAAGAAACTTCCTAATTTAGACGTCTCAGTGACAACAGGGATTTCAAATATCGATAAACATATTAAATTGTATATGAAATTATCGTTTAGTGGTATGAAAATGATTACACGGTCTCTTATTTTGTTTAAAACGATATATTATAAAACTATTTTTTACTATATAGATTGGATTGCGATGTATTAATTTTTGTTGTTGACAAATGAACTATTAAGCAGTTTATTGTGATAGTTATTATTAAGTGCACAGCATAAAAAACGCTATAAAACTTCTTAGTTATATCGAATACTGTTCTTTTATAACGAACCAGAGAACAGATAAAATCATTTTAATTATTAATAATGGCTGAATAAATATACAATTATTATGTGACTACTTAATTCTGTTTATAATTTGTTATAATTCACATATAATATTTCGGTTCACTGATGCGAGCGGTCATCCTAAAACCAATGATAAATGTATTCCATTTGAAAGTTAGGAATTCTGGAGCATGCATCCAGACATGACAATAATTTTCCGCGTGTTCAATTATGCAAGGGGCACATTATATGGGCAGAGGCTGAGACCTGAATAGCCTGTGACCCATTTACACAGAGCGATAGCCTCCCCGCACACATTTAACTTCACTTCTAAATAAATATTATCATTGTACCTCCAATATTTGTTACAGATTAACCGCATATAAAAACAAATATGACTGCTTTAAAATAAATCGTAAAATATCTGCATAAGAATGAACCGTTTTTAAACAACGCATTTACAAATAAAATTGAATAGTTAAATCTTTCGATTACAATGCAGATTGTGTACTATACATTCAATATTTCAATTGCATCCGGCGAAAACGTATTCAACCAATCATTACATTCGTTTGAATTATTAAATTGTAAGTACATGTAATATATACAATTCTTTTATTTAATACAAAGAAATTGTTTTTTATTATAATTTAATTATTAGAAATCATAAGTAAGTTTTAACCGAATAGAAATTAAGCACTTATATTAATTTTATGTCTGGTCCAAATGTACCATTTCTATTTTTCCAAAACCACGCACTTGGTTCATTACTAATGTTTATATCGTGTTGTCCCGTAAACGGTAAACGTGGGGATGTATTCGGCCGAATGAGCCTTGTAATAAATGTATCTATAAACAGAAGCCTAGCAGCGGCATTTTCCTTTGATCAGGAAGCTTTCGTGCCGTTCTAATTGCTAACAATAATTTGTTCGGACTTAACGGATTGTGTTACTGACGTAATGTTACAATAAATAAGTTAGTTCTTGCTTAACCGTAAGACATTTGTTATGGTTTTAGTTACCGAAAAGTATGTTTATGTTCTGTCGAGGTGAGAATAACAAACTAAGTTCACCTAGCACCGCTTATATTGCCGCTGGCTGTCCAACAATGAATTGGGTATAAAAATATATTGAAATCAAAGAAATATGAAGTAGCATGATGAGAATGTTGTTGGGATCTTCCGTCCTCATTTCGGAATCCAGTATCCAACCTTAACTAAATTTATAAGGTACCAAAAAGGTTCGCAAACTTTATCACATCCAAAAAAATATGGAAAAATCAGCACAACCAATAAAGAATTTACGATTGTTCTATAATACATACGTATGTGTAAATTATAGAACAAACCAATAGAATATATCTTTTTTAGGTTTAAAATTTGAATTTTAAATCATATATTATAATTTTATGTTACATAAAACATATTGTATAAAAAGACGACTTTTAAATAATCATAATGGCCAACATGAGTTATAGCGCACCAAAATTACAATACATGTCACCTTGAGCGTAAGGATAATCATAATTTACGGCTTGTAAAAAGTTAGCGGCGTGTTGCGGGAAGCGTGAAGGAAAGTTGCGAAAACATTTGGCGGGTAGGCGAGGGTGGAGCTGCATCGATTCGTTGCGTTGCAAGCAGACGCCGGCCGCCGGGTCGCTAGCTAGCTGCCCCGGACCACGGGCCACGGATCACATAATGTTGCGTGAAATTTGCGCCCCCATTGTTACCTTACAACTAGCCATCCGTCCGCACCGCTACTCTGTACGGACCTGGATGCTCTCTCAACCGTTACTCCGTACCATGAATGTGCGTAATCAAAACGATCTGTTGTTCTGCTACGTCGCTGTTAT